AAGGAAAAGAAGCAAAAAAAAGAGAAGGGAATAGAAAGAGAAAGACAAGGAGAAAAAAAAGAAGAGAGAGAAAGAAAAGAGAGAGAGAGAAAGAGAGAGAGAGAGAGAGAGAGAAAGAGAGAGAAAGAGAGAGAGAGAGAGAGAGACAGAGACAGAGACAGAGACAGAGACAGAGACAGAGACAGAGTGAGAGAGAGAGAAAGAAGAAAAAGACAGTGCTGCAGAGAGGCGAGAGGAGGCTTGATAAGGAGGCCCAAACAGGGGGGAGGGGCAGTGGGGGAGTGTTGACAGCGCTGCTGAGCTGTCTGGCATGAAGCTCAAAGAGGGTCCTATAATCACTCTAAAGTGCTTCGTTGTCTTCTCATGATTTGCGTGAACGGAACAAGGTCAAGGGAGCAGGGGAAGGGGTTGAACGTACGAGGATCTGCAGGGCAGCTGTTTAGAAGGAACTTTTGCAGAAAATTCTTTGAAAGCCTCATTCAGCGAGAAGGAGCTCCGCCATTCCACGGTGCCCTGGGGATTATTGTCATTGCCATCTCTGGCTGTGACCCTTTTCTGAGGCATCTTCTTCACGTTGCAGACACAAGGAACACGCCGAAAATGGGGGGAGGTGCAGAAGCAGCGATGCTTGTCTCAGAAGCCACGAAACCACGGGGCTAGGCTTATGCTGACTGCATCATCTGCTTGTTGCCGCTGCGAGTGCGATTCGCACGGCTACTCCTCCCCCCTCCGCCGTTGTCACTTAGAGCGCAGCCTGGCCAAAGAGGCTGCTCCTGATGCACTCCGCTTGACACTCGTGAGCACCCAGGGAGGGCATTCAGCTGCTGAAGTTGAGGGCGTCAGGATACGGCTGACACCTCAGGTCAAAGGTGTCGAGTGGGGACCCTCGACGCTGGTCGTGTCACTCGCCACAGGGAAGAGGCGCCTCATGCAGGAGGGAAGATGCAGTTGCTGGGTGCCTACATGATGCAGCTTTGAAGCCAGCTCTTTTGCGGAGTCCACCGCCTCGGCCGTTGCTACGCGTATGGAGGTAGCCGCTGCGCGGCTCTCTTTCACTGTAGAGGAGGCTTGCAGCGGGAGAAACTTTTATTCGGAGTAACTATAGGGAAAAGCATTTAGATTTTATTGGAAGAAAGAAGAGCCGGCGCGAAGACGAGACAAGCGTCGACAGCAGACCCGAAACAGGCGTTCTCCCCAGCTGGGCTCAAACAATGGACGTCTGAAACTGGGATATTCGGATACACCCTCTCGCGCACGCGCTCCTCTCGCGCACTTTACCCCCCGTTTCCATTGAAAAAACCACATTTTGTGGCATATGACATTGATTCGGGTGGGACTGGCCCTTCCAGAATGTGTGTGCTTAGGCAATCGTGCACTTTCACCTTTCCCAGGGATGCTGTGCTCGCTGCGTGCGAGTCTCGAACAAAACTACCCGATGAGCCGTACAAACTGCCCGCTTCTCCCATATTTTTCGCAGCAAGAGAGGGCAGTTGTAGGGACTCACTTTTGCGCATAGGCGTTTTGAATTCACATTTAAATATTCGGGCCTTCCTGCAAAGAATTGGGAACGTGGAAATGTCTTTGCTCCGGGAGGCATGAGCTCTTGAGTCACCTCCCAAAGGCGGCGCATCTACCCAGTGGGGAATGACCTTTCTTCTAGCGCCAGAGTCAACCTGTAATGCACTGCCCCCGCTAGACACAGTACCATAAAGCTTTTCTTCTAGGAAAGGTAGAACTGGTAACACTAGCAAAGAACCCCTGACCATTGTGAAAGAAAGACATTCTAGTCACCACTGAACTAAGAGCTCCCGTATAGACGAGGTATGCGACGGAGGGGTCCTTCTTATCGCTCGCAGGGAAGATTTATTGAAACCCGTTTGCCTGCTCTAGGAGGCAATACGTCCCACGCTGTGCTTGCAATGCGGGGGCGTTTCAGAAACCCAAAGACTTTACAAGAAAGCAAACGAACTGCTGCCCAGAATCTGGTTCTGGAGGCTGCACTTTATGCCCTGCTGTCTGGCTACAGTCTTTTCTATGCGAAGCTGTCTCGCACTTTTGAGGGGCAGGGCGCCACTCCGCACGCGGTAGGGTGGGTGCCTTCCCTCAGTACTACCTCAGCTACCTCGTCCAGAAAGTAGGTCGTTCCTAAAATGTTTCTTACAGAATACGCAGCTCGCTGGGCAGCGCAGAAAATGGGGGATTCTGTCTTGGCGCTCTCCCCTATCAGCGCCCTCCCCTGCAGATGGACAGGATGGTGTGGCCTCGCTCTGTTTCGCCGTTCCTTTCGCGGCATGTGCAGCAGCAGACAGTGAGACAGAGCGGCATGAAAAACTCCCGACGAGGACGCTCTACAGGAGGCCTTGTCCTGCTTGCTCCCAGCCTCTACAATCTTCACACTTTACAAGAAAAGGCGATTGACCAGCCTGGAAGTCAGCGCCTCATAGCACGTATGGACTACAAAAACGAGGCCCGTACAGCCACGCATGCGCGACGGTTGTCCGTTAAGGCACCTTGGGTGAAAAAGATGACAAATAAGCGGCCGCATGCATTAGTTGTGCTTCAGCGCGCCTGGAGCTGAGCTGCCCCCTGCAGGAGTTCTTCGGTCCCGTTGGCTCATGGGAAGGCAGCGGCTCCAGCGAGCCATAGCGAGAAAGCTCACGTCGCTTCTGGCTAGTGACGCCCTTAGGCTGCAGTCGCGAACATCTGACGGCGAGGGCAGAGGGTCTACGTGGGGGGATCTCGATATTCCCCTGTTACCAACAACAACCCCCTCCCCCCCTGCGCGCTTTACGGTGCAGCCTCGCCCTCCTCCGGCTCTTTCCAGCGGCCCTCTTCCTTAATAATTTCAACAAGGGCATCGCAGGCATCCGCACTCTTCACACCACGGCGAACCAGTCTCTTCCCAACGTACAAGTCGACCTGAGAAGCCGCAATTCTTCCAGCCACAGTCCCCAAAGATCACCCGAACCAGCCTTGCGCATGCCTCTACAAGCATTCCAAGAGTACACTCCCAAGAAGTGGCGGAGGAAGCAACAAAGCACAATACTCGAGCTACGCGCTCAGCGAGACGCAGTGAACTGCCAACTCCAGCTCTCTATAGACGGCTGCCGTACCAGGCCGGGTGCGCCCCCCACGTAACCAAAGTCTGCGTCCCCCATTTCCCCGATCCCATTGACGATGCAGCCCATCACCGCAATCTTCACGCCTGGCAAATGCCCTGTCCTGCGGCGTATATCCGCGGATACCTTCTGGAAAACAAAACAGAAAAGACGCATCAGAGCGAACACCGACGCTGGCTCTGTGTGTGCATGTAGAAATGTTTGTATGTGTGTATGTGTATGTATCTATGTATGTGTGTATGTGTATGTGTGTGTACGTATCTATGTATGTGTGTATGTGTATGTATCTATGTATGTGTGTATGTGTATGTGTGTGTACGTATCTATATATGTGTGTATGTGTATGTGCGTGTACGTATCTATGTATGTGTGTATGTGTATGTGTGTATATATACATACATATACATACATATATATATGTGCAAACAGACATAGGTAGCCTTTAACCGCATAGCATGCAGGTCGTTCGAACCCCGCGTATCGTCTCCCTGCCCGCCCACCCGCACACTCCAGTCATCGAGGCCCATACCCATGCACTACTACGCAGGAGCGTAAGTTCGGAAGAACTCAGCTGAGGAGCAGCCGTCAGCCAGCAGACTTTCAGAAAGGGGGAAGTTGGTGGAAGCACCGACTTCACGTCAGCCTCCCCACACTGCGGGAAACCTGGGGGGGACGGGAGTCACCCTCATGGTCCTGCCCACCTGAATGTCAAATAGCGTGCGACCGCAGGAAGGGCAAGAAATGAATTCCGTCTTGGTGCTCCGCATGCGGCAGCCTTGAAGAAGGTCGAATGCGAGTTGGCGCTGCTGGGGGGTAGAGAGGACATGTTTTGCATCAATGAGTAGCCCGTCCGCTAGGCGGTCAAGGAAAATCGAGCCTACTTCCCAGGCAGCAAACATCGTCATCTGAGAGTTGGGCATGCCGCGTTCCACACACATTCCTACGCGGCCCCGTAAGGTTCCTATTCGAGCACGCTACGCGCTTGGCAGAGCCTGCAACTCGGTGCAGCTGATAGCAGGGAAGCTGGTCGCAAGCGCCTTACCTTTTGAGAATTAGACACCGTGTTGGCAGGCTTGTTTCCAGCAGTCTGCTGCTCTTCCTGCTGAGGCTCTGCAGTACCAGAAAGGAGCACCGGGGGAGGTGCCTCTACCCACTGAAGTATGGGAATGGATTCTTCCAAGCTGTCAGGACCTCCTGCTGGTTGCTGACGCGCCACCCCACGAAGAAGCTCACTGACTCGCCGAGATGCCGCCACGCCAACACCTATTCGGTCGGCAGGCCGAACCAGCACACAGACGAGATTCTGAAGAGAACAACACCACACAGATACACACACACATACACACACACATACACACACATATATACATATATATATACATGTATACTCTGTACAGCTGCCTTCCTAAAATACGTTGGCCGTTCGCCTGCGTGCAATGTTTGTGCTTTCGCTCTCTCTCTGCGTTGTGCGACTCCTTTGGCGGGACGCATGCATTCTTTTGGGCCTGCTGTGTCTCTTTGTGAGTGCAGGCCTCTCGTCACCCAGCCCTGGCATCCCGCCTTTTTCCACTTGCACTGCGAAGCGGTACGATGGCTGGGTGGTGCTGCGTGAGACTTTCTGGCAACGCGCCCCCTCTGGTCTACACTCTTCTCGCCGTTCGTAGAGGGCCGCCTCGTTCCGCTACTAGACTGTGAAATTTGAGGTCTTTGTCCTTGGACTGCGCTGCTGTTTAGAGGGAACAAAAAGCCAGAGGCTTTGCTCTCTGTGCAGCAGCAGTTCTACCGCAACAACACCGCCAACACCAGAAAAACCTTAAGGGTGTGGGGAAGGTCTCGGAAACGTAGCCTCTCACCGGACGACTGACGACAGCCTTGAATTCCTCCGCTGTTTCCGTGCCGTCTGCAACAAGCGCGACGCCTAATGTGTCCTTCAGATATTGCATAGCCAAGAAGGAGCTAATGGCCGCCGCATCCTGCAGCCGCTGAACGGCTACAAGGCCTGGAGTATAGAGTGACGCTTCCTCGAGTTGTTGCAGGAGCTGCTGTTGCTGAGAGGCACTCGCTTGGTGCTGCAGCAGGTGCTGCAGGAGCTGTTCACGAGTCATTTGCACCTGCTGTATCTCCCGAGAGTCAGCCCAGACAGTAAGGCCCGCCTCCTGGAGCTGGTGAAGAGTCTGGCGTGCTGCCTGCAGGGAACGACTATCCGGCTTCTCTTCTGAGGGGAGCTGCGCTTTCTTCTTCTTGCCCTGCTGGGACTGCTGCTGGTGCTCGTCAGGTGCTGCACGCGTCGGGAAAAACAAAGAACGCAAATAAACAGCGTCTGCGGACAGCGGCGTGCGGAAGGGTCGTCCCCCCACAACACCCAGCCCAAGGGCCGAGTAGAGCGACGTCTGAGCAGACACACACACGAAGCCACATAGTCGCAAAAGCTCCAATCAAGCCGCTGAGCCTGCTCAGCAGCTCCTTGTTACACACGCCGCACGCTTGGAAAACCTCCAACTGGAGGGGTGGAGGGCACCGCTGTATATATATATGCATGCATATACATACACACACCTGTACTCAGACAGATACGCAATACGGAAAGGCCCCCAAATCTCTGTACGCAATGTGTCATACGCTAAGTGAACCATAGTGCGTGCTGCATCTCACGATTCCGCTTGGCGAAGTGCAGCACACGAGCACTTGCTGCAGCTCTGGGGAGTGCAACCTACAGGGTTTAAGAGCTCTTGAGGGTCTATCGCCACAACGGCTGTGCCGTCTCTGTGCAGGATGGTTTGCTCTTTCTGGCTTTGAGTTCCTGTAGCTGGTGCAGTAGTGGCAGCAACGGCCTTTTGACGCCCCAGACGAATTCTGCCCCTCGGTGAGACGGCTGCAAAGTCTCGGAACGTTTCTTCGAAGGGAGGAATCGCTACCCGGGCAGCAGAGGAGGGCTGCAACCGACTCTGCGTCTTGCTGAGCTGCAATTTGTGCTCTTGCATACGCCGCAAGAATCGACACACCGGAAGTTCAGCCCACGGAGGCTCCGTTAAGGATGCCCGGATAGTATCTCCAATGCCATCCTGAAGGAGGGCACCGATGCCAGCAGCGGACTTGATTCGGCCGTCCTCTCCTGCGCATGAATACAACACAAGGCACCAGGATGCGGTAGGTCTTTCAGCCCTTGTGCACAGTTCGGCATGCCGTCGGAGCCGTCAACAACAGCGTCCTATCTGGTTGAGAGGAAAACGTCCTCTCCGAAGAGGGGGGCTTCGCACCACCCTCCAGGCGGGCAGGGCAATGATATGCTACGCAGTGGAAAGTGAGTCTAGAGCTGCGTGGGCGCGCACATATAGATACAACAAGCCGAGTGAGGTGTACGTACCTTCCCCCGCCTCCGTTACGCCCAAGTGGAGGGGGAAAAGGGCCCCCCTCGCAGACATCAGGAAGGCCATCAGTCGGTAGGCGTGCTGCATGGTCACCGGGTTGCTGCTCTTCAGCGAGAAGGCAAAGTTGTAGAAACCGGATCGCACGCAAATATCCGCAAACTCGATAGCCGATAGCACCATCCCCATCGGGGTGTCGCCGAAGTGCCGCAAGATTCGAGCCGAAAGAGACCTGCGCGTGCCGCAGCAGCGAAGAGAAACAAATTTTATACGCCTCCTCGATTGTATCCCTGCGTGGCCTGCCTGCCTGCCTGCCCAAAGAGCCTATGCATGTTCGACTCGCTCATCTACACTTTTGGCAGCCCTCCAGTCTCGCAAAAACCCCGGACGACTCCTCCCTTTGTTTCGCCAGTACCCGTGGTTTGTTCCAATGCGTAGGGCTCGTTTCTGCAACAAGCATTTCTGAACAAGCGGCAGAAACGCCTCCTCTATGCGACGATGGCCTTCGGAAAAGGCGGCACGCTCTCCTGCTGGAAGAAGGTCAAACAGTCCATCGGGGTTTCCCCAAGGGCCCAGGATGCTGCCAACTGTCTCTGGCGTGAGCGACGCAATTTCGCCTGCAGTGCGAAAACGCAGCAATAGCAATATCGGCCGCTGCGCTTCTCAGAGGCATCGAAAGCGAAATTGCCTGGGGAAGAAGCGTCCTAGGCCAGCAGACAGGGGTGGGGGGGAAAACGTTATTAGCCGAGCTTCCCACGCCATGAGAACAGCGCTTTGATAGGAGTCTGTCCCACGAGTGCCACGCATGCATACAGCCCATGTGCCTCTCGCGAAAACGTCTATGCACAGGAGGCCTCCCCAGTTTGCCGGCGGAAGCAACGGCCGCGTCGAAGAACCGCACGGCTGCTGCGCTCTGAGGATGCGGCGTGAGAAATCGATGCAGTCAAGCAAACACTGGGGAGCTGTCTCGCGCCTGTTCTCACCTTCCTGGACCTGTCCTGACGTCGCACTCTCCGCAGGCAGCCTCTCTGGCAGGGACGGTGCTGATTCATCTTCCCACACCTTGCGGCCATCTGCGAAGTTGCCCGGATTAACGCGGATCTTCTCAAAGATGTCAGCGCACAGCGAAGCCACCCGCGGTTGGAAGTGGATGTCTGCAACAAGCGGAATGCCACACCCGCGCTGCACGCAGAGCACCACCCAGGAGGGCAGTAGAAGAAGACAGAACAAGCACGATCCATACCGCTGTCGTAAGCTCCGAGAAATCTAGGACTATTGCGAAGCCCCTTTGACGGCCCTCCGTCGTGCATGCTTCCCGCGAATGCCAACGGCTCCTCTGCGCGTGCGCAGCGATCGCCAGAAGGCATTTTCGCCACCTTCGAAAGGCGGCAAAAAAATGCCTGCTTTTTGTCTCAGCATCCCCCTCAGACAGCATCATCCCTCTATCGGCTAGACTGCCTTCTCGGGTGTGTGCGCGAAATAGCAGGTGTCCACCCCCAACCCCAGCATGCACAGGGCGTCCAGAGAGCTGTCAGCATCCATACCTCCCGCAGTTTTGCGACAATCGCACGGCTAGCTTCCGCCTCCTTAGGTCCCTGTACTGTCAGACGGACTAGATCTGCACCTGCCGCTGCACAGCGGACGATCTGCGCAGCAGCAAAGCAAGAAACACACAGCCTCCCGCTGAAAGGTCACCGCTACCTCGGCTGGCTAGCGGCAGGCATTCGCGCAGAGCAGCCAGACCGGAAGCAAGGGCAAGCAAGGCAAAGCCTTTCATATCAGCCCTTCTTCCTCTTGAAGACAGACCTGCTGCACGGTTCCTTCCACATCTCGCGTGTCTGTATTCGCCATGGTTTGCACGGCTAGCCGGTGGGAGCTCCCCATGAGCACCACTGGGGCCTCTGGCCGGCAAAAGTTGTGGGCCCCCTCGTCATGCTCGCGCTGCAGCTCGTGCTGCTGCTGTTGCAGCTGCAGCAGCTGTTGCTGAATGGAAAGGGGCTTTCCGTGAAGGAGATCGAAGAGCTCTTCGCCCTTGTGCCCTGTCCCCACCACTATCGTCCGCGTTGGGAGCCTCTGAGGACTGACCACGCTGCAACAATAACGGCCTCCTCCCAGTGCACCTTCGCTCGACGACGCACTCTTTGAATTTCCGGGGGGCGTTGTGGCAGCCGTCCTGCTCTCTGGCGTCTCAGAACGGACCGCTTCTCCCGTCGATGCTGTCGTCACCCCTGCTTGGTGGTGCGTTTCTGGCACGCAGTCCACCCTGGGAATTTCCGCAAGTTGCCTCGCGCGCACAGCCTGATGGCCTAAGAAGGGCGAGATCGAGGCTTCCGTTCGTGCAGGGGGAGCTGCAACTCGAGGGGAGGGGTAGTTTGTTTCGTGCAACACAGGAAGCCTTTCTGAAGCCCCGCGGTGGCTGCCCCTGCCGCTGAAAGGAGAGTGGCTGTTTAGGTTGAAAGAGTCGGCAGGAAGCTCGTAATACACGCAGACAAGCCTCACAAGAAGCCAAGGAGCAGCATAGAGCAGGGACTTGTGGCCCCTTGCCATGCATTGCCCACTGCGCATTTCCCTGGAAGCGGACTGTGCAAGACTTCGAGGCGAAGATTAGAAGCACAGCACCGTGAAGGGGACGGCAACACTAGGAGAGGCTGAGACGTGTTGAAGCCCTACCCACTACTTTCGGCTCCTGCTGCGGGAAGAAGGATCTGTTCTTCGCACTCCGTGCCGACGCTTGCCCGCAGGTCACCTCGCTTGCAACCTCGGGCAGGCAGTGCTCCTCAAAGACGCCCAAACACACGGTTCCGCAGCACAAAGCCACGAAGGTTGCCGCACAAATGTGCGAAGCTGTCTCACCGTTTTCTGGCGAGGATAGATCCCGGCATAGAGGGAAGGGGGTAGGGAACGCTCGCGCGTGGCTTGGGGGGCGTACCAACTCCTGCTATGGCCTTCCGTGGCGTCCTTAATGCAAAAACGGAGGAAAGGCTGCGCCCCTCATTTATTTCAAAGCTTCTCACCCCTCAACTTCGCGCCACTGGCTGGTAGAGAGGCGATCGTGGCAGGGGCCTCGTTGCCACCGAGTAGGTCCCTGTGGGTCTTGGGGGCTTGCTGGCGGGTACAGCGAAACCTTGCTGAGGAAATAAAGAATGCGCCACCCTTACACACAAGTGTGTGTGCAGAATGCGAAATTCGGAGCTCAAAGGAGCCTCATTTCAACGTACGCCGAGGCTTCGATGCGCCCATGGTTCCAGATTCGGTTGCTGCAGCTACAGCCGATGCGGCTGTTGCCGGGGCTGCTGCTGCGCCGGGGAAAAGGCGTTCACGCATCGAGAGGCCTTGCTTCGTCGACGAAACTTCGCTTTTAGCACCAGACACTCAGGGGCGAGGGGGGAGGGGCAGCAGCAGCAGAGCCTCAGACGCAGCGCCTCAAGAGGGCGGCAACGGCGCGGCAGCTGACACAGGATGCCAAGCAAGCATGCACGAAGAGTTTCAGGGGAACATTCAGGAAGAGTGGCGGCACATTCGCTTCCTTTCGGGTCATTGGTCGCCTTGGACAGTAACCATCCTTGCCCTCCATGGGCAACGACTTCCGACAGCAGCACTAAAAGAGCTGCATCACTGCAGCAACTTGCTGCTGCTGCACTTGGAAGGTTGCGGTCTCACCAGTGCCGAATTCTTCGGCGACCTGTGGAGTCTCCAGCGCTTGTTGCTACCGCATAACGAGCTGCAGACTCTCCGAGGCCTTAAGAACCTGCCTCATCTGGAGGAGCTCTGCGTCAAGGCCAATCCAATAGCCACCTTTAGAGTAGGCTCTTGTTTAAAAGCGGGGGCAAAAGCTGGTGCACGAATGTTGTCGCGAGTGCTTCTTGCTGTGTGAAGAAACCTGTAAGGGCGCGCGTATAAGGGAGAGCACTTATACACACACCCTGAACGTGTCAGGCGGGGATCAGCGCTTTAGTTACTTCCTCAGGAAATCACTAATGCTCTGTACACCTGAACCGCGTACCTCCGCCAAACGTGTAAAGCGCATGTATATCCATGGTTCTTGGTTTTAGTCCAAAGCCACCCCATATGTGGCCAGGCATATCGTCAGCCAGAGCACGCACGCCGTCAAGCTGCTGTTAGTGCTCCAGCCATCCTTATATGAGCTCTTCAGGACTTAGAACAGCTAGCGGAGCTTCCTGCATTGAGACGACTCGATCTCCAGGCTGTGGACGGGTCAGAAGCGGCTCCTGTCTGCGCGCAGCCGTGTTATCGGCAGGCACTATTAGCGTTGCTTTCCCGTAGCTCTTCAGAGACACGCGACGGTATGGCACATTCAGACCGAAATGCACAGCCCTGCCTCCTTGTCCTGCGGTTTGGGGTGGGCTCTCCCCTACCCACACAGTTGCATTAGTTTGACTAACTACTGGCGAAAAAATCCCACGTTACTTGGTCACGCATGCTCTGGCAGCCAGACTCCCAGGTGTCTAAAAGAGCCTCAATAAGCTCAACAGCTTATTGAGGCCTCAGCAAACCATGTCTACGTGGGGAAACGCGCATTTAGCAGCACCCTGCTCCCCACAGGAGGTGTTGTGACTGCCTGGATGGAGGCCCTTTTCTGCGCTCAGGCTCGGGGGGCTGCAATTCACGACTCGACGTACTCGACGGACAGCGTTTGCATCTACCTGATCTGCACACTGCGGTGACAGAGGCCCTCGCGGCTGCAGGGCAGACGAAAGAAGCCAATACAGCGTTTAGAGCAGATGCGCAGAGAGTCCTCAACACAGCGAGTAGAACCGTTGCAGAAGCCATGATCGTGTCGCTATCCCCACGCCTCCGGACAGGCTCTGAAGAAGGAGGCGATGGAAGCATCGGCAGGGGCCTTAGAAATCCAGACAGACTGCCGCTTGACGCATCGGCAACACAGGAAGACGAGGAGCAATCACCTTTCCGTTTCGTAATGCCTAGCGAGGCTTGCATGTCCTTCAGCCAGCTTCTTAGCACGGAGGTGCAGCAGGCGTTGTCAGACGTGGAAGCGCTGGTCCAAAAAGCTCGGAGGGCTACAGCTGAGGCCAAACGCTTTGCAGCCTTGTCGTTGGGAGGGCTAGCCATCGAGGCGTAGCGTATCTTTTTTCTGTGCTTCAAGAGTGTGAGCTCAAGGGCAGATTCTCGACTGGAGAGTCTTCCTTTGTTTCGGCTCGCGCCTGCTCTTCCTAGTAGCCTCGCATAACAGATCGACACAAGCGGGTGCCGCTTGCAGGTCCAGAGCGCTGAGTGCCACGGGCTAATGGCCCCTTACCCGTGTGTGAGGGGGCTAGCAAGCAAGCAAGCTAGCTAGCTACAGGCCAGTTGAGGAGTGTATACGTCGACGTGCATATTTTTAGACCCTCCATTGTCTGCCTGGGGTCCGGCAGTTTGAGTGGGTCCCCTCAAGCAGCCTTAGACAGGGGCACTGTTTCGTTCTCGAACTAAGCTCACGACTGCGCACTGAGGAGGAGAGCCTCTACAGGGGCCTCAAGGCGCTGCTGCTTCCCTAGCGAATAGGTGGCCGTGTCTAGAGCGCCTGCAAGCGCGGAGAGAGTAGTGCGGAGACGGTGCGCTACCGCCTTTAGGTCTCTCAGCTTAGGGTTGGAGTAGCGACTGTTGGGACTGGTGTTTTCCCAAGCAGCACTTGCAGTACATCAGCACGACACAGAACTGCGTTCCTCCTCCCCCCAGGCCCCCTTGAGCTCCTACTTCCGCACAGCTGAGGCTCTGCAGCAGCTCTACGTGGCACTTGCCCTTGCTGCCGAAGGCGGCCCCTACACGCGCCGCTCGCACCAGCACGCCAGCCCCTGCATGCGGCGAACGGCAGCTGCTGGGTGTGTTCCCTGCCTCGCTGTCCCCATGCGTGCTGGTTCCTTCTGAAGACTCTGGAAAGATCGACGTGTCTGTGACACCCCCGCTGTCTAACTTCAGCTCCGAGGGAGACGGGCACGCCAGGGCGGGCAGGCACAGGGAGAGGCAGGCGTCGTAGAGGGCATCCCCAGGTCCACTGCGCAAACGCCTCTCTGCATCCTCCGCATGCGCCTCCACAAGAGCCACTTTGAATCCTGCGAAGCGTCGCACATGCTGGGCGTCCTTGAAGAGACCCCGAACTACCATGGAGGTGCTGAGGAATTGACACGTTCCTGGACGCCTTGCAGCCTCATGCGAGGCACTGGCAGAATTTCTGCCTCCCCCGCACATACACGCAGAGGCCCCCTGACACCCAAAGCGTTCCACGACGCCTAGACGCAGCTTCCTGCGAACCACTCGCAGCGCTTCCATAGGCAAAGGTACTTCCGCTGCTGCTGCTTCTGCGGAGACTATGGCCGACGCCGCTTGTGCTGTGCCTGAGTCTCGTGCCTTGAGAGTCTGCGTCTTCGACTGAGCCGCGCCTCTACCCGACTGCTGAGACGCGCCACCTGCACTGAAGGGAACACTGCGAGGAGGAAGTTGCGTCGGCTCCTGGATGAAGCGGAGAATATGCCCCTCAAAGGCCAGTCGGCAGGTCGAGAGGGAGGCCTCAACGTCAAGACGTGACGCTAGCAAGACACTCCCCATAAGCGCCTGCGAAAAAACCACTTCTCACTCCCGCACACACAGTTCTCCACGGCACTGCAGTAGACGAGCAGCTCACAAAACGGCTGCTGCATTACAGAGGCCTTGTTGCTCCCCTTGCGGCAACGTTCCCAGAGCGACGTGAACTCCCTGCCGCCGCATGCATGCCTCTAGAGGCGATATCCCAGGGGAACCTAGCCCAGAGAAACGCCTACGCGAAACACTGCAGCACCGTACGCAAACGCAAAAAGGCATCCAGCTTACCAGGACAGGGCGATCCAACGTCAGCAGTGCGAAGGCTGTTGGCGTTTCCTGACTCAGCCCTTTTGTCTCCTCGTACACCTGGGCGCTATCAAACGCTGGCATGGGTGCACTATGAGATCCCTGAAGACTGTTTGGCGGTTTCGATTTTTCTTCGCGCCAACTGGGAGCTCCAGCAGGGGATGCAACACCTTGTGCTGCGGCTGCGCTGATACGACTGAAGAAATGCACTGTCGCAATGGCGGTAAGGTGTCCAAAGGTGCAGTGGAATCGCTGCCCAGATTGAACCTGTACATAAAAAGAAGCGTCCCTGTCTCTCGAATCCCAGCATTTCCCCCGAAGACTCAAGCAGCAGAGAAGCTCTTAATGCACTGACTCTAAAAACACGCCTTTGAAGGGACCCCGCTGCGCATGGCCTCACTGAAGGGCCGCTTGCTTTGTGCCTCCTTCTTCATACGTTCTCTCGCGCAGCGAGGTACCGCAAAATAGAGATATACATACACATATACATACATGCATGTATGTATGTATACCTATGTACCGACTGTGTGTACATGAATACGTCAGCTGGTTTGCCTGTGAAGGAAAGAGGGGGGTTATTTCGATTTTTGGGGGTATGATCCCTTTCGCAGTTTCTACAATCGTTGAGAGTGCACGAAGGCACGCATTTTTTCCGCGACGCAGCATGCTTATAGGCTGTAGCAGCGGCGCATGCAGAGAAACATCTCCGCGGCTTACAGGCAAGTGGAAGATCCGTATGAGTCGCACCGAGGCAATACAAGCCTTGAAGATGGGTGGAACACCCCCTGGAGCGGCGAGTAAGCCCCGTTCCTGCGCATGCGCAGCGAGGCCTCTGCAAAGCCTCTGCATGCTCTCCCCACAGTACAAGGCAGCCGAAAGTCGCTAGACAAAAAGGAGAATGCGGTGCGGGGGCACATACCACGTGGGAGGCGTCAACCCCAGCGAGACACACTGCTGCCCGCTGGCCTGTGCGAGCTTCGGAAGCTTCTTTGTGGAATCTCTGAATGCCTTTCACTTTCGCTGCCATGGCTACTACCCCTGCAGTTGCGGCAGAGAGCATCGTGAGGGTATCGCCGATCTTCAGGCCGCCCCTGAGGACTGTTCCTGTAACAACAGTTCCCTTCCCTGCACGCGCAAAGAAAATGACATGCGCACTTCGCAGCTGCAGCTTTTGCCGAGCCTCGACACACACATTCATGCATATATATGTACAGACAGACACACAGGCACAGACACACACATACAGACACACACATACAGACACAGACACACACATACAGACACACACATACAGACACAGACACACACATACACATACACACACAGACACACGCGAAACGCCTTGCCGCGGCAAGCAACGGGGCAGACACACCGCGTCCCTGCTACAACCCCACCCTAACACCCCCTATTTTCTGATTCCACTTAGTCCAATACAACGCAACTTTCCAAAAAGGAGGAATCCCACTGTGCTCTACCGACGCAAGCTGCACCCGGTGAAGGCTGCGAGGCCCCTTAAAGCAAAGAGAGGCACACCTCGAACTGGAAAAGCATGGTCTGAGCAGAAGAGCAGCGGAGGCGTCTTCTGCTCCCCAAAGCCGCCTTCGCGACAGCACGTGCAGCGCAGGCAACGCTGCCGATTCAAGGCATCCAGAAACAAGCAGCTCTTCACCCCCTCGAAAGGTGTACCTGCACTGCCTTGCGTAGAACCCTGCTGCTGGACAGCATAGCGAGGATCGAGAAGCAGCGCCGCAAGTGCTTCCTTCAGCTCCACTATACCCCGCAGCCTCTCCCCAGCTGCCTCTGCCGCTGCAGCAGAAGACAGCACACGCAGTCAGACACAGCGTACTTTCAGCAGCAACACGCCTTTTGGAAGGAAAGGGCTCGAGCTAACTTCACACATCGAGCAACAAACGCGGGCGAAGGCTGTTGAGCAACGTGAAACAGCAGCAGCTTGGCAGCACTTGCAAACAGAGAGAAGGCCACACCTACCAGGGGAGACAGCGCTCAGAGAGACAACAGGTACATTGCCGAACCCGAGGTTGGCGAGCAGACGTCGCATCTTTGTTGCCAAGGCTTCAGTCTGCGAAGCAGAAACCACGACTTAGCATCACAACGCCTTTGCGCTCTCTGGGGTCCCCTGAGGCTTTGAGAAAAGGCAGCGATCGAGAATCGATCGACCACCTTTCGTGAAAAGAGGCACGAGAAGGCAGAATACGGAGGGGAAGGAAGGGAAGGGGTGTCAATGGAAGCCATACGAAAAGAGCAGCGCTGGACTACACAGAGTTGACAAAGAAAGCTCTCCAAACGCTGGCGAGCTTTTAGAAAGAGAGAGAAAAAGAGAGAGAGACAGAGAGAGAGAGAAATAGCAACAGCCAGATAGAGGCGGATAGAGAGAAGGGGGGAAAGAAAGAAAGAAAGAAAGAGTGCTCTCTCCATTGTAGCCTGGAGGAGTTATGGCGCGAAGAAGAGGAAAGTGATGCAAAAGTAAACGCTGAGCGACTTGAGGTGAGTAAGTGTATGTGCCGGGAAGACCTTAGAAGGAAAGGACAAGAGGCGAGCCTTGCCTTTTGCTGTCTCGACGCCTTTGGTATTAAGTCGATTTTATTGAGGACTACGAGGAGTGGTTTTCGGATGGCTTCACATATGACAATGCATTCTGAGGGCAGAAGAACGGCATGAAGGGTCAAAAAGCCACAACAAAAAAGCCTGAAAGCAGAGGAGAGAGTGTCAAGGGTAGCTGCTGTGCGTGAGCTCGGGGGTTCTGGAATAAGGTGCACCACCCCCCCTCTCCCCCTCCGTCAGCCCATCCCACCCCGTGAGCGCTACAGATTCAAATGCAGGAGTCCGTTTTACCTGCGGTTTGCGTCTGCAGTCCCTTTGTGGCATCAACAATGAGGAGGGCAAGGTCGATGATGTGAGCACCTCCGATTACCGTCCGCACAAGGGAGGCGTGGCCTGGGCAGTCTACCAGACAGATCTGCACTTGGAGAGCCTCCTCTCGAGCGCATGCATCTGCGGGAAGCTGGATTTCAGCTGCCGCGTGTGAGGCTCTCGCTGCTTCTCTTGCAGCTTGTGCTGGAGAGGAGCCGTCCGAGGGAAGCGGCGCCGCAGTGACGGCAGCGCATGCGGCATGGGAGCTGCCCGCTGCATTCACGTGAGTGCCTGGTGTATGCGCGGGGGACGCCTTGCAGCATGGAGGTACGTGCGGCAGAGCAAGCTGGAAGGCTGAGAATCCTAAATCTAAGGTAATGCCCCTTTCTTTGCTCTGCGGATGCTTGTCTAGGCCACAGGTGCTAATTACCTGCGAAAGAGCTCTACAGAGCGAGGTTTTCCCGCTGTCCACGTGCCCCAGAACCCCCACACTCACACACACGCCTTCCTTGCTGCAACACGTAATAGAGGTCTGGCGGCTTACAGGGGCCGACGGCGCCTCATGAGGCGCCTCTGGGGATTCATTGAGGCTCCCAGAAGAGGAAATCCCCTCAGGTGGCCTATTCATGGCGGTATTTCGCGAGATTTCAGGTCGGGTGGGCCCCCTGAAAAGGCCGCAGGGGCCCCCGCGGAATTTGCGGATCTTCGGCTTATGCAGCAAGAAGATAAAAATGGAGGCTTCATGCTAGAAAGGCAGATCCAGGAGTTGTCCAGCCAAGCCAAAAATGCTCATCACAACTGGGCACTTTGTTAAGAAGCTGACTTGGGGTGTACCGACACCGCCTACTCTCCCAGCGACCACCCGAACGGAGGGAGGAGGGGCCCCCGGATGACGGGAAGGGGGGCCCCCTGCCTGCACCCTCCGTACAGCTGACCCCCGCCCCCCTTCCCCTCACAGGGAAGGCCGCTGCGAAGGATTTCCTTCTTCCACTGATAACAATTTGTTGAGCTGTTTTTTCTTCTTCGTCGCTTGACGGTGTGGAAATCAGGCAGAAGTTCGGAGGAGAGGGAAGCCTCTAGAAGGGTGCCCGGTGAGGCGCTCCGTGCCGGCATTTTTGCGGCAAAAGGATGCTTGTTCCTCTGTAAGGTCCAGTTTCCAGCGCTGCTTTCTGCCCGAGAAGTTCGTTTTCCCAGATCTGCATGCAGAAGTCTTTGTTCCTTGCTTCCGCAGTGGAGGAGAAAGCCCGCTCATGGCGTCCTCAGTTGTGGCGTTCCTTGAGGCAGAAGCGGCGGAAACAAGGCCGCCGAAGCGGCTGCCAAAGGGCCTCCCTAGCCGAAGCGCAGCAGAGGCTTTACCGGATACTGGAGGCTGTGTTGGTACACCATCGGGGGGAACTTTTGTAGCGTATAGCGATGGTGCTGGCACAGAGGGCGATGCCCCCACGCATTCGCCACGCGACACCCCGTGTCAGCCAGGGAGGCGGCGTGCAGAGGCCTCCTTCCAGGACGGCTCTGTGTCTGTTGGACAGCCCGTTGCGAAGGCTAAGGCTTCTAGAAAGGTGTACCGCAACTTGAGCACAGGAGAGGAGGGCAACCCTTTCGCAGCGGCTCCAGCAGGGGAAGCTACGGGCGTCATGCAGCACTCCGCGGCGCATTTATCCCACAATCCTCGCAAGAAGCAGCGGCGCATGCGGGAGGAAGAGGCAGTTCTTGGAAGCAGCTCGCCTGCCCCGTCAAGATCAAGGCCGCATGCAGGCACACTCCCCTCTGGTGCTCTGCTGTCAAAAAGGCAGCGTCTCAGCAGCAGCGAACCCGCAACAGGGGGGAAAGGAATTTCTTTTTCCCACCCAGACGCTTCGATGAAACGCAGAGAACCGCGTTCTTCTCGCACGTCTGGGGGAGAAACGGACGGGGGGGCGGCGCCCCAAGCTTCGCCTCGCTCGAGGGCCCCCTGCGACTTCCTCGCGAGCGCACGAGAACGTCTGCCCGTGTGGCGATATCGCAGCGAACTGCTGAAGAAGATGGAAAAGCACCAGGTGATCCTCGTTGTTGGCGAGACAGGATCTGGGAAGACAACGCAAGTGCCGCAACTGCTGCTGCAAGCCAGGCTGGGATTGCCCTCCGCCAGCTGGATAGGCGTCTCTCAGCCTCGCCGTGTAGCGGCAGTCTCGCTGGCTCGTCGAGTATCACGGGAGTTGGGTGAAGCGGAGGTGGGGGGCCTTGTCGGCTATTCTGTGCGCTTCGAGACAGTGATGAGCAAGCGAACACGCATCCGCTTCTTGACGGACGGGATGCTCGTTCGAGAGGCTTTATTAGACTCCCAGCTGAGGCGTTTCTCGGCGTTGGTTCTTGATGAAGTGCACGAGCGATCCATGCAGACGGACTTTCTGCTAGGGCTTGCAAAGACCCTCGCCATGCAGCGGCCAGAGCTGAAAATTGTTCTGATGAGTGCTACCCTGCAAGTCGACCGCTTGATTCAGTTTTTCCCTTCTGCAGCCGTCATTTCGATCCCAGGAGCCACCTTCCCCCTCAAAGTGCTGTACACTCCAGAACCGCAGGAAGACTTCCTCGAGGTGCGTGTTGCTCGGCTGCTGCTGCTGCCCTACGGAGATAGCGGGGAACAGAGAAGGGGAGTTCACGCAGAGACGGCTCGCAGCGACTCGCGAAAGAGGCGCAAGCAGGCAGATTTTCGTGATCAAAGCGGTGCAGCATGCCAAAAGAGGAAGGAGGGAGACAGGTGCAGGGCACACATTCTAATGGTAACTGCGATTGCAGTAAACACTGTGCAAAACGCCGTCTAACAAGTGCAGGGAGGGGCGACGCAAAGACAGAAAGACACACAGAGAGAGAGAAAGCCCGTAGCAAGCGTAGTTTGCAGTCTCCCTATTAGGACGGCTCACATGGTGGTATTGGAGGCATTGTGGGATGTGACGTCGAGAAACAGTTGTTCTCATAAACATTCTTCATCACCGCTCTGGCTGCTGCACGAAGCCTCACAAATTTCGCATTTCCTTGGGTTTGGGTACTCCTGTTAGGGCGGCGGGGACAGAAAGGAGGACTGGCGAGTTTGTTCTGCGCGCATGCGCGTGTTCAAATGTGCTTGCTAGCTTGCCGCTTGCATGCTTGCATGCTTGTTCGCATGCGTGTGTCTGTCTTTCTCGCTGCTGTCTGTCTCCTGATAACTATATATATATATCTGTGCACGCTCCTGTGCGCTCGCTGTGTTGTTGTAGGCGGCCATGCTCTCTGTGCTGCAGATCCACCTGGGAGAGGCTGGAGAAGGAGACATCCTCGTGTTTTTGCCGGGGCAAGAAGAAATCGAGACGTTGAGTGCAATGTTGCGCGCGAAGATGCAGCTGCTCGAGGCGTATGTCATGAAGTACCGCCAGGAGTTCGGTGAAGAAGCAGAGTTCTCCGTTCGCCTCGGGGATGTAGTGTACAGACACCGCAAAATGCAGCGCCTTTTTGTGTGTGCAATCTACGCGGCACTGCCATTCGACCAGCAGCAGCAAGTCCTCCAACCTGCGCCTCCCCAGTACGCGCGCAAGGTAAAGCCTCTTGTAACTCCTGCATTTGTAGATCTGCTTCCAGCAGCTGTCGCCTTCTGCGGGAGAGGGAGCGATATGCTGCACACTTGTCAGGCTGCAATTTAATCTCGCCAACGTTCAGAATGCGCGCATGCAGGCTGTCCTCGCAACAAATATTGCGGAGACTTCCTTGACTGTCAGCGGCATCCGCTTCGTGGTGGATAGCGGCCTTCGGAAGGCTAAAGCGCGAGACTACAGGACGCACTCTGAGGCACTACGGCTGCAGGTGTGCTTTGCGTGAACATTCTTTCAAAAGCATCGTTTCCTAAGGCCTCGTTTTGTTTCCCCTGGTTGCCCTTTCAGTCGGCATCTTGCGCTTTGCGAAAAAAAAACTTACAGAAGGAGAAACCCTTCGTCAAAGCGTTTCTCCTGTCGCGCGTGTATCTCTCTGGTTCCTTCGTGGCGTGTGTCTTTGCGGTTTCCTCGTGTACATACACCTGGTGGAAGAGGTGTTTGTTGTGGCGCTTGCTTTCCCACAGGAAATCTCACAAGACTCTGCAACACAGAGAGGCGGAAGGGCAGGCCGTGAGGCACCAGGTGCGTTCTTCCTTCGAACTTTTGAAGCCATGAAGTGCCCCCTTCACCCCTCAAAACCCCTGCCATAGACGTCAGCAGCGTGATCGAGGCTGCAGCACTGCACCATGCACGGCCTCTGCATGCATGCGTCACGCAGGAACTGTCTACCGGCTATACACTGAGGACTGCTTCCACATGATGCACGCCCATAGGACTCCCGAAATTCTGTGCTGCGATCTCTCACAACTTTTTCTGCAACTCAAAGTAAGCGCGCATTGTCTGTCTGTCTCTGTCTGTCTCTGTCTCTCTCTGTGTCTCTGTCTCTGTCTGTCTCTCTCTCTGTGTCTCTGTCTCTGTCTGTCTCTCTCTCTATCTCTCTCCTTTCTTTTCGTCTCTCGCCACATATTTTCCCCTTCCAACGCACACGCTCCTCGGCAGTTCTGTAATGGGGTGCAACCGGCTGGTGGATATCGCGAAGCTGCTGGTCTGCAGCCATAAGAAAGCTCTCTAAGGTGCTACGCTTTTGCGACTGCCGATCCTGCAGGTTCTGGGTGTTGAAAATCCCCTGGAGTTTCCCTTTCTGGATGCGCCTCCTCGCGAAGCATTTTATTCAGCTGGCCGTCACCTCTACCGTCTCGAAGCGATCGACAGCCAAGGCGCTATCACCTCCCTGGGGTATGCCTTCGCTCACACATGCACTGCGCGTGTTGGTGTTGGTTACTTCGCTAGAGTTGTGCCCTCTTTCCAGATTCCTATCTGCATCCGCTTGCCTGTGGGGTGTCGATCAGCAGATTAAGTGTCTGTACGGCATGCACGTCCAGCTGTCGAGAGAGGCCGGCACAAAACAGCGAGCTGCTGTGTTGTTGCATTCTCGAGCTTCTGCTTTGTCTGAGACGGAAGGCTTCACACGCGCAAAGCTGCCACTTGTGCGCATATGTATATATATATATGTGTATATGTGTGTATATGTGTGTCTGTTTGTACTGCTATCAGGAGACAGATGGCAGCTCTCCCGTTACCGCCACAGCTGGGTGCCTTGTTGTTAGCTGCTGTGTCTCTTGAGTGCGAGAACTCAGCACTCACACTGGCAGCCATGCTATCCGCTGAGAACGTCTGGTCTGCGTCTCTTAACTTGCCTCGTGTGTTCTCCTGCCTCCCGCCACAAGTCCACGCCAGACACAGAGCCTCACACACTTACCGCCCTTCCAAGCGTTGCGTTTAGACCTAGTGGGCTGCTGCAGTTGCCCAGCAGGCGCTAGACATCGCGTGTGCATGCAGAGAGAGACAGAGATAGACAGAGAGACAGAGATAGTGAGAGACAGAGATAGTGAGAGACAGAGATAGTGAGAGACAGAGAGATAGTGAGAGACAGAGATAGTGAGAGACGGAGATAGAGACAGAGAGATAGTGAGAGAGACAGAGAGATAGTGAGAGAGACAGAGAGATAGTGAGAGACAGAGAGATAGTGAGAGACAGAGATAGTGAGAGACAGAGATAGACAGAGAGACAGAGATAGAGACAGAGAGATAGTGAGAGAGAGATAGAGATAGAGATATGCCACGGCGTGGCAGTTCCTTTGACTGCCCCTACGGAAGGCCTGGGGATGCTGTGCTGTGCTGTGACGTAGGTGGCGCAGCGGCAGCTCTTGAGCGAGCAAGGAAGCGGTTTACGGATCCTCTGAGCGATCATCTTACCCTCGTGGGGGCGTACAATCAGTGGCTTCAAGTGCGGCATTTTCCAGTCATTTACACGTCCATACCCCAGCTAGCTAGCTAGCTAGCAGCCTGACGCGCAGCGTGAAGGCTGCTGCGAACAAAGCCCTTTTTGCCGAGTGCTCGATGACGGGCGCCGGACAAGTGTTTCTTTTCGTCTTTTAGCGAAATCTTTGTCTCCTTCTGCAATCTCTGTGTTGCTTTCTTATTCGCGCACCCATGGCTTCAGGCAGACGATCCCCGAAGTTTCTGCAGAGAGGCAGGATTGCAACACGCTGCGCTGCTGAGAGCGCATGCTATCAGGCAGCAACTGCAGGACTGCATGGTGGCGTTAGGCATCAGCAAGCCTTCTCACCTCCACGATGCATCGGGAGAGGCCTTCCTGGCCTCTTCTGAGGAGCCACAAAGAACGCAAAAGGATGCCCTCAATCTGAGGCGGTGCCTCGCGAAGAGTTATTGGCAACAGGCAGCACATCTGCAGCCAGAGAGCCGCCAGTTTGTTACTGCGGTACGTCGTTCAGCGTTTGCTCCTCATTATGACTGTGTGTGTCTATTTAGAGGCATTGTGTATTTTTCAAGGCGTGGGGGCTTTTCTAAACTGCCTCACACACCACTGCCACCTACCTGGTTGCGGGGAGGGGACCACGGAACACCACCCCAGTACAGCCACATCCACGCAGCTAATCTGCAGCGGCACACAAAACAACCGCTTTCAAGTGTAGCTACAGTGTAGCAACACGCGGCGGCCATGTGGAGGTTTGCTTGAAGCAGAGGGGTCATACTCCATACAGTTCGTCGTATGAGGCAAAAAACATTCTTTCCGAGGAAACGCAGCACGGCATGAAAGGGGGAAGACGGCCTGTGAGAAGGGATATCCCACGGCTACCGTCCGTTACTGCACATATGCCTGACTTTGCAGGTGCACCGCCAGACAGCCAAGATACACCCTACAAGTGTTCTGTGCAATGCCCCGAACCCCCCACAGTGAGTCAGTCCCCCCAAGCTAGAGAGCGCTTTGCCTTTGATTGATTGAGCATGCATGCATGCCGCTTGCCATCTATTCAATGCGTTCAAACATGCGGTTTACACGGGTATTCCCAGGCGAAGTGCTGGGAAGCTTGCAGCTTTTTTCGATGCGGTGGATAGTCTACCTACACCTCTCATACGCATAACCCTTCCAGTCCCTCTTGATGCTGGGCATGTAGGACCTCGGCGCGTGTAGGTAGCACCTAAGCTAGCGCGTGTGCTGCAGTTTTTCGGCAGTGTCTTGCTGCCAGCTGTCGCTCGCAGGTGGGTGGTCTACACGGAGCTCATACACACCTCTAAGGCGTACATGCGCTGTGTCACCGCCATAGAACCTGCGTGGCTGCGGGAACTGGCCCCTAAGTGGTTTACGAGTCTGGGCTCTTAGGCACTCTAACGCGCAAAACGCAGTTCACCACATGTTCACACGCATTTTCTCGGGTCGTCGGCTGCCACTTTTAAGGCTAATTTCTCATTGGCCAGACTGCCATTCTTTGGTGCCTTGCTACCTGCGCTTGAAACGGCGGCAGAAGAACTATTTGGCTCCATGCCGTCAGCTCAACCCTGTTTACCGCCTACAGAATACATCCTAGTTCGAACCGGATGCACACACTAAGACTTCTTCACACGTAGGGGGGTGCTGCTTAGGGGTACAAGCGTTTGTGCTTCGTCCTCGACCGCCTTTTATATAGAGGTTCTCTTCGTCAGTCAGCTTGACTTCGGTATATTCCGTTCCCATGCGCATGTCGGACAGATGGTCCAGCTGCTTTCTCTAGAAACGCAATCACAGACAGCCCACCACCCCGGGCTGGCAAGCCGCACTCAGATGCTAGCAATAGAACCCCTGCAAGGCAGCCTACTACTCACTAAGGCCATTTCTTCTCACTGGACTCGCAGATCCCTAAGCATCTCGCATTCGACCTTCGCTACTGGCACACCGTGGTGCACTAAGCCATCAGGCGGAAAAAAAGTTTCATGGGGAAGTTAATATTTACAAAGAGGCTGCTTTGTTGAAAAAGTCCAACTGCTTCCTTTACGAATTGCGCCTTGGGATCTCACATATGATTATACTAAAAGGGGACCGGCATACTGCATTTCGGCCATATGCCTATCTAGGGCTTTGTGCTGTCGGTTGCAGAGTTTTGCCCAATACTGTTGAAACCTCAACAGGCATGGCCTATTGACTGGGTGCAACGATGTACTCCACAGATCTACCATGACGCGGGGTAATAGTGATGCGGACGTTAGGTTTCGAAGATTGGAATGTATGCTGAAACACTGGAGCGGTGCACCATGGCCCCATTCCTTGTGGCTGCGCTGCGACTTTGACCCCTGTACCTGGGCACACGAACTGCCGTACAAAACGGGAATTCAGATCGGACAGCTCTGGGGGCGGAGATACCGATGGAGGAAACTTTGTCGAGTACATCCTTGCCATGGTGGGATCAAACATTCGCTGTTGTATGTCCTTCTCCTGCAGCTGTTGAAGTGTTCGATTTGAAGGCTCTGCACCTCCAGCCAGTGAGGATTCCATGGCAGAAAGATATAGGGTGGAGGAAATCCGCGAATGTGCAGAAGTCTGGTTGGGGGAGCTCTGCTGTGGTGGTGGCTAGCAGTGGATAAAAGTGACCAGTGGAAATAAAACGCGTCTCGTGAGAAATACCTTACTTTACCGAGAAATACCCCGTGCTCTGATATCCGATATGTACAGCACTGCTTTTACTCTATACTATCCAGCATGCAGAAGGATACACCCGCAGGAAGGCATCGGAGGAGCGACCAGCCAGCCTAAAGGGCCTCGTCCCGGGCAAGGCTGTCTCGGGCGCAGCCATGGTAGCAAACACAACCCTACCCGAAGGGTCTCTACATTGTTCTATATGCATTGTATTAGTGTTCTTATTTGTCGAATTATTCAAAATTAGGCATAAGCAGCAGGCACGCCGAAAATATTGATACCCCTGGGCGTACGTGTGTGCCAGACTAACTGTTGTGAAGAACACTGTCGCCAGCACCAACTCACAAAAACAAGCATGCATCCACTACCTCAATATGATGGGTCGATTTTCACATTTTTAGAGCGTTTCATGTAGAGGAATATCTCAATGTGAGGCGAAATAACAAAGTATCCAGATCAAAGGCTAATCAACTGGCTTGCCAGGACAGGGAGGGATTCGACTGGGATTACTGATCGCACGAAACAAAGCGAACGAATGCAAGAGTAGAAAACTCTACTAGGGCTCATGGCTCTCCTTGAAAGTGCGTAGTACACCGTGCTTTGGGGTCTCGTGTCGCGAGACCCCAAAGCCCTTTCGGCAGTAACACATTGCTGTAGCGTGCCAAGCTCATTAAACAGTCACCACCCTGTGGATTTGCGTAGGACGATTTGCAGCGGGTTTGCCTCATGATGTCAATCTTATTGTAAGATACTTGCTACAGGGCATTATTTGCAATATTCTAGAAGAAAATACGCAGTGCGCCAGTGCGATATGCAGCTTCGGGCCCAACAATACTTAGACAACCTACAAAGGTGCCGCCTGGCATATTTCCTTGTGGTCGAAGCCTGTTGGTGACGGATCAAGTAGACGGCCAAGTCGCTTTGGAAAGTGCAACGCATTATTTTCTGAAGTTCTGACTACCAGCCTTCTTGTGTAACGCTCGATATAAGTTTTTCGTCCGGGGAATCATTTCCGGCGTCAGTACAAAAGCTATAGAAAGTTACTGAGCGTCCCCAAAGAACTCGTATCTTCTATGCCCACGTTCTTTTGAATTTTCGATATCAGGGGAGAGGGGCAGGCAAACTCCACAGAGCTTCAGCCTCAAGACACGCTGGGCATTCACCGCTACTTACACATAGCACGTAGGGCGCACATGCACAACATTGAGTCTTCTTTCTACCGAGCTTACAGTACTATGAGGTTAAAAATAACAAGGGCATATATCAATTAGGTCATGCTCACCTGGGTCTTGACTAAAAACCAATGAAGTGTAGCTGCCTATGCATAGCATTGTCCGCTTTATATTTGCTCGAATTTCGCCTCAGGTGCCACTCACAGATGGCCCGGAATACATACATGCGTACTGGTATGCCTTCTAAAAGGCTTCCAATTTCATCTCTGCACCTACTCGGACGGTGATCGAATACGAAGATAAGCATATCGCATGGGACCAAAGGGGAGTTGAAAGTCATTCTGCTGTGGAAGGTTTCCTTCACTACCCCGAGGGGTGTACGCGTCCGTGCTGTGTAAAAACTAAGCTTGTTTAGAAAGCCTTGTAGGCCCAAGGGCCTTGGTCTTCTCGCGATCCTCAAACTACAGGGGGTGAAATCCACGCTTCTCCCTTTCCATATTGATGCATTTGTACGCTTCTGTGCCAGGTGGAACAGGTGCAAAATGGTTCTTCCTCCTGAATGTCAGAGGGGCTGATGGCAAAAACCCGTGTTTTCAGTTTTCGCAACTTATGTTCGTCTTTTCAGACCCAAAAAGTTGGCTTCAACTCGATACTTGCAGTCAACGAACTGAATGACTTTGCAAACTGGAGTACTGCAACCTTTCGAAATAGCCCACGGCAGCACCCAACCCAGCACAGCCCGACATCGAGCCAAGATCGTACGGCACAATTGCCAATGAAGCCCGGAATCTAGCAGACAAAGCTCACTTCAAGACTCAGCAAAGCCTAATGTGAAATGCGTATCCAGTAAAGCCCCATGTAATAGGGAGTCTGCGTGGCCAATGTCATAGCGTAGCATCATGTCTCTATCATAACCCAGCTACAAGGCGTGCCGTGTTGTGTATATAAATTGGTCGAAGACAGAAAATTAAGCAAGAACCTGTCTGAGAAAAAAGGCACCGCTGGAACTGCCGAAGAGTCCCATAAATGCCATTTTCAAACCTTTGTCGGAACCAGTGGGTGGCGGCGTGCAGAGAGTGCACTTTGCGGCAGTTGCACCCTATAACGTCAGCACGGCCAGCTAGCTAGCAAGAAGCAGCTAGTTGCCTTTACTACGGTGCGACAATGACTCTAAAACTATGCATCTGCTGGAGGCCGCGCAGGAAAGGCCACTTGGACGTGCCCCCCACATCCTATACCTGCGGTGACGAATACTCTTTGTGGGGTCTCACTTAACACTTGTGCTCCCCCACAATGAAGAGCTAGTAACCAGATATGAACACCCAGCACCTGGACGCCTGTCAGCAGCTAGCGCAGGTTGAGCAAGAGTACACGTTCCTTGCCATCTGCCTGATCGGGTCGTACACGCGCTTTTCTGGATTTCCGGTACGGCGAATGTATACTGGAGGGGCGACGTAAGACTCCGTTGGCAGCTTATATTCTCGAGCGCCTGTCAAACCTGTATCGAGCTCTTTATAGTAGATGCCTTGGCGGTAGGCTTCACCGGCGACGTGGGCCACTGCGTGAGAAAGAGGAAAGCACAACAACATGAGAACTTATTTTTGCATCACGATCCTCTAAACCGCGCCTCAGGAGTACAATACTATGCTTGTTCTTTCGCTGAATCAGCACTCTGGCCACCATCCTCCTTCCTCGGCGCTCGTGCTCAGGGGAAGCAACACCGCCTTGCCTAGCGGGAGCCCTGTGCCTGAGACGGTTGGGCTGGATGCCGCCGCACGCCTGTGCAGGAGGCAAAAGAACAGCACAGAAATAGGGGTAGTTGGAGGATAGTGTATTTTGCTTACGAATATTGCGTTCAAAGAAAGCCGTGTCCTCTTCTCCTGTTGGAATATATGTATGCCATCTCCTGATGACAGTCTCGGTATTGCGTCGTCTCAGCTTGTCCCAATATGTGAAGTCCTTTGTCTCGTAAGTTGAAATTCTCTTGATGAAACCTTCAGGGTCCTCCTCTGTAACTACCGCGTCAAGTGGTTTAATGGGCGGGGGCGCGCCAAAGACGCCATAGATTCTGTCTGCATGTTTTGAATCAGCCCTTTGCAACATGGTGAGGTAATGTGCGTGTTCTCGCATCTGCTCTTCCTCCAGACCTCTCATGGTATTCTCTTGCTCCTGCAATTCTTTGAGTTCCTTCAGCTGACTCTGGTCAAGGTTCTGCTGGCTGTGTAGGTGCATTAACCGCTGCTGGACCATTTGACGTTCTCTGAGTGCGTTCTGTGTCTCCATATCCTCTTCGTTTTCGGACAGTTGCTCCGCTTGTTTCCCTTCGCCACGCCATGCCTCCTCTGCCACCAGCACGGGAAGCACTGCCCTAAAACGAGAGTTAGCTAAAAGGGGCGATTCTCTAAGCATGCAGTCCCGTTTAATGCAGTGTAATCAAGGGCTGAAGTATCGGATGCAGACTTAATCAGCTGCTTATTCATGGATTTCAGCAGCTTGCAGCATCAGATGTGTGCAGGAATTGTAATGAGAAGCTTCTTACCTGAATGTGTAGCGGCGGGATTCTTTGGCGTCACTGCATGGACAGTTACAAGATTTCCAGGATTCGGCTGGGCCCTGAGCTCTGCTGGTATTGGAGTGTCATCGGCGCGAATCACCACCGAGAGGGAGGGCGTGGTGACGGAGAAGGTGTCGAGGACTGAGTATCTGTTCGCCATGGTGAGAATTAGAAGGACGTGGAATAACCTGGATGAAAGAAAACTACAGTTACTAGGGAAATTAGGACAAGGAAAACCTGAAGCTGCACGGAGGCGTGATGTATTACCGCAGGCGACAATCGAGTAACGAATTCTTCGACCCAGTACAAGAGAGGAAAATACTCGTAAAAATGAACGGAAATAGACCTGTTTCTGTGGTACAACAAAAGAAAACGTCAGGAATCTTGATTTCTGATGGAAAAAGCTCGAATAATGCCGATATGAGTAGAGACGAATGACCGCGATTTTCTACGGCCTTGACCGCCTCGCTAGCAAGTCGTGGCTAGCGTCCAGGTGGGGCCGTTGGAGCACATGAATTTAGTGCTCCTTCTTGCAGCCCTCTCTTTGCGACACATTGCGTCGTTATATACAGTTAGGAATCGTTTAAGCATGGCTTATTAATGCCATGTATGCTCATAAGGCAGTCAGGGAGTTGCATGGAGTGGCTCAGCTGAGACCCGTCGAGGCTCAACAGGCTTGCGCAGCGCTCTCTGCAGATCCAATGCAACATTGCCGAGGTGCTGTACAACATCAGCGAATGCAGTCTTTCTGCTTAACAGCAAAGTCTCTCGATGGTAAGTGCTCTGGTTTCGCGGTTTGCTTAGGAGCTGACAGCAACCCAGGGAGTCGGTCATGCAACTTGTAGTACAGTGGCAGGCTTTGCTTTCCAAGGCGGGTTCTCCAAAAGCAATCGCTACTCCCTGCTCTGAATCGGGTAATCTGCAGGCGTTACGGCACACCTGGCCATAGTGTAGCTTTTAGCTTTTTGCAGCATCGTGTGCCACGCAGTGCTTCAGCTCTCAGGGGCAATCCGAACTTGCAATGTTTTAGTCTACTTTCCGTCCTGCAGTATTTATTATCAGCATAGCCACATTACGTATCAAGAGGCAGGGTCGTTTTCCGTTGCCAATGCACTTCGGATCAGCCACAATGGACCTGCTTGAGCCGACATTTTGTTGTCAACATGGCACAAGGTCACGTGCCTTGAAACCCTACACAATGGTTGTGACGCTCCACAAGCTTCCAGTAGCGCTTTGCACAGCCCTTTCTATTGCATGGGTGCTGCTAGTCATGCTGCCCCGCGACACTGCCCTATTTCCACCCGCTTCCTTATGGCTGCCTTTCTCGGTTTCAACAGACACACAACCAGCGGAAAGACACCCCACGAATTCCGCAAGTTGCGACTCATCATATGGAAGCAAGTAGTCCACGCTGGTAGAGGGAGCAGTACAGCTCGAAGTCAGAACCTATGCGCGAGCTAACATTTATTTACAACGGCGCCAGGGCGTGGCAGCTTTAAGTAACTCGGCGACTGTTCTTACATCCCCCCTGTATGCTCGTATGCATTATTCTCCATTTAAATTCTTTACATCATTGGTTTTACCCTATTGGCCAGACTATCTAGTGAGTCAATGGTCCTCAATCAATTTGACCCGTAGTCACTCCTCGTATTGTGCTTAACAGCACCAAAATACCAACCCCCCCACACCCCGGACAGCAAGTAAATAAAACCTGTGTCTCACGGTCTGATACGAAACGATGCAAGCTTGCAATAGCGAGCCTTTTGCCCATGCACGCCACCCCACTCTTCGCCTGCTGATTAGTGCCCTGCCAAAGTCCGCAGATAGATGCCCATCAGACTTGACCGACTGCATGCTACGCCATGGTCATTCAAGCTCGAAGGGGATGGGCAACCGGTAGGCGCATAGCCGCCTGCAGGCAAAAAGTGCCGTCTGTTTCGCTGTTTAACTCTGGCACTGCCGCTCCCCTACTTCAGACACGCGTAAAAATGAACTGCTCCTGCTGCCTAGGCAAACTCAAGGATCTTTGTTATGCGCCCTGCGGCAATAGTCTTCCCTGAGACAGACCACACAACAAAGCCCTACCGCACACACTTCAAATGAAGGGCAGACTAGTCCTTTTCCAATGGCAGTGTTTTTCAGACACCGCTTGGCACGATGAAGCACCATGCGTGCCCAGGCAACTCCATACACCCTTCTTATACACACACATGGCCAGGCAAAGAAAATCAGAGGTATGGGAATAGCCAAATAATGAAAGAGGCAACCACTGTGGCAACATCGCCACCCACTGTGTTTCATCTACTGAGGTCCCAGCAACGCCCTTTCTTGCAACCCGCCGCAGAGGGCTCTCCCTCCTACGCCTTTGGTTCGTGCTTCTACTTTCCCTATATAGAACCCCTGCGCGGCACACCTTCATCACGAAGCGTGAAGCGCCCTAGCTGGGAACAGGCCTCATACTCCTCCACGCACATGGGCTTTGAGAGCTGCGACAGCGGCGTCAACAAGGGCAGAGGGGAAGAAAGCAGTGCAGGTAGGCAGACACACGCGGCTGGAGAGCTCCTCCTGCCCCAATATTCCCCGCGAAGGAACAACAATCAAAAAGCACTATGCCCCAGCGTGCAAAGCCGATGCATATGCTGCTCCAATCGTTGAGGCAAAACTTCATAAAGACGTGTGGATGCCCCCAGCCAGGGAAGTACAAGTACAGCGGAGGGTCACGGAGCACTTCATGAGGAAGTACTCACCAAAATCTCGATGCTGACCAGACAGTCGCTCTTCACGAACTGCGGATTCGTCTTCTTCTTTTTCCCGTCAGAAGACTCTGCAGCAAAACACCCCCAGCCCCCCAACGCCCAATCAATGAGCACGTGAGCTTCAGATGACACTGCTGCAACTCTCGCTGAGGGCAACCTGCACTACACTAGACAAAGGGGAAGCTACGGTGAGGAACGCTGCCCGCTTGACGTGTCGAGTCCTCCGCTTAGGACCCGTAAGCAGCCATAAAAAAGCGCATGCAGGAAGCCCCAAGTCTCGAAGCTAGCCAGCGAGCAAGACCGCGAGAACGCACCGTGAAGCTTGCCCAACATAACTTCTTCCCGTGCAGTATGCACATGCATTATGCATGTGTAGCCCGCAGTGAGGAGAGGCCGGTGCTCCAACAACTCCATGACTTTCACATAGGCGAGAATCTTACTAGCCACTGGGCAGGGAGCCTCCGGGCAGCACAAAACAGCGCCGCTATAGAGGGCGTCCTCTTCACACCCCAGCAGCTTGATGCGAACGTTTTCCCCTACACTTGCGTATCCCACATCGTCCTCATCAATGTAAATGCCAGAAACTTTCACGCGCTTCTTGTTAGGCATCAAAACAACCTGCAGGACAAGACAGAAAAGCTGGGGAACACAGAGAGCTGCGCGCAGGCTCCCTGCATGCGCGAAGTCCCCTAATACCCCACACAGACACCCCCAAACTTCCCCCCTTACTCCTGGTCGAGAAAACAGACAGACAGACAGACAGACACCTCCCCTTTAAAATCTGCTACATTGCAGCAGTCTCACGGTCATGCCAAAGGTGACTGTGCCAGCCTCCACTTTCCCCAACGCTGTCACGCCGTTATCCTTGTACCTACACTCAGGAAACGGCACAACTCGATGTGGAAAGATGCAATTTTAATACTGCTGCCCATTCTAGGTGTTCGCTGCATCGAAGCTCGAAGCAAGAGACACCCAATCAAATCGTATATGCCGCATTGCCTACTCCATGTGGAAAGACCTCAAGCCCTATTATTCCCGCAGGCCTTTGCCGTTTCTCCGTACAGCCAGGAAAAAGACAAGCCGACCTCCTACGGAAACGACTGCCTGCTCTCCTGCCGCTCGTGCATGCCTCTAGGCTTCTCAAAGCCTTTCCTCTCACCCGTCTAGAATAGGGATCCTCAGAGCCGCATTCGGCTTCCTAGGGGGAGGTGTCAGGCCGTCAAGCACTTCAAATAGTGTCGGCTCCTCTGCACTATACCAGGAAGCCTTAGCGTCGAAGCAGGGACTATCCTTTCGCGAGACATGGCACTGCAGCAGAAGAAATCAAAAGCCCACGTATACATATCCCCATAAATGCACATACAAAGATATATATACATACATATACACGTACAGACGCACACACACCGATATACATATATAAACATACACACACACACACATATATATATATATAAACATACACAAACATACAAACATCCACAAACACACATAAAACATCTGTATGCATATGCTTTTCCTTCCTGAAGGGTCCGCTGCTTGAAAAGGCACAAAAAGTGACCCTTAAGCGGACTGTGCGAAATACCCACGTCATTCAGGATGTTACAAGCATAAGAGTAAGTTGTACGAAGACCATTGGCGGCTTAAAAGGGAGCACTGCAACATTCGCCATGAGGAATGTATCCACGACACAGCGTCACCCCACTTTTTTCAAGAAATCTAGCTCTGGCAGCCTCCAAAATCAGAAGAACAGACATCAACGCCAGACAAAGACCGGCCGTGTGTGTGCGTGCGTTTTGCTGTGAGCCACCATAGAGCGAGAGGGGCACGCCACAGGAAAACATGGGAAGTTTTGTAGGTTCTTTACCTTCAGGTTCTGTCCTGCCAGGCCCGAAATCGGGATGTATACCAAGTTTTTCCCCAGAACGAATCCGCAGCCTTGAAAAAAAGCTTTTGTCTTCCTGATAATTTCTCGGTATCGTTCTTCATTCCACTGGCACGTTGATTCATCCATTTTATTCACTGCCACGACCAGCTGACACACTCCTGAAAATGCATGCACGCATGCAAAAGGCTGAAGAGGCATGCAAAACACCGCGGTCAATCAACGAGGCACTATGGCGCGATCGTCTCAGAGGGAGGGAGGAGGCTGAATGCCAAAGTGCAACTAATGCATTAAACGCTTTCCCCGCTAGATACGTGTTCGCGAAAAGTAGCCCGCTTGCACGGAGCAGCAGCAAGTCATGGGAAAATGGCAAGAGGGCAACCCGACCAACTACTGCACACATTTTAAAACTTGAGGATAGAAATTCAAGTCCTCGCTTGCGACCCCCGATGTATGCAAGTACCACACAGTCCAACGACAACAACCAAGTACATGGTTGGCTCTTACCCAAGGTTTTCGCTAGCAACGTGTGTTCCCTCGTTTGTCCACCTTTTTCAAATCCTGTCTCGAATTCGCCTTTCCTGGAGGAAATAATGAGCACCCCAATGTCTGCCTGAACGGAAACACACAGAGGATCGTTTCCCACGCGCGGCAACACATCCTCGCACACGCAATGATGCCCTTCCAAAAAACTCACACACGAACTTCTACAAGGCAAAGGATGTGAGCGTGAAAAAAACCAATGTGAAAACGGAGGTGGCTGCGTTTACCACTAGCGATCCTGACTTTCAAAAGTACTCAAGCAACTGCCACGATACTCCAAGTCCCAGCCATATTCCTACCTAAAGACGCTTCCTTGACCCCCTCTTCCACTCCCCAACCTGAACCTGAACCTCCAACCCCACCCACCCCTCCAACCGTTATTGCCCCCCTATAAGCCAAGCAGCAGCCGGCCGCCTTTCTGTTAGAGGAGAAGGGGAGCACATAAAGACTTCACGAGCCTATGCTGCCTGCCTGCCTGCCTATCCTCCCTGCATTCGGCATACCTGAGCTGCACCTTCAATCATGTTGGGTACGAAAGCCTTATGTCCTGGAGCATCCAGCAGCGTGAAACGTCTGTTGGGAGTGCTGAAGTAGGCACGGCCTACTTCCACTGTCTTGCCCTGAAGACGGTGAAAGCCGCACAGGAACGCAATTGAGAGTTTTTTCGCATTTTTCCAAGGAGGGTAAGCCCTTTCCCTCTCCTCCTCATTATGAGTAACTCCTCCCCATTATTAGCAACCCCTCATTATGAGTAACTCCTCCCCATTATTAGCAACTCCTCATTATGAGTAACTCCTCCCCATTATTAGCAACTCCTCCTTATGAGTAACTCCTCCCCATTATTAGCAACTCCTCCTTATGAGTAACTCCTCCCCATTATTAGCAACTCCTCATTATGAGTAACTCCTCCCCATTATTAGCAACTCCTCATTATGAGTAACTCCTCACGCAGCTGACACCCACGAAAACAACACTTCACCTTTTGCCGCTCCTCTTCATTCGTGTCCATCACGAACGCTAGGAACCAAGAGTCCCTGTTTTTCTCCTTTGCCTCTCTTTCGTATTTCTCAATGGTTCTGGAGTCGACACCCCCCGTGAGGTAAAGGATGTTGCCGCAAGTCGTGCTCTTGCCAGCATCAACATGGCCAATGAATACAATGTTCAGATGCGGCCTAGGGTCAGGCTTCATCTTGGCAGACTTCCCGGGAGCTACGCCTGGAGCTGCAGTTTCCTCTGCTTCTCCCTCCATAGGGGGGGGAGAAGCGTCTGGTTCCGATGTCTCCCCCGGGGTGGCCTTCTCCGCTTCTATACTGTCATCTGAACGCGCTTAAATGCCAGAAAAAAAGCGGGGTAGCAAATCCGACACGACGAATAAAGACCGCAGCACATGCATAGCAGCGTGTACGAGCAAAGACGCCTACGCAGCACGTGCAAAACGCCCCCTCTCACCCCTCCCTTCCCCCCGAGAAAGTGCAGAAAATTCCAAATGCGGGGAGGAAGGCCTCCTCGCGCTACTCCTCTCCCTTAAACAACTACTTGCATGCTGTGAGCTGAAGGGCCTCTAGGCAAGCGTTGTTTGCAGCAGCAGCAGCAGCCAGCCGTTTTTTTCAGCTTTTCACGAGAACCCCTCAAGACAAGTCCGATCAAGGCACATAGGAAGCAGGAAAGAGCAAGACACAGGAAAACGCTTTACACAGGCAGAGACAGCAGGGAGTGGCGATGTGCGAGGTGCAAGGCTACCGAGGTACCACAAATGCGACTGCCGCAAGGGCAGCGACAAGACTCGCAAGAGTCCAACCGTCACATACACACCCACACGCATATGACGAACACATAACAAGCCAGAGAGAAATTTTAGGCCGCCTCAGTCATGAGAAAAAGGCAAGAGCGATTCTTTTTTACCTTCTTCATCCCATGAGTGCTCGTTCTCATTAAGGGTAGCGGCCTCCATGCCGCTACAGAGTTCATTCAGAGCAACTTGCTGCTGGGGTGCTCCAGCCGAGGCAGCCGCAGGCTGCTCTGCCTGAGTTGGTAGTGGCGTCTTTGAGCGCTCCTCAGCAGCAGGGGCCGCAGGCATCATGAAGGGTTGCCCTGCAGCAACACAGTTGCAAAAGACAACCAGTGCATGAGGGAAGCGCTCCAACCTGAATTTCCAGAGCAGGCTACCTTCCGAAGCAGTAGAGCCACGCGTTTTTGCCGCATGAAGGACACGAAGCACACGCTCTTTCGGTTTGTCATGAAGGCAGTTCGCGGCTTCCAGGGAGTCGGCAGTCACGATGCGCGGCAGCAGCCCGCAAGCACGGGGAGGGCAGCTGCTGCGGTAGGGTCGGCGTACCCGGAATGAATACAGGAGCGTTGGAATTGAGCGAAGACTTTGACATTGTGCTGTAGCTGAACCGGAGAGAGCAAAACTTGCCTGCCGGCAAAACTACAACGCGGAACGGCCGGCGCTCCTCAGCAACGAACCCAAAAGTGCCTCAGAGGAGGATGCGAAGGCCACACAGCCGACAAACCCAGGATATATAAAAGGGGATCCAGGTGGATTTAGCACAAGAACTAAAGTGTTAGACACCTGCGTGCTGAGCGGTAGTGGTCTGGTGTTTGGGCACGACGAAGGCATGCAAATGCTAACAGCCCCTATCAAAGATCCGGCTGCGCGCACTGCCAGTCGCTCCTTCCATCATTGACTGCTTGACTTTATAACGTATAATGCAGCTCTAAATCCATCCTTCCCCAACGAGATGTTCGAATCCGTAAAGCCAGATCCAGATCACGGTACAGAACATCGGGCAGCCCCCGTGCGCCGCCTGGTTGTCTTCTTTGAAAATACGGCTACCATCTTCTAGAGTGAAACAATTAGCGGGAAGCAGAGATTCGTACATGCAATATTGTTGGCCGGTGAAAACATATTCTGCTGCGGCTCCCTGCCTTCGCATGACATCATGCATACACACAAAGGGGCAGTGGGTGTTTTTGGTTGGCATAGCCAGGAAGAGAAACAGACACACTCCATTAAAGAAGTGAAGGTCCCTACCAACGGGCCTGCATGTGGCAACATGCCGCACACCCGAGTGAGGCCTAAGCAGTCGGCCAGCAGCCTATAATCCGCGCGCTGTGCTGATGCCCAATGTTGCAAACCATCGTACCTTTAAGCGCTTGTTATTAACCTGTTACATTCACTTAAGAACCGGTGAAGAATTATCTCTTTGGTTAATGCGTTCGTGTATTTTTCTAAGCCTCTCGTACCCTTAGCTCGATACAAGAAACCACATTGTTGCATGCTTATGCACGAAGTGCTTTGTGCTACTGGTTGTGAATGCTCGGGGGTCTCAGAGGGTGCAGCTAAGCGTACTTAAGCTACTTTATTTCCCTCCTCTCGTGTATTGTGGAATAGAGGGGCACAATCACGCGGGATTCCTTCTGACAAACACTTAGTAACTTTCCATTGGGTCCCATTAGGGCCAATAGTGTCTTCCTAAGGAGACCTTGGACATGTTGTTTGGTAGACGCATCTCCGACTCACACAGTATGGCAGACTGGCTGCACCAGTTGACTTTTTGTCTTTTCAGTAGCATGGTATATGCAGCTCGAGCGTGCGCACAGCTCCGGAAAGTGCAATTCTACAATTAGGGCTCACTCGCATGTTTGAGATATGCTGGCATTTACGGCTTCACGTTTGTCTCTGAAATCACAGAGGCGTACGTTAGAAGGTGTGGCTTCGTCCTAGTTTTGATTTTTCCATATGCGTTTGAAGAACTGTTGAAGAACATGGCAGCGATCACAAGATGTCCCTTTGGGTCAAAAGAGGGTGCCGGAATCCCTGTATTATGGATATATGTACTTCACACAGACAGCAAGTCACGCATGTCATGGTTTCTAGAGGCCTCGCAAAAGTCTAAGACCCTCCGTGCCATCGTATGTAAGGTCTCGCAGTGAGCCAATTCAGTCCAGACTCGATACCGAATGCTCTTCAAAACGAGGTCCCTCCCCCCTTCCGTGTTCTTGGCTATCATGAAGGAAAGCGCTACAGCATGAGCATGCCAGCATTCCTGTGCGATTTGAGTACTCCACGCAATCCTAGGTAGTTGCATGCGGCATCTAACACACGGGCACACAGCATTGAATCTAATCAGACTAAGCCAGCCAATCTCTACTACAATGATCATATACAAACAACAAATCAACAAAATAGTTCTTTGCTATTTATAACCTTATTAAATTCATTATTTAGGTGAAAGTGCCCGAGCGTAGCATAGTCCGCCCCTGTCTCGCTTTTTCGCACCCAGTGCACTGCATGTCGCCCTTTTCCTGACACTTCCCTTGTCCGCAAGAGAAGCGTGATAATGATACACCCTAGGAGGCCGAGAAGTATCTCTTTGTGAGTAGGGAGGTGCTGTGCATCGCAAAAAACTGAGCAGCCAACACCAGTTATGCCCGCTGGTGGTAAAATGCTTCTGGCAGGTGCCTGCTGCAGCAGTTCCTAAAACTCTGGACGTTTTTCTTGCTGATATAGAAACCGATGCATCTAACAATTTCAGGAATATTGCTGCCGCCAAGGCTCGCGAGACAGCAACAGCAGCTGCTGCTAGCACAGCGGCGGCTTCTCGCTCGATGGTCAGGTTCTCAATATGTAAATGAAGACAACTATTGTAGCATACGTTTTTTTCCGTACCGCACGTGAGCCCCCTTTTTTTCAAGGCCATTTAAAGTCCCAAGAGTGCAGCTCTACAAGCTTGGAGATTCTATGCCAGCAAGTCAACAATTCTTGCCACTCTGCGGCGGGCGAAGCAACACTCAAGCATTATTTACCACTCTAGTTATATTGAATCGAGAATTGGGAAAGGCTTTTTGGCCATTACTTCTAATGTCATTTGTTGCACGTCACATTTGGCTCAACAAGACAACAGTTTTTTTGTGCCTGCGCGGCAGATTCTACATTCAACTTGCCGTGAATACTTCGAGCGCTTACAGGTTGCAACAACACCCAAGCCCCCCAATTTTCTCCCTTCATATCGTGGCCCTTAGGGAGGAGCGCAGGAAGAGGAAAGTTGTTTAAAGGAAAACACTCATAAACTTCCTACCAAGCTTTGTTTCGAGTCTGGAGCTACGTATACCCCTACGGAGACCCTCAACTATACCATTGCACCCGTTCCTTTGCCTGAAAACCTTCGATTCTAGAGCCACAGGGAATTAGCAGTGCAAGTACAACCGACGGCGTAGGCCTCAAACAAGACATATTCGAGAACCCTCAGTGTCTGCATTTGAGGGGAGTAAGGGGACGAGCGGCTGTGCTGGAGCACGCAAGGAAGCAAGGTCAGTGCCACGGCCGTACAGAACGTCTGATTGTGCTCTTCCAGCACAAGTGACACCACAGTGGCAAGGCTGCTTAAGATTGGGGCAGGCGACCAGTGAAGGCAGACACACGACCCCTCCCAGCACATTGACACTGCAGAAGCTTCCAAGGCTAGACTGCTCACTAGCCTCTGTTGCGCGAATTTGTTAGGAGCCATGGACGATGTTCCCACGTACTCTTTTCGTTAGAGGAGAGCATCCTCCTCCTACAGCCCGAGAGGCAGGTTACACATAACCCCACCGAAAGCGTTAAAAACGCAAGCGATGGACCCAGTGTGTTAGCCTTGAGAGTGTGAGAATCGCATTCCCCAGCAGTGGGGGTATCCTTGTGTCTGCATTTGGCATTTAAGGGCATCATGCCCTCTGGCTTTCATGCGAGCGGATCGCCTTTTCACTCTCCAGCGCTGCTCGAGATATGCTGGATCCCTACAATTTGCCGGAGCTCCGTTGGCGGAATATGATCGCCTTTTCTTTCCTGCTTTGTCTAACTGCTTTTGCAGCAGCTCAAACGAGTTCGAATTTGGAGGTCACTCGCTGCCTGCCCATGGGCCCCACACCTACTGGCTCTTTGCCTTCCTTTGCTTTCCAGCAGTAAAATCCTGTCGCTCTAAGCGAAAGTAGCGGAACTCTGCCTCAAGAACGATGAGATCCCCTGCTGGGGGATTCCAGCAGAAGTCTTCTCGCTCCAGAATGAAACGTCTGTAGCGGTTGACTCCGCGTCGAGCAGCATTGTATCTGGCCAGCATAAAATTCAAACTGCCTTGCCTAGTTAGGTTTCTTGGGCCATTTAAGTAAAGTTTTCTTTCCCGGAAAGGCACGAGATCGGGGAAGTCAAAGCATAAAGCAAACATCCCCTCCAAAACACCACCCCCGGGGGCCCCATCCGCCCGGGGGCCCCGCGTCTTTTCCTGGGAGTTCTGCCCATTTTCGCGTGCGTTCTTTGCTTCACTTTTTCCAAAAATCCAGGAAGTTCTCATGAAACACCCATTTCTTTGAAAAGCACTGCAGGCGAGTCACGAAAGAGGGGTCTCCGTGTGCAGGGGGAAACCCCTCAGCGCTGCACATTTGTATCTCCTCGCTTCATGAAAATAAGGGAGAATCCAATGAAGCAAACGAAGCACCGCAGCAGCAAGGAGGCGTGTGAAGACGCCAGCAGCAGCAGCAGCGGCCGTGTCTGTCTGCGGCAACAGCCAGAGCAGAGAAACGCGGAGATTTCAGGAGCATGCAGGGGGGCACTCCACAGCGAAGCCCAATAGCATCAGGTGCAAGGAGTCGGCGCACTGCTGCTGCGGTGAAAGCAGCAACTTTGGCTGCCTCACCTGTCCGGCTCACAGGGGTAGCCACAGCAGCAGCAGTGTCGGCAGTTGTTTTACCCCCGTTCAATCTTTTCAGCTCTCCAAGCCATGGCAGTGCTTCAGCAAGCGCAGCAGCAACCGTCGCTGCTGCGCATACAGCCACCACAACATTGGGGGCAGCACTGCTTGAGCCGGCGACATCGCAAGCAGCGGCAGGAGCAGAAGTAGATCCCTTCCTCTGGAATCGCTGTGCAGATGCAGCCCTCAAACTGGCGACTCTCTGGAAGTCGATGAAAAACGAAGCGAGCAGCAGCCACAACAGCAACAGCAACGACAGCAACAACAGCTGCTGCTGCACGCAGCTGTATTCTGAAATCGCGCAATTTTCTTGGGAGCTGCAGCGGCACATTGCCTCTCTTTTGCCGCTGTTGCCAGCGAAAAATCGCAGTCCGCAAGATCCGGAGACGGCGGCAGCAGTTGCTGCCGCGGCAGCTGCGGCGGCAGCTGCTGTCGATACACCTGAAGACGGTGCAAGTAGCGCGTGCGTGTCTGCTGCCAAGCGGTACTGTGCGCAGGCTCCAACGGCAGCAAAGTTGCTGCAACAAAAACGCAGCAGCAACTGCGCGGAAGCCGAGCGCTTCCAGCCACCAGCAGCCTCCATTGTTCTACGCCTCGTGAGAACCTTAGGCACTTGCTCCTGTGAAGCAGCGGAAGGCAGCGCTGCGCTTTTGTCGCACATGCCGACTGCAGCTGCGGCAGGAGGGGACCTCATCTCCACCCCCAAGCCTGGCTGCTCGCTGCACGAGCTGGTCGAAGCAGCAGCTGCTGCCGCTGCAGAGACGTACGGCGCTCTCTTGTCAATCGAGTCTCTGCTGAGGAGCCTTGCCCTTGCCTTCGCACTGCAGCAGCGACGGCTGGTTGCTCTGCGCTGCTACCCAGGAGGGGCAGATCCGTTTGCTGCTCTGCAGGAGCAGCGAATGCAGCAGCACACAGAGCAGGAGCAGGAGCAGCAGCTGCAGCGAGCCGTTGAAACACTGCGCTACTTCGAGGGAAGAGACTTTGAAGGCTTAGCCAGCGCCGTCGTAAGCCGCTGCATGGCGGGTTTTGCTGCGCTTCAGCAGCAGGTGCAGCCACGCACACTTCTTCAGAAAGAAAACTTTCAGCAACACCATGCAAACGTCCTCTCCGCGATCGGAACTGTACGTCGCAGGCAGAGCAACTCGTAGAGAATGCAGCAGGAAGGCGGGGGGAAGGGGAGGGAGGAGGGGAAGGGAAGCTGCAGCTGGTGCTGCAGGTGCAGGTGTTGTTTCTGGCATGTCTTGGTTCGTTGTATCACAAGCTCGCCTCTGCCCGTATATGTATGTGTATGTGTATATACACCGCTGTGCCTCTTTCTCCGCAGGGAGGCCGCATTTTGCTGAAGCACTTGCTCCTTATCGCCAACAGGGAGCTATCTCAGCAACGCAGGGGAGGAGCTTCTCTGATACGTCACTTCTTTTTACACTGCAATGCGTAGGCAGCAGCAACAGCCTCCTTCCCCGCTCCCCCCTTCCCTCCTTAACTCACACGAAGGAGACGATTTGCTGTCTGTCTGCACACGAAGGAGACGATTTGCTGTCTGTCTGGCCTCATGGAATGCGCGAGGTGTCCGTCCTAAGCGCTTCCCCGCCATATCCTTAGCAGCAGCAGCAGCTTTCCTGGTGAGGCTTGTGTGGTGTGCTGTTTGCATGCAGATACATGGCGCTTGCGCGGCGTGCGCTTAGGGCAGGTTTCTTCGCTTCGGCATTCGCGATGCTTGAGCCGCTCACAGCGCTGCTGCAGCCTCTGCTGTCACTGCCGTGGATCCCCCAGCTGCATGCAGCAGCCGCAGCTGCAGCTGCAGACGCAGCAGCCGCAGCAGCAGCCGCAGCAGTACCAACGTGGGCATCTGCTGCAACAGTGCATGCGGGAACTCCACGCGAAAGTTTGGAAACAGACAGCGATGACGCCGAAAGCAAAAGCAGCAGCACTCCCTTGAGCAGTCGCAGTTGGGGGTCCACATGCGGTGAGGCTAGCTCCCTGAGGCTTCGATCCCCTTTTGCTGCTTCTGCTGCAACTGCAGCAGCAGCAGCAGCAACAGTAACAAGCGCGAGGAGGCCTCCTCCAGCGCTTGCTGCTTTTGGCATTGCAGGTGTAACAGCAGCAGTAGCAGCCACAGCGGCAGCCGCAGCACACCGCCAAAAACGGAGTCTCACAGAGGGCGAACTCGACACTTCTCCGCGGAAATTCGCTCGCATTGCGGAACGAGAACAACAACAGCAACCTCGCGAACATCACGAACAGCAAAAAGGGCTTGCGCTAGATGCCCATGCGACTTACACACCCAGAAGCCTTCGCGACTTAGAGGCGTGCTCCTCAGACTCGCCGCTTGCTCTTAGGTGTGGATCTCCCGTCTTTAGCACGGGCACGCGTTCACGCATGCAAGCTCCGCAGCACCCAGGAGCTGCCTGGCGATTCGCTGCATGCTCGCCTTTCAGAAGAACTCCCAGAGAGACAGCAGCAGCCTCAGCAGCAAGTGCCGCAGCAACACCGGAGGCACGCGTCTGCGCCCACCATGCTGCGAGGGCAGTAGCGGAGGCTGCTGCTGTCTCTCTGGGAAGCCGCAAAGGCAGCACCCCCCTCCTCCACAGGAGTCTTACAGCCGCAGCAGCAGCTGCTGCTGCAGCTGCTGCAGCAGCAGCACCTGCGCCGTCCCCGTTTGCATGCGGCGGCAGAACTCATCGCAGCAGCACGACTCCCTTCGCGAGCAGCACTGCCCAAGGGCCCCTAGCAGCAGCAGCAAAGACACCACTGGCAGCGTCGCTAGCAGCAGCGACAAAACGTGCATCCCCCCCCACGACAGCTCCAGTAACACCTCGGACCGCTTTAGCAGCAGCAACGCCGCACGCGATGCCAACAGCAGCGGCGGCGGCAGCAGCAGGAGCCTGTGGCAAGGGGAAGCCTGCTGCTGCGTTGCATGTCGAGGCGTATACTGTCCTTTCGAGTCTGTTGCAAGCCGCAGCCACGGGATTGAAGCAGCTGGAAGTCGCGTCAAGAGTGTCAGAGGAGCTGCTGCAGCAGCTTTTGCTGCGATGCAAAGTCGAGGTTCTGGATTATCTTGCCTTTTGCGTTGCCTCTCTTTACAAGCCGCATGTTCAGCTGCAGCAGCTGCAGCAGGGGACCCCTTCTTTGGCACGCGAGATGCAGGAAATCATGCGGGTGTCTATCGCTGCGAAACTGAAGCTCTACATGCAATCGCTGGAGCAGCAACACGCCCGTCTCGGCACAGACGTGAGCACTGAGCCCATGCCTTGCGACTCCGTCTCGGATACGGAGAGAAGCGGTGATTATGCCGGCAGTCTCTCGAGTGCGATTTCAGCCGCTGTTGCAGCAACTGCAGCAGCAGCGGCTTGTTTGTGGGGAGGGAATAGTTCTGACCAGTGTCTGCTGAAGCTGGGGAGTGCAGCTGCCGCAGCTGGACCGCTCGAGAACGGCGGTGCTGCTGCATGCAGCAATTCGCAGCAGCAAGACGATCCTCGCGTGTGGCTGTGTCGCTTGTTGTGGATTGACTGGCAAGTGCTGCAGCAGCTGCTCTTGGAAGAGGCTCTCCTCCAATCGGGAACGATCAAAGTGCCAAACCTCGATCCCTTCGTGCCGCTCATGCTTCTAGGAGCTTCTCTTGACCGGCAGCAGCCGCAGCGTCTGCATGCTGCTGCAGCTGACTTTGCTTTCCATGCATACACTCAGCGACAGTCTCTAAAGGGGAGCTGCAACGTGCCACACCTCCGCACTCTCACGCGGCTGTCTCTTGTAGAACACCAGCAAGCGCAAGAGCAAATGCAGGATCAAGAGCATCAGCAAGCACAAGAGCAAATGCAGGATGAAGAATACCAGCAAGCGCAAGAGCAAATGCAGGATCAAGAGCATCAGCAAGAACATGAGCAAATGCAGGATCAAGAATATCAGCAAGAGCAAGAGCAAATGCAGGATCAAGAATACCAGCAAGCAAGGGAGCAAATGCAGGATCAAGAGCACCAGCAAGAGCAAGAGCAAATGCAGGAGATGCTGCTGCTGCTGGAGTGGGTAAGCGTGGAAGCGGTTGCATCCCTTGCGCATCTGAGCTGCTGCCTTGCGCGTGTCAGTGCTGCTGTTTGGCAGCGAGCTGTATCACTGCGCCAGAAGGACGAACAGCAGCAGCATCAACGTCGCTGTACTGAGCATCTGACAGAGCTGCGCATGCCGATGCAACAACAGGCGCCAAAAAAGAAGCCGCACGGCTGCTTTTGTGGTCGGTGTCGTGGTCCTTTGGCTGCGCATGCGTATGGAGGCTGTGTATGGAAGCGCATGCTCTTATCCGTACTGCTGCAGCAGCTGCAGCCTCTAGGTGGCTGCTGCATCACGTGGCTTGAAACAGCAGTTGCAGCAGCAACTCGTGCGCTGCACTCGCTGTCGCTTCCCCGGGCGCAGGCACAGTCCTCCGAGGATGCAGGAGATGCTGCTGCTGCTGCTGCTGCTGCTGCATCTCTCCAGTTTCCGTTCAGCGGGTGCGACATGAGCAGTCTGCTCTCCGCAGAAGAGGGATCACCGGTAGCTTGTTCTGCAGCAGCAGGAGCAGCGGACAAAGCGTACAAACCTCTCGCCTCAACTCACCAGGATGCTGCTTTTGCTGCTGACAACATGCCGCTTTGCAGGGGTCTACGCAGAGATCCTCTCGCGGAGCAGCGACAGCAGCAGAAACGTTTGCTGCTATGGCTGCAGGCTTCCATAAGCTCGGCGCTGTCGTTGGCTTTGCTTTTCGGATGGCCAGACAGCAGCAACTGCAGCAACTGCAGCAACTGCAGCAACTGCAGCAACTGCAGCAAGTGTAGCAACTGCAGCAAGTGTAGCAGCAACTGCAGCAACTGCAGCAACTGCAGCAACTGCAGCAAAGAGAGAGATCTCACTGGAGGTGCTGAGGAGTTGGCGGCTCGTAGATCACCGCACTGTGACACGCAAAGCCTGGACCCCTCCACAGCTGTTGCTTGCTGCTGCTGCTGCTGCTGCTACTGCAAGCCTTGGAGCTCTCTTGACAGCGGAGAGGAGGGAACGCTGCAAACTCGACACCCTGCGGGGACAGCAGCAGCAGCAACAGCAGCAGCAGCAGCAACAGCAGCAGCAGAATGCAACCCCGACGCAGCAGGTGCTTCTTCGTCTTCACCTCTGCTGCAGCAGTTGCAGCGACAGCGTTTTGCGGATCAGCAGCAGCAAATTTGTTGCAGCTCTTGCTGGTGGTCTGAGGCTGCAAGGAGGACTCTTAAGGCGAGACACACCTCCCGCAAAGCGTTTTACGCTTTGCTGCTGGCAGTGCAGCTGCAGCCTCAGCAGGGGCTGATGCCGCATGCTCTGCTGTCGGCGTGCGGGGATGCGAAATCGTCCAACTTGGAGGAAGATGCGACTGATAGTGATGCTGCTGCTGCTGCAATGAGCAGCAGCGGCAGCAGCACGCAAATCAGTGACGATGAACTGAAGCTCGAAAAAAAACTGCAGCAGCAGCTCCTGCGCAGCTGCGTGGCCGTTGCATACGGGGTCACTCAGGCAGCAGCAGCAGATGCAGCAGCAGCAGATGCAGCAGCAGCAGATGCAGCGGCAGCAGATGCAGCGGCAGCAGATGCAGCGGCAGCAGATGCAGCGGCAGCAGATGCAGCAGCAGCAGATGCAGCAGCACAGGTCGCACGCAGAGTGTCTGCAGCTGAGCTTCTATCGACTCCTGAGGCGTTCTGTGAGCTTGTGAACAGCGCAGCAGCCGTAGCAGCAGACTGCACAACACAGCATGCACCAAACAGCAACGCATGCATGAGGACCTCTGCCCCTCAGACGCTGCTGGCTGCTCCTCTTGAAGCGTCTGTCTTTGATTCTTCGCAAGTGGTTTCGTTGCTGCAGTAAGCGTTCCTACAGGCATTCGAAAGGCTTTAAAACAGCCGCACAAATCGCTGCCGCTAGAAGTCTCGACGCGGCTGTCAGTGACTGCTGAATTGGAAAGGAGGGCAATCATTTCTTACAGGCCCCCCCTTTCAGGTCGAGTTGTCAACTTGCTGCTGAGTTGGAATTGGCTTTTTGACGAGCTGGTGTATATGCTGCACATGATGACGCTGCTGCACATGATGACGCTGCTGCACATGATGACGCTGCTGCACATGATGACGCTGCTGCACACGATGCGTCTTGCTGATTCTCAGGCTTACGGGGGATCTCAGTGTCACGGCAGCGGCTTCGAACGACTGGCTTTTGCAGCAGCAAGCCTTGGCACTCTCCGCTGCAGCTCTGCTGCCCTTCTGGCGACCGTCTGCATCACAGCGGAGGATGCAGCAGCAGCAGCCATGTGAGCGGGAGACTCTGCAGCGCAATGTGGAGACTCTGGTGAAGGATTATGAAGCACGGCGCAGCGAAGCAGACAGCCAGTTTGCAGCTGCCTGCGTTTTGCTGGGAATTTCGCGAAGTCTTCGCCTGTCGGCAGCAGAGGCTGCAGGCACCTGTGCCGCTGCAGCCCCTGCCAGTGACAACGCTGGTGAGTGCAAGGCGTGTAAAAACAGCAAGGCTGCAACGCAGTCTGCTCTGCCCGCAAACCTCTGGCTCGAGGCTGGCGTGAGACAGCTACGCCGATGGGCAGACGTCCATGTCACTTGGATACTGCCTCTTGCTGCAGAAATAGACAGTGCCTTACAGGGTAGCAGCAACCAGAGCAGCAACAGCAACAACAGCAACAACAGCAACACTAGCAACAGCAACAACAGCAACACTAGCAACAACAGCAACAGCAACAACAGCAACAGCAGCAACAGCAACAACAGTGCAGCAGTCATGTCCCTTCGCCGCGCACTTCAAACTGCGGAGCGTCGGCATCTGCATCGCTCCGCAGCCAGCAGCAGCATGCATACTGAGGGAAGCACCCTGACAGCGCTGTCAGCGGCGCATTTTATTGCTTTGCATGCACAGGCAGCTGCGGCAGCTGTTTCAGCGGCAGATCCTACAGACGGCTCAACAGCTGCGCTGCGGGCAGCTGCCACTGAAGAAGTGTTGATGTTGCATCTTTCGGAGCAGCTGCAGCAGAGAAGACAGGAGCACTACCAGCAAACCACGCTCCCTCATTCTAACTGGGCAAGAGTTTTTCTCCTGGGAGTGAGCCAAGTCGCGCAAGTGTTGCAGTCAGCAGCTCCCTTGTTGCACAAGCCGCAGCAGGAGGGAGGAGGATGCCCTCCGCAGCAGCAGCAGCTTTCTGGAGGAGCTGCAGAGACACTTCCAAAGGAGGCGGAACATGTGCCGTCTCTCCTGCTACCACAGCGCTGGCTGTCTGCTGAGGCACATGTCAGTCTGTCGCTGTCGCTGCTGCAGCTGCTGCTCTATCCGCAGCAGCAGCAGCAGCAGCAGCAGCTGCCGCTGCAGGACGCAGAGCTTCTCCAGCAGCTTCAGCTGCAGGAGGAGGGAAACTTCTCAGCAGCAAATTATCCCCCTGGGCAGCAGCCGCTGCTGATTAAAGGCAGCCCTCTCAGAGTGTGGGGTGCAGCTGCGGCTGTAGGGGAGGCAGCCGCAGCAGCAGCGGCAACAGCGACGTCTGCAGCTGCTGCTGCTGCATGCACCACCAACAGAACATCTGCTGCTAATGCGCCTTTGTCATGGAGTTTGCTGCCGCGCCTGCTCACCTCCAAAGCCTCCACGAGCAGAAACAGCAGCAGCACTTGCAACAGCAACAGCTGCAACAGCAACAGTTGCAGCAGTAGTTGCAGCAGCAGCAAGAGACACTGCTGCTCGAGGCTTTTTTTCCCGGCATTTAAACTGCAAAGAGCCTTAGAAGCCCCTCGAGGTGCCCGCAGTCTCCCCCCTTTGATCGGTTCATTTTTTGTTCGGGGGGATTTTTTCTGTTGTGTTGAGACTTCTCCCTTTTCTTCTTCGTGGCTGCAGCTGCTGGTGCTGCAGCAGCAGCAGACGGCCGTCTCGGCAGCGGCTATCCTCGACGGTGTGGCAGCAGACAGCAGCAGCTCCTGCGATGTGCTGCTTGCTGCTCTTCAGCAGTGCTGCTGCTTCTCGCATGCGCTACTGCCCGCCTTCCGCCTGGCAAATGCTCTCGTTGGGCTGCTGCTGCAGCAAGGATACCCCTCTTTGGATGCAGCCGCTGCACAGCTCGAAATGCAGAAGCAACAACAGCAACAACAGCAACAACAGCATCAACAACAGCAGCACAAGCATCAACAACAGCAGCAACAGCAGCAACAACAGCAGCACAAGCATCAACAAGAACAGCAACAACAGGAGCAAAAATGGCTCCTCTGGCAGCAGACGAAGCAACAGCGGCCGCTACTTGCTTTCTTTACTTGGGAGCAGACACACTACCAAACTGCTCAGCATCCTGTGCTGCGAGGTGTTGTGTCTGCTGCCGCTTCTACTGCGGGAGACGCATGTTGGACAGGGAGCGTTGCAGCGCCGCATGCAGCAGGGGAAGCTCTCGCGGGAGCGCAGCTGCAACTGTGGCAGCCGTCTCACACACCTACCCACATGCATCTGCCCGTCCAGCAGCAGCAGCAGCAGCTGGCGTTGCTGCAGTGCCTCTTGCGATGCGGCCTTAAGGCTCAGCAGACAGTCTGCAGCAGCTCCATGCACCAAAATCTGCAGACGCGGAGAAATCTCTGGGCACAGTTGCTGCCTTTGCGCGTCAGAGCCGAGTGGTTGTTTCTTCTGGCTGCTGCCGTGATCGCTAGCGGCAGAGACAGCAGCAGCAGCAGCAGCAGCAGCAGCAGCAGTAGGACGGCCTCTCGCCTTCTGGAGACTCAGATACCCTGCTCAGGAAAAGCTCCACAAGAACTCGTCGAAACGCTGAAGAGCAGTGCCTCCGCAAGGAAAAGAGATGCTGCTGCTGCTGCTGCTGCTTCTTCTGCTGCTTCTGCTGCTGCCGTAGGCAAAGCAGAAGCAGCAGAAGAAGCAGCAGCAGCGGGGGTTCTACAAGCCGCAGCAGACAACACAGTGGCTGCACCAGGAGTCGCCAGCGTAGCCGAAGCAACACAACAGGATTCTCTGGCTGCTGCAGGGATACAGGTGAATGCCTTTCACTTAGCAGCCCTTGCGCCTCTGCTGCCTCCCCGTGCGGAGGTTCTAACAAGCCTTGTGGAGCTGCATGTACACCTGAAGAGCTTCTTGAAGGACCAGGTGCAGCAGCAGCAGCAGCATCGGCAGAGTGCGCTTGATAGCGCAGTGCTGGCGGCGAGTGAAGTGGTATTTTTAGGCTTGGAGGCACTCAATTGCAGCAAAAACACAATCCAGAAGCCTGCAAACCACCAGCAGCAACTCGCTCAACAGCAGAAGTCGAGGCGGATGGTTCGAAGGCTTTGCAACTTCCTCGTCGAACGGCTGCAGGCACCAGTGCCCTCCACGACTGCGGCACTCTGTAAACTCCTTCTGATTCTCTTTCAACTTCTGCAGCAGCAGGAACAGCAGCAGGAGCAGGAGCAGCAGCAGCAGGAGCAGGAACAGCAGCAGCAGCAGCAGCAGCAGCAGGAACAGCAGCAGGAACAGCAGCAGGAACAGCAGCAGGAGCAGCAGCAGGAACAGCAGCAGCAACAGCAGCAGCAACAGCAGCAGGAACAGCAGCAGCAACAGCAGCAGCAACAGCAGCAGCAGGAACAGCAGCAGCAGCAGGAGCAGGAACAGCAGCAGCAACAGCAGCAGGAACAGCAGCAGCAAAGTGAAATGCGGAGGCGGGACGCTTTTCTGTTTAAAACCAAATGTCACAGTCGTAACGCAATAGGTGTATGGGAGTCATCTTTCAGCAAGATGCAAGGGAGCAGCAGCACTTGTTGTTGCTGCTGCTGGTTCTGCATGCTTGCAGCGGTGCATGCACTGCGTATATGGGCAGAAGGGGTCTCTGCGAAAGACGCGAGTGCTGCTACTTCAGCGCATACCCGCATGGCTGCTGCTTTGTTGCTGCGGATGCTTCGAAAGGCATGCTCTGTGCTGCTGCAACAGCCGAGGCAAGACGCAGTTTCTGCTGCAGCGTGGCGTGCATGCAGAGGTATTGGGGGGCAGCAGGGGAGACGACCAGCTCCGCGCATGCTGCTGTGGCTGCTGACAGCAGCAGCAGCTCTCACAGCAGCAGCAGCAGCGGGGGATGTCTTGCTGCTGCGGCGAGCAGCTAGCTGCTGCGTTGAGTGTCTTGTTGCGCTACAACCTTGGATCGTCTCCCTGGAGTTCCTAGCGGCAAGCCAATCCTCTGCGTCGGTTTCTGCACTGCAGTGCGCCGCTGCTGCTGCCGCTTTTGAAGGGCAGCATCATCTGGAAAACGATCTGGCGCGTTGTCTAAGGAGCAGCAGCAGCCACACGCTTTTGCTGCTGCTGCCTTTTTGCTGCTGCCCTGCTGCCTCTGTCCGACTGCAACAACGAGACCTTGAGAGGCGCTTGGGATTCTTCCCTGCACACGCGTCTTTGATTTTGCTGCACATTTCTTCCAGGCTTCTCCCGATGGTGCAACAGCAAAGGCAGAAACAGCAGGAGAAAGAGCAAGAGCAAGAGGAGAAGCAGCAAGAGCAAGAGGAGAAGAAGCAAGAGCAAGAGGAGAAGCAGCAAGAGCAAGAGGAGAAGAAGCAAGAGCAAGAGGAGAAGCAGCAAGAGCGAGAGGAGAAGAAGCAAGAGCAAGAGGAGAAGAAGCAAGAGCAAGAGGAGAAGAAGCAACAGCAACAGCACCAGCAAATGCCGAACGTCGGACGAGGAGGTCTCTGCCTGACAGATTGGCAGAAGCAGCAAAACGCAGCAGCAGGTAGCAGCAGTTGTTTCCTCCTGGCGTCTTCTGACCTCAAGAACCTTATTCTGTGCCGCGTGTTTCCAAAGTCTCTTTCCACAGCCCTTGCAGCATTCGCCTCGGCGGGAGCTGCACAGGAGGCAATTACAGCAGCGGCACCAAGCGAAAAACTGCTGACGGGCAGAGACGCTTGCAGTTTTTTTCTCTGGGATTGCAGAGCTCAGTCCACAGCACTGCGCTCTGTTTTACGCCAGCAGCAACAGCAGCAGCAACGCATGCAGCAACAGCAGCAGCAACGCATGCAGCAACAGCAACCGACTACTGGAGGTGGTGAAGCGGAAAGGCCTTCGCGCTCAGTGCGAATCTGCAGCAGCCTTCCATCGCTTGCGCCTCTGCTGAGACAGCAGAACTGGCTACAGTGGTGCGTTGCGGTGGCTTCTGGGAGAGCGACGCAGCTCGCTTACCAGTGCTACTCCCCTGAGCAGCAGCAAGAACAACAACAAAGGCAGCAGCAAATGCAGCAGCAAATGCAGCAGCAAATGCAGCAGCAGCAGAACAACGCTGCTGGGACTGCGTTGCGGAGCGCTGCTGTTGCGACACCAGGTGCAGCGGCAAACGCAGCAGCAACGCATGCAGCAACAAATACGCGGCAGGACAGATTCACCTTCCTGCAGGATTGGTGGCGAGAACGCTGGCTCTTGGAGAGGCGTAGCGAGGAATGGCAGCAAGAGCTGCTGTTGCTGCTTGGCCCCTCTGCGCTGCTGCTTCAAGGATGGCCATTGCATGCACTCCACGACATAGGCACCCCCTCTGAGCCTCTCCCTGCCAGCACATCCAAGCATCAGACTCTGCAAGCCGCCTTTGCTGCTGCTGCTGCTGGAGCTCAGGAGAAACCCCACACAGCAGCAACAACCGTCGCGGACGAGACGCTGCTGCAACGTCTTGCAGAGCCACTGCAGCTAATTCTTCTTTGGTTAAGCGCCTGGGCAGGCGCCAATCCTGTCCAGCAAATGCAGCAGCAACGCATGCAGCAGGAACAGCAGCAGCAAGTGCAGCAGCAGGAAGCAACCCCTTGGTGGTTCGTCTGCACCTGCGGCGCTATGCACAGAGGAGCAGAGACAGGAGCCTCCTCTTCATTCACAAATGCAGAGCAGCAGCATCAACAGCAGCCGCTGTTGCGTCCTGTGATCGAGTGGATTAACTCTCCTTCCGCTGCTCCGGTGCTGCCTTCCTTAGCCGCAATCTGCTGCAGCCTGTGCTGCACAGCTCATCTCATCGTTCAGCCCTCAGCAGGCAGCCACCCCTGGGAACTGGCGATAGAGAGACACCACAAGATTCTCTGCAGCCGCCTGCACAGACTGTCTCCCCCGCTGCCGCAACAACAGCAGCAGCAGCAGAAACAACAACAAAAGCAACAACAGCAACAGCAACAGCAACAGGAACAACAGCAACAACAAAAGCAACAGGAACAGCAACAACAGCAACAGCAACAGCAGCAACAACAACAAAAGCAACAGCAGCAACAGCAACAGCAACAACCACCAGTCGTGGAGGTTTATGGGGAAGAGGACATTGAACAGGTGCTGCAGCACAAGCCAGTTTTTTCAGTGCATGAAACTCACGCACAGCACACGGATGCAGACACATTTACAGCAGCAAGTGCAGCAGCAAATGCAGCAGCAACTGCAGCAGCAACTGCAGCAGCAAATGCATCAGCAAATGCAGCAGCAAATGCAGCATCTCAAGGTACACCTTCGAAGTCTTTGAAGAAGGCGGTGTCAGCAGCAGTAGCGGCCGTACGACAGAGCACGCCGAAGCGTCAAGCAGCGCATGCAAGAGGGGCAGCAGCAGCATCAGCAATAAAAACGTTGCATTCAGCCGCTAAGACACCAACGACACCAGCAGCCTGCAGAGGAAAACCCCTATCCTCCGCGCGAAGAAACGTCTCGCAGAATTCCATCTGCGCTGCTGCTGCTGTGACAGCCAGCTGTCTCGTGGCGAGCAGTCCTTTCTCTGCTGCAGCGCATGCAGCAACACACGCAACAGCAGCACGAGGAGGGCAGTCCCACGCATGCCAGCGGCAGCAACTGCAGCAGCAGCGCGAGGCTCCTGCCATGGCAGACAGAGAACTCACGCAGCGCTTCAGGCAGGAAATGCTGCAGCTTGACGGGAGTCGGCTCTCTCTGTCGCTCGAAGCCTTAGGATTGTTGCTGCTAAACGTCTTGACACCAGTCTTGCAGCCTCACTGCGGTGTCTCTGCTGCTGCGACGTCCTTGCTGCATCTTGGCTGCAACTTGCAGAGCCAGCAGCAGGATGCAACGCCACGCATTCTGCAGCAATTGGCAGCGAGCTTCCTGTGCTGCATTGTTCTGCGGCTGCAGGCAGCCACAGGGCAGTCCGGCTGCTCCTGCTTGCAGCAGCAAAACGAGCAGCCTCTGCGCAGTTCTCGCATAGACGCGTCTGCGCCTTTGTCAGGCAACGCTGCTAGCCAGCGCTTCCGAGAGATGTTGTCGCCTTTGTGCTCCTCCTGCAGATTTTCCCCGACAGTCACACTGAAACTCAGTGGTAAAGGGAATGACACCAGCAGCAACAGCAGCATCAATACCAGCAGCAACAGCAGCATCAATACCAGCAGCAACAGCAGCAGCCTTGTCGAAATACAGCGACCGTTATGGTCTACAGGGTGTGAGCCAATGACTCTGTATCTTCACTCCGCACTTCTACAGCTGCCTATCGAGGGTCTTAAGGTGCTGCGGCAACAAACTCTCTGCCGGGGAGTTCATCCTGCGATCACTGCTGCACTACTGCAGGGGCATGCAGAGCGCATGCAGCAGCAGCAGCAGCAAGAGGACCAGCAGCAGGAGCACGCTGAGAGGCAGCAGCAGCAGCAACAGCAAGTTCAAGAGGGGGACTGCCCCAGGAACGTCCTCCATGCACTGACTGTGACTCCCCCCCCCCCAACCGCGTGTCTCGCTACAACAGCTTCTGCTGCCAATGGTGCAACTCCCTCGCCCTCTGCTGCATTACCCCTTTCAGGTCTGACGGTACATACGGCAGCGCCTTCTGTGCGCTGCCGCGAAGCAGCTTCTGGCACGCCTCCAGCGGCGTCTGCTATCCTGCAGCGCAACGTGAAGGCTGCAGCAGCAGCGTCTGCTGCAGCAGCTGCGGCAGCGAGTGCCAGAACTGCTGCCTGCTGCAGCACGAGACAGCAGCAGAAGCAGCAGCAGCACGCGCAGAGGGCCTCTCTTATGGACTTCAAGATACACCTACTTGACCCCCCCAGCGCACTCAGCGACTGCAGCCGACACAACGGATACAGCAAACTCAACAAGCCCTTCACCATCCACCCACTGCTGTACAGGGAAGTCCTCCTAAGGTGGAAAGGCGCTGCTACCAACCGCGAAGCGAGCAGCAAAAGCAACGAATCGGCAGTCGTGGGAGGCATCGGCGTGTGTGTCAATCCTTCTGGAGAACTACAGCGGACTGCGCGCTGCTGCGAATCCTTTCTCAACTGGAATTCCTTTTGCTGGAGAGGAGCTGTCAACCAGCCACCACGAGGTCTCCCTTCATTCCACACTTGCTAATCAATTCTTTTGGGAAGCTGCTGTTATTGGGTATTTGCGTGTCTACTATGTCTGGGGGTGTCTGTATGTGTGTTTTTGTCTATGTTGGTGTGCGTGTCTGTGTGTTTGTGTGTGTGTTTTTGTCTGTGTGTTTGTGTGTGTGCTTTTGTCTATGTTGGTGTGTGTGTGTCTATCTCGGTATATATATATATATATGTGTGTGTGTGTTTGTGTGTGTGTCTCTATGTCGGTACATATATATATATGTGTGTGTTTGTGCCTATGTGTGTGTGTGTGTGTGTATTTGAGTTCCTGTGTCTGTGTCTGTGTGTGTATGTGTCTGTGTGTCTGTGCCTGAATTTGTATGTGGTTGCACTGTCTGTTGCAATGCACGCGAGGCTGCGATTTCTTACAGGTATCGCAGGATGGTGTTGTTTGTTGTGCTGGCCTTGTGCATGCACGAGATTTGCTGCATGCTCTGTCAGTTGATCCTCCTGCTCCTACCGCGAACGCTTGGCTCTTGTTGCTGCTGGTCTTGCAGACATGGAGTGGATAAACTTGCTGCTTAGCGCCGAGATCGTCTTGTACTGTGGGCATCAGGGCGGGGAGCAGTTTACAGATATGGCTTTGCTGCAGCGCTGTCTGCTACTTCCCGAGGATGCAGCTAAAGCAGCAGCGGCAGCTGCTGCTTTAGCTGCATCAGGGCAGCCACCCCAGTCTAGGCCTGCTGCTAGAGCCGCTGCACTCCTTTGCGGCTGCAGCAGCGTGCAGCTCCGCAGCAGCATCAGCGGGGGAGAACCCTTCGGGACTGTTCTCGACTATCTGAGTGCTGGCTGGTAAGGCTGCCGTTTCTGACACGACTGCTGCTGCTGCTTCTGCTTCTGCTGCTGGCTCATCGGCAGCCTATGCTTTGCGCCAGCAGCAAGTTGGCATTTTGCAGTTTTTCCGAATGCAATTGGATGATGTGTCCAGCTGCTCAGCGAACCAGTAACCGCATCACTACAGCTGCAGCAGCAGCTACCGTGCCTCCAGAGATCTTGTTATCCTGCTGTCTGCGTATACTTTGTTGTTGCGGCTGCAGCCCGATGGTGAGTGGCAACCTGTGGGCAGTGACTGACGGGGAGCAGGATGCTCTCATTCGCGCACTGCTCTTCAAGTGGACGCAGCCGCATGCCTCGCCTCTGACTGTCCGTCCATGTTGCTCTTGTCGCTCCTCCTACTGCACCGACACGGGCTGCTGCAGCTCTTGCGGTAGGTCTGTCAGCATCCGCAGCAGGCTAGGGAGCTGCGATGGCGGCTTGTCTCTTCTTAGGGCACTCACAGAGGCTAGAGGAGCTTCGCGCTTGCGGTGCTGCACAGGCGATGCGCTCGTGGCGTATGGACTTCCGCTGTAGTCAGATCCACATGCATGCAAAGTTGTGCAGGCCCCTAGACTTGAGCACTTACCAGATTCCAAAGAAATACATCTTAGGTGACTAGTAAGCCAGGAAACAACTAGCATTCCCAGAACACCTGACTCCGCATGCAGTGAGTGGGTAATCGTCCTGCACCCCTGAGGACGGGATACACTTGCTCCCGGTTTGTGGTAAAGGTGCGCATGCACGTATTTATGCTCCTGAAACGCTGGCCTCCTGTTCACGTTAAAGCTACGAGGCACCTCTTGTGCAAGCCAAAGGCCTGAACCGCCCCCAATACCCTTACTTAGCAACAGCCAACTGACCTAAGCTGTCTGTTGCTGCACACAAAGGAACCTTCTGTCTGTCACACTTCTATTCTTGTCACTGATCCCCCAAAATTCCTTCCACACACCGCAACGGCGCTTAGCACAGCGCCGCAGACGCAAAGGCACTTCCAGGCTGCCTCTAAACGACGGCACATATATCCCCGTGGACGGCAGAGCTTTTTGCAGCGTGATGAACTACCAAATTCTAGGCCTTTTAAACCACTGCCTCCAGAGCCAATCCCCTACATGCAGACGCTTATTCGTATTGGTGGGACGTTTCTTTCGCACGTTTGCTTATGCCATCGTGCTGGATGGGGAAGGGGTCAGGGAAGCGGGGGATAGGCTGTGAGCGTCCCTGCTCTGTGTAGCCTTGCCCACGGAAATCCCCGTCTCTCCCACATGGGGTCGCCCGTTGCGGCATAGCTTTCAACGGTAGAGACCTTTTAGTGTGCTTAGCGCTTCAGCAATAGGAACAGTCAGACTCCAGTACTGTTTAAAGAGATCTCAGGCCTCATCGGGAAATGTACTTTTCTACGGCGGCAGGGCGTTTCACAACTCGCCCATGCTGGTGCATTCCGTAAGGGCCGCAGCTCCTGAGGACGATTGAGAATGCTTCTTCGAGGCTTTCATAGAGAGACGCTTTAAGCCTCAAACTCAAGGCATAACTAAAAATTTCTTGGATGTCTCCTCTCAGCCAAAGGAGCTTCCTACCCCTTCTCCTGGGCCTTCAATATAGGATCTCTCGGCAGGGAGACACTTAGCCCTATGCACATTAGTAATTTAATGAAAACCCCTTGATGGCTGTGTTATTTTAGCGCCTTCTTAGTTCCTTACCCGCAGCCATTGGGTTGCCTATATGGCGGGTTACATACCCGCTAGGACTTGCGTTCCTGCACCTTCGACGCGTCCCAAGTATTTGCAGTTAGCTGCCTGTAGCATCTAGCGCAGATGCGTACAATCTTGTATCTCATTGCATCGAGCTAACACTACTCCGCAGTAAACATGATCCACGGCCATGTGTGTATGTATGTATGTGCGCGTTAGTTGCTAGGTTCTTGTGCCTGTGAAGGCTCGTTGACCTTAGAGGGAGCAGCAACACACACCTTGTCTGCACGTCTCTCCTCATAATCAAGACTTAAGGGGCGGGCCAGAGGAAGGATCGAAGAGTTTGAAAGAAACCCAATAACATCCTATTAGATGTGCATTGAGTCAGAAGTTTAGTTTCTCTGTGGAGAATTTGAATGGAGCGATAATTCAGGAATGAGTGGGGGAAACTGCTAACCTGCACGGGCATTTATGCACCTTTTCAATGCTCCGAGCAGGCATGCAGACCCGCTTGCGCATGGCACCCTAATGCGCAGAGGCAGGCATACAGCTCTGGTTTTCATGGTAATGTGATGAGGAACATTACTCCGGTCGTAGCATACACGAAAATTCTACTCCTGCCAAGTATTATTGAATACTTCTAAACTAGCTGTATGAGGTTTGCAATAGGAAGTGCCAAAGTGTGGCATGGTCCTCTACAGCTGGGTTGCTTCGCTTGCGCATTTGAGTTTCGACCGATGACGAGCTTGGATTCGGTCAAGTGTAGGGTGTCTGAAGCGCACTCTCACGCGGGCGCTAATGCCTCTGATAGCAGCACAGGCAAACACCAAATACCATTAGCACTAATCAAAGGCAGAGGTGTAGCTTTGGCCCCAGGGGTTGTCTCCAGTGCTTCAGGCTCCGATGGCCATCTCCTTGCCCGTTGAAGCCTCCAGCCAATATTACACTGCGTGCTAAGCTGTCACAAGGGTCTTTTAATAAATTCTTATCTGTTTATGCACATATATCTCCATTTGCAATAATTAAGTCGCTGCGCACACCAGGGGGGCCCTCGCGGGGGCCCCCAAATGCTGAGATATAAATATGCACTCGAGCGTGTGAATTTGAAAACTCTTTCACCTAGATGTGGCCGGCTCATAAAATCTAGTAACAATTGGGACAAGTAGGGACTAAAGCAAAAAGGCCCGGGGTGACTGAATGGGCACGCACCAACACACCAACCCCACCCCTGGTCGCGGTGTCTGCACAACAGCAGCAAATTGCTGCACTCTAAATACTCGCATTTTCTTTGAATTTACGTTTTATTTGAAGTCCCATGGACACCTTGCTCCTCCCTGCGCTCAGTTTGCTGTCGCTGCTGGGCTGCCACTGCAAAACTGCGCCAACACAGCGGCGGCCTGCGGGAGCAGCAGCACCAGGAAAGGATACTGCGTACTCTCGACACACCCTGTAGCCGACATCCTAGCAAGTAGCAGCAAGAGCAGCAGCCTTACTGGGAGAAGAGGCAGTGAGCCTGTTTCAGGGAGCCCAGCGGCTGCGGTATTCTTGACAGCGGCTGCCGATAGTACCACGTGGCGAACGCAGCAAGAGGCGGCCTTCCCCGACGCGGAGTGCTCTTGCAACTGTACCCTACGTTCGAATTTCCAAAGCAGAAACAACAGCAGCACTGCCGCGCGGCAACGAGGTCCCTAGCAGTAGCCGCCTTGCCCCCTTCCCCCTCTCAAGAGTCTGTTCGAAGAGGCCCCCCGTATCACTGCCGTGTCTCCCTCCCCCTGAGATGCCTGGCAGCGATTTAAGATAAAGCACAGCAGGAGCCGCAGTGTTACCCTAACAACGCAGCCTCGCCCCCTCTTCCGCCATGCTGCGCGCCTTAAGCCTCCTTAGGAGGAGGGAACCTGCGGGGGGTTCTGAGAATGTCAATAGCAACAACAGTAACAGCAGCAACAACAGCAGCTCCACCTTCGAGGATGCCATCAAAGGCAGCAGAGAGGCCATCTGCACTCTGGATAAACGCCACGCGCACATCCTCAGGAGGGCGCAGGTGAGGCCTCCCCTCCAAACCCTTGAGTGCAATGGTTGTTGCAGCCTTCCTGCGAAGCGGCAGGTGATCGCGGAGCAATGCTCTTTCCGCATACAAAGAGTAGTCTATGGTGTTCGTTCTCAGGCACAAAGCGAGGCAGCTCGTGCCTGCGTCGCATGCTCGGATCGCAATGGCGCCATGTTGGCTCTGCAGCGGCGAAGGCTGCTGCTACGCGATCTGCAGCAGCTTGCTGCTGCACGCTTAACATTAGAGCGACAGCTGCTGCAGCTAGAAGCAACGCAGGCTCAGAAGGTTGCGGTCTCTGCTATGGCTGCTGCAGCCTACGCCCATAAGGAGCTCAGCAAGCAACTGTTCGTCTGCCGTTGGTGCCTCCGTTGCCGTTCCCTCTGCACGAAACTGGCAGCTACTGCTGCCTGTGCTGCTGCCGCAGCAAAGCTAAGCACGAACGAAAGGAGGTGCTCTCCTGGCTATGCTGCTGCTGCTGCAGGAATAGCAACACGGTGGAACGTCTGCTGGACGAACTCACGGAGCAGCAAGAAGCGCAGCAGGAGCTCGTGGATGCTCTGCATCAAAATGCTACACCTGCTGAAGAAGAGGCAAGCCCAATAGAAATGCAGAAAAAGATTGAAGACTTTTGTCTTGAGCGTGGCGTGTGTAAATGTGGAGCCAGCGGGGCCCCAGGGGGCCCCTCCTGCTGCTGCTGTATGAACTGTGCTTGTGTGTCACTGCTGCAATTGCAGCAGCAGCTGCTGCTCCTGCTCCTGCTGCGTCTTCGCTTTGTGCCGTCCCCTGTACTGCTAGTTGCACGCACTGTATGTATGGCTAACTGCGCTGCTGCAGGTTGAGCTGCTGCGAGAACTCGACGAATTAGAAGCTCTCGAAGTCGAGAGACAGCTCATCATGCCGCCGAGCGCGACTGCGCTCAAGGTGCAGCAGGCGCAGCTCACACAGCAGGAAGAGGAGCTGTTGCAACTGCAGCAGCAATTGCAGCTGCAGCAGCAGCAGCAACAACTTGAGGAACCTTTCCCTCTTTACCCCTTAGGAAAGCAGGCTTCCTCAGTACGACAACAGCAGCAGCAGCCGCCACAACAAGCCGTAGCTATCGGATTGCCTTCTCGCCCCCCAGGGATGCTCTTGGAGCAGCTGCAGCAGCAGCATTTGCAGCAGCAGCAGCATTTGCAGTGCCCTTTCTTGAAGAAACTGCCGCCGCTTCAGCAACCGCAGCATTGCCAAGAGCAGCTGCAGCAGCCGGAGCGACGGACCAACGCGCTGCTGCAGGAGGATGGAATTTTCGGTAAGCAGCAATGGTGAGGGGGCAGCAGCGTCAAGAGCAGCTGCACGTGTAAGAGTAACCCCTCTGTGGCGCATGAAGTGCCATGGAGCCTGCTTTGTACAGTTGCGTGTGTGTGGTGACTAACTGTCTTGCAGCAGTCCCCCCCAGGCAATCCACGGGAGTTTATTCGCAGCTGCAGTCTGATCAGCAACAGCAGCAGTGGAGCGATGAAGATCGGCTAGGTGTGCTTCTCTACTCATGAAACGGCAGCTGCACAAACATTTGCAGCAGTCGCCGCCATATGCGGGGGGGGCTTCACCCGTCTGTCCTTTACGATAGGCAGCTAGTAGAGAATGGGCTACTCTTGCTTTGCAGCAGCAGCAGCAGCCGGAGCTGCAGTAGGGGACCTTCTTGTTTTGCTTCCACGTGTACATAGACTGCCCTTTTTGTCTTATTTCTCGAGGTGTATGTACACCTCGAGAAATAGTGGGCAGCAGCAGTAGCAGCACTGCACTGCACACGCCGCGTGCTTTTCCCCAGGTGGCCCTTGGGGTCCTGGGAACGCGACGTGCGGCCTTCCTTCTTTGTGCCTTTTAAAGAATTTGTTGCTGCGGCTTTCCCAGATGGACTCGGATAAAGCGTTTGCATGCACACAAGCGCCTGAGCGCCTAGCTCCGAATACATAAATTTAGGGGGCTGCTGCGCTTTAAACTGTGGGAACTGCCGTTTGCGGAGCAGGAACCGCCGGTGATCTGCTCCCCTTCTATGCACATATGAAAGGAAGGCAGCGACTTGTCTATACTTTGAACTATTTCTTATCCGTTCATCAGTTGCCGTGGCGGGCTGTTAGCTGTTACCTACCACACGGTGTTGCTATCGCTGCTGCCAGCTGAGGGAGCTACCTCAGTGCGAATCCGTGGCTCAAAGGGTAAAGCACACAATGGAGGAGCAGGGATGAGCTGAGGGTATGGCGTGGCGTCATTCCGCTCAGAGATAAGGCCGCTGGGGTCACCTCTTGACACACTCAGTGTCTCTTGAGAGAGGGATTCATCGAGGGGGCAAGGGAGAGGCAGGAGGAAGGAGGGGGGGCGTCAGTGAAGTTTAGGACTCTGATGAAGCTGTAGCCGTTCATCGTGAAGGCGTAGCGAGGAAATAATCAGCGCGTTTTACTGTGCTTCGACTTGGCCTCTTCCTGCGTGTGCAAGCCGTCGGTAGATGTCTTTCGGAGGATGATGTGAGCGCCGTCCTCACGTTCTGTGTCTTATTCGCGATTCAGTCTCACCCTGCTCTTCCCTTCGTGTTCCCCGTGCATGCGTGCCGGGCGTCCTTGGCGCTAGTCGCTCGCGTGCATGCGATCTCTGCCAGCCTCCCGCTGAATCGCGGGAAGAGGCCCCTAGAAAAACACGTCGCTAGTTGGGTAGGCGTGTGGGCAGTAATGCCATCTACGTGCCTAGGAAGCACCCGCACAAACGGAGTATACAGCAGACATCCCAAGAGCGCTCACGCGGCAGGGAACTAGCGGGACGTAAGGCAACCAGCTGACTATCTAGCTAGGGAGCTTGCTAGGTATGGTGGGCCTTTACCAGCTAACTGAGCAGCATTACACTTCTCTAGAGCCCGCCCAGCAAGCGCTCTGAAATTTTTCGCGGAAGCGGAGACAGCGGGCGTAACGGAGAGTGGAGAGGAGCTGGCGGCTCTCTGGTGTGGAACTGGTCAGGCATATTTTGCAGGAGGCGGGGTCCTAGCAATGAAGCACCACGGACTGAGATGCGAGCAAACGTATCACTGGCGGTGCGGCCTTGTTGCTAGCGGCTTTTCCCGACAATAACGCCCGTTGAGAGCTTATTCCGTTTAAGGACTCTTACAAAGATGCTTCTTAGGTCTCCCAGCAGTCGTCAGCAGAAGTGCACCACAGCCACTTGGCTGCATCTACGTCCGAGGCAGAAACTGAAGAGAGACTGCTGCTGCTGCTCTCTGCGCTGCTGCTACAGGATTTGTCGTCGCCATCTGGCCCCGAAATCTGCTCTGTGTATCGTTCCGCTGAATCTGCGGCGACAGAGCACACACAACCACTCCGTCCTCCCGCATCCTCACGGAAGCACATGCAGCAGCAGCAGCAGCCTGTACAGCTGCTTCTAAAGGCTGAAGCAGCAGCAGCAACAGCGGCACCGCCTCACAGCTTGACACACCCTGCTTCTTCCTCGACCTGCGACTTGCGCCTTTCATAGAGAGCCTGCGAATACAAGCGCTGCCACACCACTCCTACGCTGCATGTCCACCTTCCTCAGACATGCCGTGTGCTGCAATCGCTACTCCTGAGGCCAGCCCACGCCAGGTAGAGAAGTCGGAAAAAAAACTCAGCAGCAGCCGAGCGGAGCATCAGACGAATCCATACCGCGCAAACAACTTGGACAAGACTTTGTACAATGGCGGCGTCTCCTGCTGCTGCACGGGCAGCGTTTGGTGCTGCTGACTCTTCGAAGCCTCCACACTCTCCCTCTGAGTCGGGGGAGCAGCTTCCTCATCATCAACTCGCTCTGCAGCCTGTTCTGCAGTCTGTGCTGCTGCTGAAGCCGCCTGGGAAGGCTGCATAACCCGTGCAGCATAAGCTCCTACGGAGGCAGCAAGTGCTGTAACGACATCGTCAGTTTCCCTGCGAACGGGTGCTGCTCTCGAATCGTGCAAGTTCAAGGCTTCTTCCTTCGATTCTTCAGTGCTCCAATCCTCCCTCTGCGAACTCCGGCCTGCCGCTGCTCCAGATTCTGCTACCGCGCAAGAGGAGATTCGCCGAGCGCCTCTTTGACTCTGCTCGACAGACGTTTCAAGGGCTGCGAAACCATGTGACGCAGTCAGCGCAGTGTGTGCTGGCTCTGCTGCTGCTCCTGCACCAGCAGCAGTGAATTCTGGGAATGCATCCGATGGCGCTGCTGCCGCAGTTGGCTGCCTCAGGCGCAGCCTTCGCAAGACCGCCAAAAACGCAGAACACGACGCCTCATCTTCTTCAGTGTCAGCCCCTCCGGAAACCTCCGCACCACATGCAGCTGCATCCGCTGCCGTTGCATCCGTGGAAAAAACTGACGGCGAAGTCGCCGTCCAAAGAAGGCCTGCCCAGCCCTTCACAGGTCCAGTGCGCCACTCCCCTGCGCGCACACTCTCTTACCTCGAGCTGCCGAGATGCAGCCCTTCCCCACCCCTCCAGAGGCTTTCTATCTCCGTTAACCTCTGCTCTACCCCTTGCCTTTCTCGGGCGCATAAAGAAGGCCCCCCCCACGAAGACTGCATCAAGATTCCACGCAGCAGAGGCATGACAAGGATACCAGCAGCAACCCCCAACCTGCGACTTGCCCCTCCCTTTCCCAGCTCCGAGAGCCGCTGCTTCGTCTGGCTGTGCCCATGCAGCCGGATCCTTCTGCTGCTCGCGCTGCCGCTGCAGCAGCTCCTGCTGCTCGAGCAGGGCATGCATGAGCAGCAGGTGTGGCTGGAAGCTCGCGGGACTGCCGGCAGCAGCAGCCGCTGCAGCCGCTGCTGCATCTGCTGCTGCCGTGGAGGATCCTGCTCCTACTGCTGCTGCAGTTGCTGCTGCACCGAGGAGAGCCACCAAAGGAACGCCAGGGGTCCGGTAATATAAGCCGATAGACGATCCCAGGAAGTCTGAGCACCCCACAGCCAGTGCCCCAACACTGCGCGCTTGCCGCCTCTCTTTGAAGCCTCCAAACAAAAGACAGCGGATGCAAAGGATGCACGTCAGCCTTTGCCTGCACAAGATCCAGCGAGCGCGTGAGCTCCCAGACATCTAGCCCCGTAAATCGAACGGCCTAGTCCTCCCCCCTCCACAGCGTAGTGTTTTTACCAAGCGGATGGACAGACACTCACCGCAAAGCGCAGCGGCAGCCCGCAGTTCGCGACCGCTGAACGTTATGCCTTGCACCGGGGGTAATCGGGGATCTTCACATACAACACACACACACAGATATACACAGACACACATGCCACACCACATACACACACAGACACACAAGGCATAGGACACAGATACTCACAAACAACGCACTACTCAGGTGCAGTAAGTCCAGCTTTCACGGGCAAGATCGTGCCTCGCACTCGAGCTAAGCGCTGTCTATCCCGCAAAGGCATGTTGCCTGCTGCGGAGTTGGGCTATCCAGAGAAACGCAGCACTGCTGCCTTATGGAACACGTGCTTTAATACCAATAACCATTGCATCAAAAACATTCTGGTGCAGAACAACTTCGCTTCCGAAACCGCCAGATTCTGTCGTCGAGTCACTAGCCTCTCCTGAGCTCCCCATCAGCTGCAGCAGGAGAAACAAGTCCATGCATGCAGCAGTCGACTTGGCATCACTGCAAGTGGCCATGCATGCAGCAACGCGTGCGGAAGCAGCCGTAAGGACCCGCAGACAAGCCGACACAACGCTCTTCCCGCCATTGCGTCCTCTCAAGAGAACTTCAACCACGTAAACTGCGAAAGGCTTCGCCCTCAAAACTCTCGCTATCCTGTGTCAACGGCGAACCATGCACTTACGATGACGGCTTTATCAGGCTGCAGCCTGTGCGAGAGCTGCAGGTCCTCAAAAGGAAACAGGAAATCCTCGAGACTTCGCAGCATGGAAGACGAAAAGGTGCTCAACGAGTGGCGGCGAAACCAGCGTAATCGACAAGGAAACGTCCATGATCCTCGCTGCATGCACCCCTCACAGGAGGCAGGACGGCATTTTTTTTGAAGGACTTCCCAACGGTGCAAAAATACGCCGCATGCTGCGATACGCGCACGAGAGTTCTTAGTCGAGGAGAAGCAGCAGCGGCAGGGGTCGTCAAGAGAGAGAGCAACGAGAAGCCTGCACTGGCCGGAGGCAGCCAGAATGAAGGCACGCGTGCAGCGAGGCAGTGCTCGCTTACGGAAGCAGCAATAACAGCAGAGCTGTGAACTCCGCATCTTGAATAGAAGAGATCTATTCGAAGAGAGGCTTCCCCTCCAGCCAGAACTATTCGATCGGCTCGCAGTAGGCGTGAGCCTCCAGCTCCTGGACCCAAACCCTGATCCGCAAGCCACAAACTGTGCAGGGGGCAGTGAGTGAGTGAGGAGGGGAAAGGGGGGTGAAGAGAAGCTTGCAGGATGTTCCTCCAGAGAGATTAGAGGCCTGCTTCTATGGCTGCGCGTGCGTATTTGGGGAGAGCAGAGACACCCGATGGGAAGGTGTTTGACGCTGCCCTACGGCGCGGGAGGGCTTGAGAGGAGGGGAGGGAAGGGGCACGTATATCGCGGTGTACTGCTGTACCTTTGTGAGAACCTTCCACAAATGCTTAATCGGCAAGGTTACACAATATGGGTGTGCTGCTTCTCCGCACTGTCCTTCCGCTTCTGCTTCCTGCCGTCGTGGCTGGTGCTGCAGGGTCTTGATCCTGAAATCTCGGAAAAAGCTGCTACAAAATGCCACATGGAGCCAAGCGGTTTGCGCCTCGCTAGCTGCATCGAGATGCAGCGAAGCACCCAAAACTGATAGTCTTAGTTCAACTCCTACTGTCCTCAGGGCAAACAGACACCGGCGAAGCACCAGGGCCTGGCCGTAGGTCAGGTCGGCTTCGAATGCAGATTCGGAGGGAAGCTCGGGGGCCCCTAATGGGGGCCCCTCCATGACTCAAGATGAAGCAGAATGGAAATTAGGTCATCACCAATCGGCAGGAGCCTTTGGAAAGGCTGAAATCGGCTGTGGCGTGCCGCACTGCACTGGCCGCTACGCGGTAGCCGAGGTGTTGGAACTCGTTTGGGTCGGTGCAGAACAGGAATATTAGCAACAACGTGGAAGGAAAGGAGAAAGGGTTCAAGAAAGACTGATTGCGCTGGAAGGAAACGATGTGAAAGAGGAAGGGGGAAGCGGGGAGAGCCTTCAGGGCCCCCAGGTGGATACCATGTCACGCCTGTGAAGGTCCCCGCTTAAGCCGTAATCGGGCGAAGAGTTGAACTCATTAAGGTGATGTCGATAGTTTTTTGTCAAAAAACCGAGCAATTAGGGCCAGGCAAGGCATTCCACGTGCGGATTCGAGTGTCGTAGGCGGGGTGAGAACACCTTGTGTGCACCGCACCGCAGACGACCCGCCAATGGAGGCCTCTGTTTTCTCTTAATAACACCGGTTAAAAGGAGCGCACGGGTTCTCACTTAAATTATAGGGTTCTGTTTGTTCTGATCGTGCCCCGCCATGTCCGTCAGCATTTTTGCGAGCGCGGTGACCCTTGGTTCAGGCTACGAGGTCTCATCGCCTCCTTAGCGCACTATTTATGCAGATGCCCGTGTTTTCGCTTTGAAATGTCAGTTTCCAAAACCTAAGGATCCACTCTAACGGGCTGCCTCGCTCCTCCCTTTCCTCCCAAGTTTTCGTAGCCCTCGCACTTCACAAGGTCCAAACTGCGGCGGTGCCGCAGAAGCCACGAAGAAAAGAGTGAAAAGTGACAGCTACAGAGAAAAAAATCAACGACCATGGGACTAGGGAGCCTGCGCCGGCGGCATTCGCCCCTAAGCAGAGGGAAACTTTCGTCCGATAGCGTGGAAACCGAAAAGCGTGCAAGTGTGCCATGAAGGGAAGAACGGATAGTGGCTAGCAATCAAAGTGCACAGAGTTGCACGGAAGAAAGGGAAGTCGAGGGGCACCCTTTCTCTTTTGCTTTACCGACCTCGCCGTCCTTCATGCGCATCGGTGCCCCCATCTAATTGACGGAGCATCGAACTCCACGCTCACAGAATCAACACGCTGTGACTTTGCTTGCGTCTTGTTCAGTGCTCGTCGCGATCGGTTCAAATGCGGCCTTCACATCTTCCCACACCCTTGGAATGGGCTGGTTTGCGTTGATCGTGACTGCACAGTTGGTGGCAGCAAAGAGAGAAACGATGGGCATAGTGCTCTCCCTGAATGTAGAGAATCTCTTCCTGAGAGATTCTACGTTATCGTCGGTCCGGCCGCTAGTGGCACCCCTCTTCAGTATTCTGCGAATCATTTCCTCTTCATCGCACTCGAAAAAGAGCACGAGGCGTGGAATAATGCCAAAGGCACTGGGGTGTACTGTGAGCTGTTGTCCTAGCTCCCCTAGCGTGAGGTCTGGCACTGCCTTGTTCCTATCTGCTGGGGGGACCGATGAGAGCGAATCATGCCCTAATTTTTGCAGAACCGACTGGCACTGCTCTACCAGAGGAGCCTCGGCAGAAAACTCTGTTGCAATGCGCGACAACTCCGAGGGAAGGTTCTCCGAGCTGGTCATCTGCGCAGCATATCCCAGATAACACTCCGCAGGTATCTACAATCCATAAAGCATCTAGCGGAAAAACGGTTGCCATAGGGCCTCCTAAGAGGCGGGGGGAGGGGAGGGTCGAAATTCAGGGAATGTGTTTTACTGATAGCCATCCTGCGAGGTTGTCGGTGTTCCGGGGAAATCCATCGATAAGAAACGTCCCATTGAAACCGGCAAGGAGCATCTTTCTCAGCAAGAGAGTCAGCGTTATGCGCACCGGTACAATGCGCCCTTCAACACCAACCACAAAGAGGGGCAAGAAGAATTCGGGAATGGGAGTCTGTCCCTTGTTGCCCCAGAGAATGAATGAGGAAGAAACACACATAGAAAGAGTCGCGACTTTTCTAGTGGCTTTATGAGCAGGTGCCGGCCAGCTGCTCGTACAGCTGTATTGAGAGGATTCCCAGAGAAGCCCCGCAGACAGACTTCCTAGAATTGCATATGGCGAAGGGAAAAATGCAAGGCATTACTAAATCACTGAGCGCACTTACGTGCAAAACCACAGAGCCATAAACACAGAGGAGAAGAGCTTCCATGTATCCATGCCAAAGTCCAAGATGCAACAAGCGTGAGGTATGAGTTGTGTTACGCATTCTCACCGTTGCGGATGCAGTCGTCAATCAGTTTGCTGTATGGGCTATTGGGGTTCGCTTGCTCCTCCCGCAGACAGTCCCCTGCAAACAAACCGTGAAACCTACTTTAAATTTCCACATTTCATCCTGTACCGCAAACTGCAGAACCCTCCAGCCCTTAAGTCTGTTCCCCACGCATGAAATATTTGTCACCCTGCGCCAAGAATCCAAGTTCGCTCCCGAACTCGAAGCAGACGAGTAAGATCCCTAAACTTCAAAGGTCTTCGTACCCGCAGAGATGTGGGGGATGGAGAATTCTTGCGCAAGCAGCTGACACTGCGTGCCTTTCCCGGCACCAGGTCCTCCTAGTACAAAAACCTGAGATAAAAAGAACTGGCGAAATAATGCAATGAGGGCCTTAGGAGTGGAGGTTGGAAGGACGGCGTTGTGCATCAGAGATCTCCTCACCGTCTGTGGCTTATCCATCTTGGCCTGAAGCGGATTTCTTCGTTGGGATGAACGCAAAAATGCTGTGGCTGATGCTGAGGCGGCTGCTGCTGCTGCTGTTCCTGCTCGTGCTTGTGCTGCAACTGCGCCTGTGGAAGCGGGCTTAAAGAATCTGAGGGCCGTTGGCACTATAGGCATAGGGAGGAAAAGAGGTGTATGGAGTGCCGGTGCAGCAGTTGCCGCCTGCAGCTTCTTCACAAGCAAGCTGTCGATGCACCGCAAATGGAAGGACAGCAGTAACAGCGGCAGCAGCTGCTGCCGCAGCCCGTAACTGGCTTTTTTTCTGGTGCTCTGCGAGCTCCAGAGTCCCCGCATTCAGCGAAGACACAAAGTGAGCGTTTCTTGGGTGTGTCGCCTCGGGTTCGCTTATGGCACTTCCACGGGCAGCGTATCGGGTAAGCCTGGCTCGATAAATCACGAGGATACCTACCATAATCTATGACGAACACATAATCCCTGTTAGTTTCAAAAGGAGAACGGCGCAAACTGGCAAAACTGATTCTCGCCCTTGGGGCTGTTCCTCTGAGGTCCCAGCCTCGTCCGTCAGAAGCTGCTACCCGAAACCTGGTATTTTTAGTTCCGTGAGAGTTTCTTATCTTCTACGCCGCTATTTAATGTAATAATCGCCTTGTTTTGTCTTCATGTGGCGAACTACGGGCACGTTGATTATTGTTACTGGCTGCTTGCTCCAGACGCTCCTCGCACCTGGCCCCCTACACCCTTGCTTTGCCCCTTACTGGAAAAAGATGAACTGTGGGGCTTCTTCCTGCTTGAGCCTCATACAGAGCAGTGTAGCGACAAACAAGTTTCCCAAGGCGAAGACAGGCTAGTGAAGTCACCACGAGCCACCCAGCTCGCATCCAACGTCTCCAAACGAAGGCCTAGCAAGGATGAGAAACAGGGACAAAAACAACAAAATATCCAGAAGCATTGCCAGCAAGCTGCTGGTACGATTCATATAGGCATGCGCTTCACTAAAGACTCGAGCCGGGTTTAAAACTCCCGGCTTTCTCCAGGTCCCTCGATGGAGTCCGCTGCTCCTTTTAAATCTTGTTTAAAGGTTCAAGGAACCCAAGAGGGGGTACCATACTAAAGATTTGGCTTGGCCCTAGTAGCGCGCACCGTCAAGCTAGAGCTTGGTCACCGGCAAACCAAGGAGCTCCTCGCAGCGAATGGGAAAGTGAATGCAAATTCGATATTATAAAGCTCTACCTAGGGTCTCCACAGAGAGACAGCACTTCGAAATTGGATAGCAACTGATCAGATTTATTAAGTGATTTCGGTGGGAATCCCGCTTTTCCCTATCTGCACCCCGTTAGACCTTCCCACATGAGGGGAGATGGACATGTAGGGCGCGCGTTGCTGCGTCCTCAAAGCACCCCAGGGGTGGACAGCTAGTTTCACACAGCATCTGTTGCGCACATGCACAACAGTGCGTCTTCTTGTATCGAGCTAGTGCTACTTTGCAATGAATATGATATACGAAGAGCCGAACCAATTAGTCAGAACATTACTGTTTCACAACTAAATAGAACTACTGTACAGAACGCCTCTTAGTGTAGCTTAGCCTGCTACATCTTCCCCTGCCCATCTCAGAACATACGCCTTCGTGTTTCCTCCCTGGCCGTGGAGACCGATTGAGTGGGGGACAGCGGAGAAGTTCCCGCCCCAGGGCCACTCTACAGCAAGGCACAAACGCGAAGCAGGGTGCAACACGAGGAAAGCAAATGTGTTCTTCAGACACAGGTGTATTCAGAGGATAGGAAGACATACACACTAGCCAACAATAAAGGTAGGACCAAACCAACATGATCGCGGCGGCGCGATGCCTGGCGCAATGGCTCGCTGTCGTCGGAGCGCTTGAATGCGTGAACTTCCTGATACGAACCGATAGAGAAGTAAAATGCGCACATGAAATCATCAAATACGCTACCTCAGCAATGGTTTTTGACTCTGTGCCTCAGAACGATTTCTGCATGCAAATAGAGGTGATGGAAGCATCCGATTCGACTTCAAATCCCCCCAAAGGGCACAAGAAAGAATGAAGAGACCCTACACCTGGGAGTGCGTGCCCATAAATCTGATGGTAGAGAAAGCCTGACAATAATCACGAACGTTTCAAGCAACGTCCATAGCTGAAGGTAGCTGCTTTAGGCAGAGAATGTGCTGTAGAATGACAAGTACCAAGAAACGCGAGGAATACCTTCCGTGGCAACTGGCGTTGCCAAGCATACACAGCCACCAGTCTCCCCTCAGCCAACAGGGCCAAAATTTGCCTCTCCGTCAACAACTGTGGTCGGGCAGCCAGTTTTCATGAAGCGTCCCACGTAGATTGCCCTTGGTGCTAAGTAGTCGTACAATCCAGCACTTTTATTTCTCCTTGTGGATTCTCCCCCTCCACACAGGTTACCTGCCTTGGCGGCACAGTCCCATAATATTTGAGAGTTCCGCGAATTCTTCAGGAAGCCAATATTGATACCTCTTTGACACATGCAGCTTCTGGGGAAGTTGTCGAGTTGAGAAGGACCATTGATTCGTCAGAACACCGCAATCGACGTTGGGTGCCTGGCCGCGAACGTCTTTGTCTGCTCGCCTGATGCGCTCGTGATGCCTGTCAATCTCTCAACCAAATCTCCAGGCTCGAAAACATGTCCGGCTGTGGCGTATCATAATTTCGTGCCTGTGTCTATTGAGCTGAACACGTGCATTTGTGTGCACTAACAACCTGGGGTCTAAATACCTCCGCGGTTAATGGAGTCTTCTGGTCCCAGAACACCAGGTTCAGGACCAGATCGTAGAGGAGCTCTTCAGTGAAGCCACGAATACGGGAGAGCAAAGGGTAGACGAGTGTACTGTTGCACTATAAACTCACGTACACAAGGATGAATGTCAAGCTAAGCAGTTGGATTTTTTGTGAGCATAGAGTAGCACCTACTACAGTGGAGTAGAGTTGGTGCGCTCAGCTTGTCCACCTGCCTCAGGAGAGCAATGATGAACTTCGGAATTCTATCCGTAGTTATATACCCCTGGGATATTCGTGATGCTTTCAGCAATTGGCAAGGGCTGATAGAGCTGTCTCCTGCGCTGTCACAAAGCAAGGGCTAGGGATGAAATGGGCATATGTTACGTATCTGTCAACGACGATGTAGAAGACGTCCTTGCCCCTGACCTCAAGCAGTTCCACAATAAGACTTAGAGTCATATCAGTCCAAATCCTTTCAGAAGCCGGAAGGCTTTGCAAAAGCTCACGTTAAAAGAGTGTAGCGGCTTTATCGGCTTGAGCATCTTGGCATAATAATGCATAGTCTCTTCCCGCGGGATACATCCCTGGGCACCAGAATGACCGTGCGAGCTGTTTCACTGTAGTGTAATCTGGAATTCTCCGTAGAGTTTACTGACTGTGGCCCCTGTGGGCACCAGACTGCGGCCTAGGTGGATACTGCGGGAGTTTTCACGCCCCAACACGACGCATAGAGTTCCTTTTCCCACGGTGAATACCGCACGGTTCGGTAAAGTGATGAGAATAACAAGCAAAGATTCGGTGTCTCGTGGAGCTCGTAGCCTGTTGGAAGACCATTGAAAGACTCTACATCACCAGCATTGGCTTTGGGAAGGAAAGAGCTACCATACTCGGCAGCGCAAATACCAAGGGATTTACAAGCCGGCCGGCATCCGTCCTTGCTGCGACGTCAGCTTCCTCTGTCCATGTCACAAACCGTGTTTTCTATAGTAAAGCAAGCAAAGAAGCGAAAAAAAACCACGCAATCAAATTCAGGTAATACGATACAAGCCCATAGAATTCTGCAAAGTCCGTGTGGGTCCATAAGCGAAAAGAGCCCACGCCTTGACTCCAATATTTCTGGATCTGGAGCAATCCATGCAGCCGAGAAACGGAATCACAGAAACAAAGCTTGTCTTATGAAGAGCAACTACTCACGTCTTCTTACATATTACTGCGTGTTCTGCAGCAGCTGAAGTGCACGTTGTAGGTGCTGTAGGTGTTCATTCGTGAAATAAGATATCTTTTAAATGCACAGCCACCCTCTGTTTCTTGATAGGAGCGTTAAACGCGTGATTTAGTTGTCGTCACAATTTAGCTGTGGCATTAGAGTCAAACGTCATGCAGATACACTTGAGATTGCAGCTGCGAATGTAGATCGTCACTTCGTGCCCGTAACTAGGGTGAATGGGGGTTTTGTGGAAAAGCGTCTGCTGAGTCAGATGACGACCAGACTATTGTTCCGTTTAGTTTGTCAAGCCGTTCATGAACACGAGGCCTCACAAGCTGCTGACTTAGTACCTTGTTTAGGACCTTAGAACACATGCGCCACTGTCCTTCCAGGCACCGACACCGGATTATGCCTAATGGCTTTGGTCGATTCTTAAGCATTGCCTTTTCCGTGACAATACTCAGTAGCCAGTCAAAAATGTACTTTATACTGTGAGGACTTAAAGTCGTGTGTACCACTGCTTGGAGCAGGTTCAGGGTACTACCTTAATACGCTGTACTGGACGACCAGCGGGTGGCCAGCCTGTTGATAGCGCAACAACATCTAGCACATCCATGAATTCCACCTTGATACGTCCCCATTCCTGCTGCTCCAATGGCAAAAGCTCGATCGAAATCCTTGATACAGAGCAAGTTTAAAAGTCGCCAAAGCGACACGCATGCTCAAATCCGCCCTCTCTTACTGTGCTGTCGACTCGACCGCATAGAGACCCTGCCTCTCCTTGTTGAGGCACGGACTCAACCCCATTCATTATACACTAAATACAAGCTACTGAAGAAACTATGACATGCTGGCTCCTAGCGCTTCTTGGTAAGCTAAAGCCCATGGCGCACAGCTGTGGCCGCATGCGCGCCTCTCGTTGGTTTAGCCATCACCCACTTAGGATTACATTGTGTACAATAGTTCAGCATGAGAGCCACAAGCCACAATCATAGGACCCGATCTAGAATTGAGGTGCCAACATGCTACCTGAGCCTGACAAATTCTTGCATTGTACATCTCGCCACCAAGCAGGAGTTGTGGGGACTGCGCTAAAGAGTGAACGGGCAGGCTACACTCCTGCGCCGTCTCCTCGGATAATCGGCCCCATTTACATCCAGTGTCGGTAACGCTAGCAAATCTTTACCATCAATGTACTTTTGTCTGAGCAAAGAATCGATCCGTAGTGGGCTTCCAGCAGGGGCTTAATCCGCTGTGGTCCCATTACTGCGCGGCATTCTGTGTGTGGGACTTCTAGTTTCCAGGATACATGCTCTCTTATCCCCAGTATCCTTTCCCCTATTTCGTTGCTCAAGCTCTCTGGCTTTGTGTATGAGCTTGTAGTTCCGAATTGTGTGACTTCAATTTCTACAATTGAGGGGGAAAATCTGTTGTTCGGTTGTTGGGAGCTGCGTAGGAGCACTGGTACCCTCCAGCGCTTGTTTCTCGTCTGCCTTATCCTGTAGACCTGGTGCGGCCAGCATAGCCCCGACGTCCATGGGCTCTAGATTCAAGTGTGGCTCTTCACTCTATGCCAAAGATCTACACTGTACGTTTACATACTTTTGAAACCTCGAGTATTACACCAATTGTGGAAACCTCACCGCCGGTTGTTTAGTCACGAATTCGCTGTCCTCCCTGCGACCATTCAAAGTGACACTTTGAGTGGACCTTAGATAACCCACTGATAAAACGACGATTCGCGGTGGAACCTTTGCAAACGAGTCGTCTAAATTCTTTTGCATACCAGTCGATTGATAGTCTTGCCCGTTTACGTTTTCTCAGTTAGCCAAGTTTGCTGTTGCGCTTGCCTCGGCACAAAATTAAGATTCCGTGTCTGTTTGAAAGCACGATGTATAGTAGTTCCTTCTGGCAGACAACTTCCTCTGCATGATTAGAGCCACCACTATAGTGCCTCTCCCTCCAATAAACATACGATAAGGAACAATTGTTTCTTTTTATCTGCGGGGCACAAAGCTAGGTACATCTCCAACGGGCCGATAACATTCTCGAGAACTTGCCCATCCCTGCAACCTTTACACTTTCTGGCTAGCCTGACATCTCACTGACGCATCCTCAAATATTGGATCTGCTGATTAGCCATGCCGTTCTACCAGCTGTGAAGCTGCTCCGTCCACATCAGCTTGCAGGCCGCCCTCTGCCGCCCCAATGGGCGTGGTGCCGCCGTCAAGTTCCATCGCCAGAAGTTACTTTTGCCAAAGATGTTGCCGAAAATTCAGATCATTGGGCTGCCAAATAGCCTAATGAAACCCCTGGAAACTTGTGCAAGCGGAAACAGTTGTTTCGAAATATGAGGTGCCACCATTTGTAAGAATCCATCTAGGGTCCACTCACCAGACACTTACATCTAGATCCAATACAATCTTACTACGGAGTTTGCGATGGTCTTTAAAAGAACCCCCGTCGACCCCTGCCCAATTATTTCAACGCTTCGAAAACAAGGAAAGATAGACAGCTACGTTCCGCCTCGTTGCATTATCGATACACTCAGAGCACTCACAGGTAGCAGGCACATCTGGAAAGCAGCTGTCTATGTGTGGCCTACCACGCCATTTTCGGAAAGCCCCTCCCATCACGCTGCTACACATCGGGACTAGGCGAAAATAGGAACAGTGACCCCCAAGGCTGGGTAAGCATCAGCAGACACAAGCGAATAGGGATGAAGACTCAGTGGCAAACGAAAAAGTACCGACCGCCGGAAATGGTAATGCAGTCCTGTTTTTATTTGAAAGCCAAAAACTGTACCCTTGAATCGCAGCTTCTTCATTCTTTGCTTTCAGTTTCGCCCGTATGACGACTTGGAGAGATTCTATAACTCCAAACTTGCTCGCAACGAAAATGGCAGCTATACGGCAGGCGAGCCGTGACCTGTTCATCGCTATAATGGATTCTACCAGTTGTTCACTTATTTTTTCCTAGACTTCTGAGTTATCCAGCTGGGGAGAAAATAACTCGTGCTTGCTACTGGAATTCGCCGCACAGCATTCCAACCTCCAAAACTCGTACGCTGGCTCCTTTGTCTGCCTCCTAAATGTGGCAGTTTTCGCTTAGGTTGCATCCATATCTCTTCCTGAGTCTTTACTCCCCCCTTGTTACCCTCCTGTAAGCTTCGCAAACTCTTTTTTCCTGTATGCGTAGTATTTCTGCCCGTCCACCTTTCCTAAATACTCATCTGATTCCTGCCTCGCCCTGTTCTGCCCCTGCCCGCGATGTGCACCATATATTCTGAAACCTGAAAGCTTGCAGAGAGAGTCCGTAGCTGAAGTGTAACGGCAGCTCTTCCTTTCTAACCAGTTACAGCCTATCTGCTAACAAGCCGAGTACACTATTGTTTTCCTGGTTGTGCCTTCGGTTCCCATCACATGCCGCCCCCCTCGCGCGGAGCACAACGGGCGATGTGTACACGATGAACTGAAATATACACTATTTCTTCGTTGTGCCTTCAATTTCCATCACATGCCGCTCCTCTCGCGAGGAGCGCAACGGATGATGTCGTCTACACGGATAATCTGAGACACATACACAGCACCCAAACCTTGACATCGGATACATGAGCCCTCAGCTCTCGGAACATGGTTTGGCAGCTGTGCCTGGGGTCAAGGTACGTACAGTGATCTGCCTACTGCAGCCTCTAATCCTGCGGTTTACGTTACTGATGTTGTAGTCAGCTTCTTGGCGTGATCGGTTGTTGTGAGTTTGTGCTTTATGCTTCGTTGGGTTGCAGCCGACTTACCATCTCGGCCGCCTCAGTTGCAAAACAAAGTTGAGAAAGTTTGCTCTTAAAGGCCTCAAGAACCCCCAACTGCTTCACGTCAATCGTTCCTCCGTCTCCTTGCACATCCACTCCCATCGTGTGCTGGCCCTCATGGTGCTGCGCCCGCAGCTGAGAGACGATCTCTGCGCTATCCAGTCCTAAAAACATAATACAGGTGTAGCCGTAGAAAACCATCAAAAAGAGAACCGCCACGGCTGAGAGGGAGGGGGAGAGGGACACGGCGGTCTAAGCCGTGAATCACAGTTTTACCGACAATCGAGGAAAGCCCATGTGCAGAAAGACAAACCCTACATGCTCACCTGCATTGTCGAGGATAATAGTGGGGATCTGACGAAGCGCTCGTGCAAAGCTCTCGACAGCCAAGCTCTGCGAAAACCAAGGTACAGAAACCCTTATCAAATGCATAGGATACGCCGTCATGAACACGTCTTCTGCGTTACGGGCAACGACTGATGAGGCTACAGAGCAGCCTCAGCCAAGGCCCCACTTCGTGGATATACATATATATAGTCTTTAACTTGGAGAGAACATTAAGCATTTCAGGTAGTTAAGCAGCACGGTATGGGGGAAAATACCTCTTTTCCAGGAACTTTCTTCGCCAGATCCGAGACAGCTGCTTCCATGGCCATTTCTGCCGCGCCAGCGCCGCAAACAAGCAGCAGCTGCTGCTCCTGAGAGCTCAGCAGACCCTGTCCGAGGCCGTCTGCGTGGGTTACCATCCCTGCTGCTGCTTGTGCTGCTTGCTTTTGCTCTTTCTTCTGCTGCTGCTGCTGCAGCACTAACTGTGACAAAATTGCCAAAGCGTCATGCAAGGAACGTTCTGCCTCATCTAAGCCCTGCTCGCTGCTCCCCCGCAGAACCACCGTGCAGGCTCCGCCTATATGCAAACCACATAATTTGAAGCTAACCTTGGACACTTCAGACGCGAGGCCAGCGGCGAAAAAATTCAAGAACTTGCGGCTTCCGATGACCTCTTTCTGAGCAGCAACCCGAGCAGCAGCCTCAGTAAGAGCTTACCAGCTTTGCAGCCGGAGAACCTTATTGCGGTGTCCTCGCCAATGACTACCTCTTCCATCTTTGCGCAAAAGCCCAGTGGAGCCTGCAGGACAAGAAAACGCAAAAAAGCCCCAGGATTGTGAATGTTCAAGCCTGATCGCCAACGATATCTCTTCACGTGTAAATCCTAAATCCATAACCAAGGGCCTCAACCCTTGAAGCAATACCGACCCGATGCTGTGTAGCACCACGAGGTATGCCCCAATACCTCAAACTATACACAAAAATAAATCTTTTGAGAACTTACATCTGAGGGAGCATCGAAGGTTGACACGATTTCGGCCCCTAGTGCTGCTGCAAGGCGTTCCATGCCGTCAAAGTCTGAGTGCTCGATGGCTGCTACACCCGCGGCTTTGAAAAGCTGATCGGGGTAATTGTAGATCAGCTGACGATTTATGAAGACGTCACAATTGTAAGCCAAGATCTTATCAACCTACAAACATACACCCCGTCCTAAACCGCACACCCTGAGCACTAAAATCCCAAGAAAATAGAACAAGGGCTACGCGGGAAGACTGCTCCGTTTGCAGAATAAGGAGCGGCACAGTACAGAGAGATACACCTCAGTCCACCAATTACTAGAGCTCATGAGCTGCAGCAAGCCCGAAACAACCGAGCACACCTTTTGCTTCATTTTCTCCTTCTCCGCCAGCTCGAGCTGATGAACCGCCTCAAAGGAGTCCACTTTGACCCGCGCACCGAAAATCTTGATCTTGTCAGTGTCCATTGGGGTGTTTGCCACCATCACCTGGACGCACAATTCGAGCGACACTTCGAAACCTATATGTAGCTGCATGGATCATGCACAAGTTGCATGCAGTAAATGACAATTTGTTTCGATACTGACAAATGCAGTGCACCTAAGGAAGTGCCAATCAAAGCTCTAAAATTCAAAAGTTATGCACTTGCCTTGCAGTTCTCCTTCACTCTGGGCTGTCCAACACCTGCACCACACAGACCTAAAGCCCTAGAACTCCATAACCCTCACCGACCGTTCCCACACCATCAACACACACTGACTTGGGAAGAAGACAACAACAAGGAATCTTGCAATCGCGAGCTTGTGGCTGAGAGATGAGCATTCAGCAGGGGCTTGCAGCTCGATCGTACCAATCCTCTTCTCAAGAATGAAGCCGTCGTCTAAGTATGAGTCTCGGAGGGTGCCTCCGGGTTTCTTGAGTATGTGAATGAGATCCAGAGACGCAGCGTTCTCCTTCAAGCGCATCACTGCATCGACTGCGATTCTTGCAAAGTGTTCCTGCACAAAAAGACAGCCCACACCCGAGACTGTAGAAGCTGAGCCTTTAAGAAGGCCTCATCAGTCCAGAATGCACCAGAGGCCTACGAAACTCCCTGGACAGCAGACGAATCTGCAAGTTGCAGTTTAGAGCTTAGCCTGGGTGGCTCGCCTTGTCGTGAGTCAATAGCTTCGACGAGAGAGTGGTGCGGGCAACATTAAGGAGACACTGCTTCATCGAGACCTCATCAGTCACACCAAATGCCACGGAGGCCAAGCGTTCCCTTGCAGCTGCAGCTGCCTTTCGATATCCGCTGATGATCGTCTACGGCGAACAAGGAGGCGCAACAGATTTGAACTTGCGTTTGCTGCTAGGGTTTCAGAGTCTATGTCAAGACACCAAAGGTGACCGACACCAAGAGGAACGAACCATTATACCCCTAACTAAGGAAACTGCAGCAAACCTCTTACGCATGGCCTGATGCAGTTGTGCGTGAGCGAAAGCTGACCTGGGGATGAATGTTTTTCTCGACGAGTTGCTCCGCCTCGCGCAGCAGCTCAGCCGCCAACACAACAACGCCTGTTGTACCGTCCCCGCACACCATGTCCTGCTGCAACGCCAAGTCTGAAGAAGAACAGATTGCACCAGCATTCACTGCCTTTCTTAGAGATTATGCTTCAAAACTTTGGCGGGATGGATCAAAGGTTGGGCGTGGTGCTCCCAACAAAAGACCATCGGCAACTCTAGGATAATCTATACTCTCTGTCACTCGGATTGTAATTATGCATGCACCTTTCGAGATGCCTCTGGCCCCTGGCTCGCGCACTGATAGGCCTTTCCCCACCCGCCTCCATTTCTTTCACCGCCGACCCCTTCCTTTCATCGCCATACGCCGACCCCTTCCTTTCATCGCCATACCATGCATGCTACTTTAAATCCCTGTATCTTTCGAATTATGCCACCGTGTTCCCCTCTTGTTCTGGCTGTATACTTCTTTGTTTCCTTATTTACTGACAGTGACCCTTTTGCAAAACGCTCTTCCCCCCAACTATTCCTACCTGCGAGGATCTTAGCGGCCGGGTTCTCCAACCAGACAGACTTGAGGATAGTCGCTCCATCGTTTGTCACAGTCGGCTTTTCCCTCCGAGCAGCATCCACCTGCATGGGTAGAAGAATCTTATCGAGACCCTTAGGCCCCAGAGTCGATTTCACAAGGTCACCCACAGCAATGGCGCCCACAAAGTATTGCTGCACAACGAAGGCACACATATATACTTATAAATACATACATACGCATCTAAAGCCAGTTTGACTTGCACAGCTAGCTATCTGGACAAGTTTAAAGCTAGAAAGCAGCGTAACGAACCAACTCGCCAGATGGCGGCGAGCTTGCAAATTCTCAAAACGCATCCGCGGCGCGGCAGCACCACAATGAGAAGCGAACACTCGATGTTTCAACCGAGGAGTAGAGAAGGGGAGGATGGACGAAAGTGCGTATTCTACACGATTTAAATGGCAAAAAGAAGCAGTGAAACTCACCAGACGCGCTGTGTCTCCCTTGTCTTCTTGAGCCCCCTGCTTGAGCACAGAAGGCCCAACCTCCCCTTGCTGAGGCGCACACACAACCCTAAGCCGTAAACCCTAAACCCTATCGGTATTTTACGTCCAATTAATCTTAAGCTGCAAATCCGCATGCAGGTACTTCCACATCCCGCGTGGATAACACTGTGCCAGTGCATTGTTCAGAGGTGCACATTCATGGAGCGCATTCAAGGGATTGGGGTTTTTCAATGACAGCGCTTCCAAGATTCAGCCCTAGACACTCTTCTGAATGAGCAGATTTGGGATACTCAGGAAGCACCAACAAACCCCACAAGCCTTGGGGTCCTTGCTGGCGGATGACCGCGTAGATAACCTCACCACGGAGGGACCAACCCCTCCGCGATCCACACCTCGGAAATATTGTGAAAGCCTAAGGTGGGAATTCAACGTAGATGCGAGTGTCTGATGTGTATGTACAATAGTCCTTCTGGATTGGAGGGAACGAGACGCACCATCATCTTCGCGCAGTGGTTCCGAACCGACAAGATGGATAAAGACAAAGAAGACCAGCAAGTCAGCAGACCTCGTATTTAAGCAATAACTAATTAGCCTTAACGCAAAACCAGAGGCCGCTGATGCATGCGCAAGTGCTGTGGTGTGGCGGCTGTTCCCCGCCCATCGCCGGCAGCCCCGAGCTATCTGAAGCCTCATCTGTTATCATAGAGCCCCCCAACCCATTGGTTCATAAAAGATTGTTGATTGGGACTTATATGGCGATAAATCTCATGTGTCTTTCTTTGCATCTCGCATATATACCGTGAGGCCGTGCTCGGTCGTTGCCGCTCGTCGCGCCCAACTGTTGGCTGCACTCCGTCCTTCCTTTGGAGGCCTTTTGGTGAAAGCACAAAGGAGTACCTCACTAAATTAATTGTGTTGAAGGTGGAGTGAAGGGTTTGACCGCATTTACACCCCTCGATATTTGGATTTTACCCAGCTGGGTAGGAGCTTCCACAGATTGCACATCTTTTTTTGGGTGTAAAAACGTTGCACGTTTCGTTACGTAGTGCACATCTGAACCTTAAGACGAAAAATGGCGGACAATATCGACTACTACAGCCTTGAGGCTGGACGGAAGACCGACTCGGAGGAAGCTCTCTTCCGAAAGGAAATCCGACACGGTTTCATAAGGTGAAATAAAAACAGTTTACAACCAACACAAGACAATCTAAAGTTCGAACCCAATCACATACATAAAGTAATAAGCGGTGCTTTTAATGCATCCCCTGCGTGCTTTTGGTGTAAGGCAGCGGTTTGGCGCTGCCAGCCGCTGTTTGGCCCGAAGACATATCCGCTCAGGATATGTGGTATATGCTATTCATCAGGAAGGTGTACGGGATCATCTCTGCTCAGTTGCTGCTGACAACTGTGGTGACATCGCTGTTGTTGTTCATCCCTGGAGGAACGTCGTGGGCAAAGCAAAGCAGTGGATCAGTCATCATTGCCTCGACGGGTAAACTCGAACCAACGTCCCTGTCTGTCCTCTTCATAGCTGGCGCACTGCGGGTTGCGTTGTGGTGTTTTGACCGTTGTGGGAGATCAAAGTTTGTCTCGATCTAGCAGAGGAGCCTATCTGCATGGCTTTCGTGTGTTGGCCCCTGATAGTTCCAGACCTATTGTGTCTGTGTTGCTTCAGTGCTCATGTTGATTTCCTCCTTGGTCCTGATGTGCACTACCGCCCGGATGCGTTATCCCTACAACTATTTGTTGTTGCTGGTGTTCACTTGCTCGGAGGCGATGCTGGTTGCCGTAGTCTCTGCTTTCTACGCTGCCTCATCTGTTGCCTTTGCCCTGGGAGCCACGGTCGTCATAACGGTGGGGCTGTCTCTCTTCGCGTGTCAGACGAAGCACGATTTTACCTCCTGTATGGGGGTGATGTTCGTCTTGACTCTGAACCTGGTACTGTTTGGACTCCTTGCCCTCTTTCTGGGGACCTGGGCTCAGGTGCTGTATTCTTCGCTTGCGTTGCTTGTCTTCTCCTTCTATCTCGTGATCGACACACAGCTCATCATTGGCAGAGGACAACTCAGACTCGAAGAGGATGATTACATTGTTGCGGCGGTTATGATTTACCTAGATATCATCAACATCTTCCTTACTCTCCTCAGACTCTTTGGAGAACGCTCAGACTGATGGACGCTCTACAATTGTGTTGCATGTACTCCACATACAGCAGAAACATGCGCCTCATATACCTTCGTTACTATTTCTACAACTGCTTTTTGGTTAGGATGTGCTCGCTTGCATATTCCGTTTATGCACATGTGCGCACATGCACTAGAAGATGCGCGTATGGGGAGTTCGATGTGCGCATGTCCATGTACTTGCATGAATTGCAGAGATGTACACTTCTTCGTCTTGCTGAATTCGCTGTGCGGATGTAGCCCTTTAGGGCATGCTTCTGGGGTCTACGTATATTTGGGTAGCCAGCTGAGGTCTACGCTGACCCTGAAGCTGCGCTTGGCTCTTTGCCAAAGTGTATGGCCCCAGAGTTTCCTTTTTTAGTAGAAAGCCGTCAGACGCTTTTCTTTGCGCATCCGCTAACCGTGTGGCTGCGTCTTCCCATTCGTGTGCCAGTGTATGTATCTTTCTCCTTATCCTCTTCCCTTAATGTTCAAATGACCTCTAAATTGAGTTTTTCTCTATCTCCGTTGGCTGTCATTCCCCTACACTTCGTAGCTTTCTAGTGGCCCACGACTCCACGGTACTTTTGGTTTGGCGAGCTTACCCGAATCTGTGGGATCAAGGGCAGCCAGACCCTACCAGTATCCGTCTCCGCTGGCTAGCGGCTGGCTTGAATACTGGCAATGCTTTTACCACTTACCGAAGGCAAAACTATGGCATCTGCATTGTGCTTTTGCAAGGTGCTTCAATATCTTAGAAACATCCCTTCCAATGGTCTCATCGTGAAAACCCTTAGCAGCAGAAGTATACAAAAATTAGCAGCGAAAGTTTAAAGTTTTATTTAAGCACATCGGTTCATTCCAGCATTGGGGGATACGCATCCGGACTGCTCATCGCTGCATTCTCGGGGCACTCCAAATACCAGCATCGTGATCTAGATAACAATTAAACGCAAGAGTTTCCAGTACTCTTTCTTGTAACTTGGGAAACCCCACTGTGGAACGAAAAGAGTATAGGGACCAAGTCAGTCAGGCAGAGTTACCAGTTCTAAGTCAAACGACTAGTGTAGAGAAAATGAAGCATGGCTAGGCCCTAGTCATAATCGTTCTGGCTTAATATTAAGCTGATTTCACTGAATTTAGCGTAGGGCCAGAACTCGCTTTCTCCACGCATCACGAAGTATCCCCAATCTGCGGGAACGAAAACAGAACACTGTACCAAGCTAGCTAAGTTGCTTAGATTTCTAAAACATGACTGTAGTAATTTACTGAAGAAAAACTATATAAACGAAAGCAAGCCTACCAAGTGCTTCCTCGGAACGCTACTCTCTCTTCTTGCCCCCGCCCACGGAAAACCTGCCTTACGAGGATGGAACAGCTAGGATATCTAGGCGCCTAACCGTCGTAGATATCCATGCATTCTAGCACAATCTGCATAGCAGCTTCTGACAAATACACAACGTTCTTAGTGGAGTAGGTGAATCAACGCAGAGAATTTCTGCTACATCATTCATAAAGATTTACAAAACGATTGATTTTTTGGTTTGAGTGCAAAGTAACACTCGCTCGATACGATATGCATCACCCTTATTTGCTCGTGAGGTAGTTGCTCTATGCAGCAAGCTGCGAATGGTCAGACTGTTAGAGGGTGCATTAGTGCACACCCTAGATGTTGCTATTCCCAACGCCGAAACCCTGAGGGACACGGGCACGGAGAGGGGACGGTTCCTGTGGAACGAAGTATGGAACTTAAGTATGAAAAGTGTCATACGTTGCGGCAAGCATACCATAGAACTAGACGAACCGTGCAGCTGGTGGAAGGTCGCATCGTAATTAGACGACAGTAGTGTAGTTGCAATTACGCTGCTGCTCTTCATTTCCTCAGCCCAGAACTCTTTCGGAGGAGGGGCAATCGAAAGGAGGAGCTTGTCAAAGGAAAACGGAATAATTTAAGTTTGATCGAATTACGTGGGCTGAAGGTCTTCTTCTGGAAACAACAGAAGGCACGTTATTGCTTCGATGAGTGCTTCCTTAGGGAACTCAGTGCTAAATAGTGTGCTATCTCAAACAAACACTAGAGATAGCAGCATTGTGTGGACAAAGGGCTTCTATAAGAAAAGTGGTGTGCGGGTTTCCCGGTTTTGCATAGTTGTTCGTATCGATGCTCAATGTGGAGCGTCTTGGTAACTCAGTCTTAGTACTCCGAGGGAAAAGAAAAGGCGTCTCACAAGTCATTACGAGACTCACTTAAAAAGACTGCTGTGGAACGTTGGGAGTAGTACACTGTTGCTTGTTCTCCATCCCCTCTAAATTGTCCAAGGTCTCTTGTTTTTTGCCTTTAATGCCTTAGTAGTGGGGCAGGGTTAGCGACTGACGAACACGCAGACATAGAGGGATACGGATACTCCTCTTGTAGAGTTCTTTTGCTTGCTCCACCTGCATTGGTACATGGATATAATTGACACATCAAAATCAGTCACTGTTACGCTAAAACTCCATTTCTCTTACTGTCAAAACTGTCGATTAAATGTTGTTGGCGAGTGTAACCCTTCTAGCTCTACGGTCACCGTTCTTGCGATCACTAGCACCCCCCCAACCCGCAAAAGGCCTCTCGATCGAGGAACACCGCGCTGTGACACCGGAATTTATAATTTCAAAGCTAGAAAGACCGCTTCTGTGTTTGAATTTTTGTGTGTCCTTTGTACGCTTTGTAAGCCAAAGAAGGTTCTTGTTGCTTGTTGCGGCCCTTGGGTCTGCAGTCCTTGTTAGTCTCGCTTTGTCCTGGATAAGGAAGGGAACGGAAGACTTCAAGCATGCCTGCCTGTACATCTCCATCGTGACTGTAGCCTTCGTATTACTGCAGAGTTTATACTCTCCAAGCAACCCAGTTGTGGAGCCGTGAAGTACTGCGCTAGATCCCCTTCTCGCAAGCAAAGCGCAGTTTTCGCGCTCTTTACATAAGTTTGCTGCATATTCCTGTTCCTATTCCAACAAATGCCTTCTTCTTTCCTATAATGCTTTTTCGGGATTAGCCATGGCTCAGAAACTTTTGGCATCGACTTACAACCCTAAGACTCCTTGCCCATCGTGCTGCCTCCTGTTTGACCTGCTCCTTATGGATGAGATCCTGATCTGTGGAAAAACTGCGCCACAGAAAGCTTCGTCCCACTTCTTTCACTTTTGGGGTACGATAATCCAGTATCCGACTGTTGAGTTCTCGACATTCCCTTTTTACTTGCATAATACATATATATATATATCCGGGAAACGTTTTTTAACAGCATGCCCAATGTTGGTTCATACTACATCTTTCACTTAGCTCAGTGCCTCCATCCGAATGCCTCTCGTGGACAAACGGAAGCGAACTCTCCCATGTAATTCCATTTTTGCTTTGATTGCTTAGATAGCTGTAACTGAAGCTGTCATTGAAATGCTTGTGTGCGCCTTGGAGGCTTATGGTGCCGTTGCTGTGTGCAAGATCGAGTAGTAATGCAGCTGCCCATAAGACGTTATCCGATGATGATGGAAGTAGCAAATTCGGAGAGTTAAGGGCAGAAAAGAAATTTCCACCTCCGAGGGCAGACAGCACACCTCTTCCCAAGCGTAAATAGATTGAGGTCAGGATTAGGAGAAGAGCCAGTGGATGTGACGGAAGCAAGCCACAGAAGCGTTTGTAGCTCCCCTGAGAAGGCAGATTGTTTCGCTCTTAACTCTGATGCCCATTTATTATCGTGTCAGGTTTTACAGTTTTTAGAAAAACATCAGCACCGGAACATGCCAAGCCTGAAAGCTGGAGTAACTCAATATACACGGGAAGGAGAGCTTTACAAACTCCAGTTGTCAGTCTACCAAGGTCCCAGGCTGCATCATCTGGATCTGCTTCCACATACCCTGGGAAGCAAATAGAGTAAACGCCATTTCTAGAGGGTGCAAATGATGTGCCTTTAGACGGCACAGGTAAAACTACTGAAAAAGGCGGTGGGGTTGCCTTTTGGCCAGCCTAAAGCTGGGGCCCTTCAGAACGGGATGAGAGGTTCGCTAAATTCTGCGGAATCGATGTTGGTGTGCTGCACTTTGCAATGCATCAAGTGGTGATGGCGCGTCCTGTCAGGTGTAGATCCTTGGAATTGACAGCCATGACAGCTTCTTGATCAGAGGATTGAGAAATGCCTCACCAAAACGCCTACGGGCTGCTTGACAAGTGGCGGAGATGTCAGGTGGCTCGACGGGTACTCTGCCTGCCGCTGCCATCAACGTGGATACGATAGTGCGTATCCTGGCTTGTCTGAAGATGCATTTGGCGTCATTTAGTTATCTATTTTCCAAGCCGATGCGGGCTTGTGCAACAGTTAACCCCTACAATTTTAAGTCTCAGTATAGAGACGTTTGACTTCAGACTTCACAAAAATGAGAGAAACGTATTAAATGTTTTTAATAGAAGTAAATTCGTTTCCTCCTTGTGCTCATATTATCTCACATAGGGGAGAGGGACACCTACAGTGCGCGTGGCTACACCCTATACACAGCCTTAGCATTGACAGCTAGTTTCACACAGCGTTTATCGCAAGCGCTCACAAAACCATAGCTTCTAATACCAAGGTGTCGTTACTTCACGACGGTAAGTTACACAAACAAACAAAGCGAGTAGACACCTTCTTACTGATTCTTAGTGAAGTATAACTGATTTAGTAGAAAGTGGCGAAGTCTAGCTGAGTTCTCTGCGCCTGCTATTACTCAGAATAGCACGGCCCTGAACATGCCTATTCAGATCAAGTGCTCGGTTGCTGAGGAAATTCCTGTGTGGCTACGAAGTCCCAGTGACGGATTCCCATGTCTATGCTCCAACTTTAAAGTTGAAATGCATGCGTAAAGTTCTTTCAAGAGGCTCTGCTAATGATGCGGAATGCAGTGTGTCCCCGGGAATCCCCAAAGCCTAGCACGAACAGACTTTACAACGCTTGGATCATTAATATCTGGCAAGGCCACTGCTCTGGCTGCCAACACAGCTATAGCGGAGGCAGCAGAACCTAAGCTATGGCTGCAAGAAGAGGCATTACCTGTGGCCCCACAATCAAAAGATACAAATGTATCGGGGCAAGGAACTGGATGCTCAGGGTGTGGGGCAGCGAATGAGGGCTACTTGGACTGGGCCAGGGCAACAGGGAATGAAGGGCGTCTGAAATGCTCCAGGTGGCCAATGAGCAAAGCAATCACTTCGAATGGTCAGAAAAGTAGAGCTTGGAGGGATACGTGGGTGTGTAAGTGTGCAAATCAGGAAGACTTGAGTGCATCTTTTGGGTAGCAGGGGGCCGCTAAAGTAAATGAAGAGTACTAGGGAGACTCCGACCGCTCGGCAAGAGCAAAGGAATGGTATGAAGTTTTGGGCTGACAAGCGGTAAAAGAATCTACTGTAAGCGAAGAGGTGGATGCATCCTGGGCACTGATAGGTTATCATTCTGTGTATTGTGGAAGCAATTAAATCCACACAGATATTAGGGCCTTTGACAGTGGTTATAGTGCAGTACTATCAGTGTTCACTGACGATACCCGTAACACTTGGTGGTAATACGGTGGTTCCTGTAGCCCAGCGCCAGGAACTGCACCAACCCAGAGTGTCTACTGCAATACCCTTTGCCCTCGCTCTAACTACCGCGTCAGTCCCACTAATACCAACGCTCATCCACATTACCCCTGGGTTTTGCCGGAGCAGTATATGCAATCCAATCACTTCCCCCAAAACACGGATTACATGCCACTGTTATCCGCCTTCTATTTCCCCTACATCTGCAGCATCATTCTCACCATTAGTTATGAAAGTACCTCATCCGTAAAGGTTAGCTTATTCTCTGAAGTAGCAGTCAGCAGTTTGTGTTACTGTTGTGCTTCGCTTCAAAATGGGATGGGAATGGAGGTCCGATGGACGATGCTTGAGCCGATGTTTATTCTTCTGAGCTAAAGGCCAACGAACGCGTCATAGAAAATCCCTGGTGAGGGTAAGGTTTAAGCAGAGTGATACTGCGAGTCTCTTAACTAAGATATGTGGGATCATAAATTGGGGTGACAGTGAAAGTTTGGCTATTGCACGCGCTGCCTCCGTTGTATTCAGTTCATGGGCGGCATCCCCTTATGTATGTCGTTGCTATAAATGAGATAATTGAAGTAAAGCTCAACCGAAGTTAAAGAGATCGGCCGGTTGGTAAGCTTGGGACTCGTACGCTGGGATACCCAAGAGTGTGGGCAGTTGTCATGTGCTGCTAAGATGGTTTTGATTGCGTTGATTCCTAGCTGAAACCCCGATAGAAGGAAAGAAGTCAAAGGTCCACCACTACAACGAACTCCGGATTTTGCAGTTGTCTAGTTCGAATCCAACTGGAGCCCATACGGCCACAAGCGATTCAATATAGATGGTTTAGTGATTATACGCAACGGCTATGGAGGGATTTGGCGGAAAACTGGCAGGCGCACGATTTGCTGTTCTGTGATTTGACTTGTTGAGTTGGCCGATGGGCACAGCATTCATAAATTGCCAAACTAGGTGACGCGCCATTTCTTGTTACGCTCACTAAATGGCCCTATGGATATGCCAGCTAATTTAGCTGGCCCATAACTTAATTGGTTTGAACTTGAACGTGGGTAGGCATAGCTGACTCTCATGGGAGTGCTCATACACTATAATCGTTGCTTCTAGTCGTGGTCGCTTCCCACCTTAACCTCCAGTGTTTATGTTACTTGATGAGTTGTTTGCGCGTGAAACTCTTCAAGTCAATTTTGCTGCGCAGGTAGGTGCATCCGACTCTCATTCTTTGCCGTAGCCCGTGGGCCCTTTGGCATGAAGGCGAGGAAAGAGGACGGCTTGTATTGAGAAAACAATGGGCAAACTTTCTTCAACACGGACACGCTTTGCACAATGTGGCCTTCCTTTTGGCAAAACAAAGAGGATCATTCTATTTTATGGTGCGCTTTTAAGATTGTAGCAAAATTAACAACCAACAGAGTGGTACGCGTAGAGGAAGGCAACTGTGCCTCTTATTATTTTAAAATTCCTTCTTCTCCTAATCTCAATCAAGAGGGTACCTGAATTACTGGAAGAGTTACGGCAGGATGCAACTAAACACACCCTCTGAACAACTCAGGTATTTGCTCATTTACAACGTGGCACATCGCCGCTAACCAGTCAGCGATTCAGTATGGAGAAACTTTGCAGTGCAGCATTAATTATTGCTGATTCGTGTATTTCGACGGTTGGTATGTCTTATCTTCGGTAGCGCAGCGGGGACTGCGTGAGTGCAGAGGGCTACAGCACACTTGGCACTTAGTCATATTAAATTAAGTAGTACTAAGGAATAGACTGTCTTGTTTTGCTCTCCATATACTATAATCGCTGCAGCGCAGAGTTTATTTCATCATACTCATAGGAACGCTGCTGGGCCCTGAGTGGCGATGCTTCAACTGGGTGCGAGTGCTTTAAGAGCTCCGGACGCTACGTTGAGCACCCTAGCGGGCCCCTGTCCTCTCACCCTAGAGCCTTGTGAGTTGAGAAACTCAAGAAGAAGAACGTTTGAGAAAGAGACAGGTACTAATTCCATTGTCGCTCTGGCATGTTCTCGAGGCTAAGTGTTTCTTAATAGAGGCTGTCGGGGTGAACATGAGTGTACGAAACCTGTGGCTTCGTGCTTGTGGCGGCGCATTTTGGCTGCTCCTTTAATTTATAATAGAACATTTTGGCTCGATGATGACGTAATTGTATGATGGTAGACGTGCAAGGAGAGCCTAGGCGAAAAGGCACAATCCACTTAACTGTCGTTTATGCCACTTTCTCTCATTAGCGTCTGCAAGGAATGGGGTGCAATTACTGACGGAGACCCCAAACCCGACAAAAAAGAGAACTTTTTTAGCTGAAAGGGAAGTGAGCTGACTTTTGTCATCCTGTGACTGGCTGGAGTTGCGTCAAGGGACTTTGCGACCGCATCGGATTTTCTCAAGCAGAACGCAGCACTCAACCTATGCATCTGACTGCTGATCATGCACTTCTTTTCTAGAAAGAGAAACAGCCAATCACATCATATAATCTGTTCGTTTAGGTCAGTAGCCGTAGTTATAAACTGGTTCCTCTCTTGTCCATCGGTGTCCAGTGGCCCTGGTGCGGCAGAGCCAGGCAACGCAAGGGGTTTTCAGAGAGAAATATGGGACTATGAACTACAACCCAACAAAATCGATTATTTTGTACCGTTTACAGGTCTTATTGTTTGAGCCCCTTATTCTTCGCAGCCTTCAGAAGACATTTTAAAGTCTTGGGGAGCCATCAGGCTTCGTTCGTCAGGAGCGTGAGGCCCCTAGGCACCGCTTCAGCTTCACAAGGAAGAAGAAGCAGCTGAAATAGCTACAGAAAAATCCTGTGACCTCGTGTATATACCTAGCAAGTTGCAGGCATATTCATGAGGGGCCCCTAAATATATCAGCAGGGACCTGGTAGAAGGACCGTTCGTTCCACATTAGGGAAACAGACGAGACCCTCGAATGAACTTCAAGGAATGGTGAATTCCCATGATTCACGCCAAGATTTCGTCATCACACACTTGGGCTCTTCCTTTGGCCCTTCCAGCCTCTAGGACTCGAGGGAACAGTTTGGGGTTCCCCCAGGATGGTCCCACCGCCTCCCACCGCTGGTCCTTCCCGGGTGACAGTTGCAATACTCAACAATGAGGACATATGTTCAGGTATCAGCAGTGAACTTGAGTCACTATACACCCCTCCCACCACCCCAGGCAGTGGAAGTTGCACGCCTTTTGCCTCGAGTCCCAGCAGCAGCAGAAGCAACGTCAACAGCGGTACAAGCAGTACAAAGAGGATTTCGCGGCTCCATCACATGGCGTTTTTTGCATTGGGCTCGGCCTGTGTTCTTCCTTGGGACTGTATAGTTGTAGAGATGAACGTGTTCCAGACACACTATGTACCCACATATCCATGGGTAGCAACGTCTACTGAAGTGAGATTCAAACTCCTTCATAGCTCTCTGCTATCATTTCATGAGTAGCACGTTAAATAGGCAAATCACTTTGGTTGTCGCCGGATAGCTGAATAGGGGGAAGAAACCAGCTCCTCTGGGCATCGCCGACAGTCACTCTCGCCCCATTAGATAAGGAAGCGGATAAGCAGCCCGACTCTGCCTGTTGCTGTCTGAACGGGTACTTTCCTGTGCCAAGTCTCCTCTGTTCTCTGAAACTGCAGTTCCATCCAAGTCTCACTCTTCCGTGCGTGTGTCACACACCCTCGGCCGCCTCTCTGTTTCTTCTTGTCGGTGCCTGCCTCGTTCTGCACACGTCCCTTAGGCGCATGCCCGCCTCCTCGCCTCTCAGATCTTTAAGTTAGTGGCCCCTTAAAAACATTTTGCTTTGACATTGTGTTTCCCTCTTGTCTGCAGGTGCGCACCCTGTGTGCGCTATTGGGGCATTTGCTCGTCTTTCTGCTCTCTCCCGGCATCAGCCTAGTGCCCATGACTGTGGGAGGCTGTTTGGCAGCAGCCGCAGCTTGCTGTTGCCTTGCCGTAGTTTCCCCTTTGGCCGCAGCTGCTCATTTAGGGGAATCACCCACTTCCATACCAGCAGAACGGTTTGTATTTAACTGCTGCTGCATTTTGGTTGGGGTACTCGGACTCTGTTGCTCCGCAATGCATGCAGGAGTATACGGGTTGCATGCAGTAATCAGACCCTCTCTGGCAACCTCATGGGCTCTTGGGGGCGCCCTAGCAGGGCCCTTTACTGCAATTTCTGCCCTGATACTTTTCGGGAGTTTAGGGGTAGACGTTCCAGCAACCTCAACCAGACTAATCTTTGGGACATGTGCTGCATGGCTTATTCTCTCCTGTTTCCTTCTTGCTGTGGCTTCGCGTTCACAAGAAGCAAAACGAGCTCTTCGTTTGCAGCGTCTACAGAGCATCCAACACTACCTGCAGCCTCCACAACAAAAACCAGCTGCTATGCTGTGGCTCGAGTCGCCAACGCCGGAAGCAACAGAGTGGCAGCAACAAGATCCACAGCTCATGCTACTGAAACAGACGGAAGATGTGTTTGATAGCTTGAAACGCCAGGAAGGACAATTTTACAAGGAAGCAGTGGCACTGCTGCAGGACGACGGACCAAACCGCAGCGATAGCGGCAACAACAGTGTACAAGAATTGGAGGTCTCTCTACAAGGGTCTCTTAACCTGGGCATCCATATAGGTCATCAATTTGACTTGTATGCAGCAGTGTCTCGGCAGTGCAGCAGCAGCTTGTTGTGCTGTTTCCTTCTGTGCCTCAGCACGTACGTGGTATACCCAATTAAGGTGCAACGCATGACCCCATGTGGCAGTACAAACCCCGCATTGTATCAGCTGCTGCTTGTGGCTGCCTACCATCTAGGAGTCATTGCTGGACGCTGCACTTACTGTTGCTGCTGCACCCTAAGCTTTAAGCTAGTTCCAGCTGTGCTGCTTCTTCGTCTTATGCTTCTGCCCCTGCTGTACTGGTTTGAGTCCCTGCCACGAACAGCAATTGTGCTACTGCGGATAGCTTCAACAGCATTCTCGTCTAATCTTAAGCTAAGTCACCAGCAGTGCTTGTTCATGCTGGATTTGTTCCGGTGGCTAGCTCTTTTCCTGTACGCCGCCCTGCATGGGCATCTGTCTGTGGTTGGGGCTGTTCGTGCAACGCTCACCCCGTCTACGTTGCCTGGCAGGGAAGCAGCAGCGTTTCTAATGAGTCTCAGTGAGACCCTTGGATTTGCTGCTGGGACAGCCCTCTCGTTCGCTGTTCCAACGACATCCATGCCACTAGAAGGGTGGACACAAGCGGCTGCCGCCACTGCGCCCCATCTAGCGTGAATAAACGTGGTTCCATATTTAACAGTAATTGCAGCAGCACGGGCGGCAGCAATTAAAGGCGAAGCATCAGCAATATGCGTTGCCCGGGGGCTTGTTTGTGGGCTTTCCTACACCATCTGGGCTGGCTCCCTCGAAGTGCTTTCTTTGTGAGCTGGCGCCACCCCTCTTCGCCAAACCTCTTTTGGGTTCTGCTGCCATTTCAACAGCTCTGGCGCAACCGTTTCAGCTTCAACAAGGAAAAATGCGTCGTAAAGGGAATGAGCCCTAAATTAGTTGCACGAGTGATAAATGCCTCGTAAGCTAGTGTCCCCTGACTCAAGGGGTCTGATCGTGTATATCCATTACTGTAGTCCCTAGTACCAGGTTCTTCTAGTACTCCGCTTCACCCCTTTCAAAAGGCTTGCTCTAGTGCAGAAAAGCTCTTTTTAAGGAGAAGGAGGTGGGGTTTCTCTCCGCGATAAGACGTAGTAGGGGAGAGCAGCGAAGGGCTCTAATTGGAATGTGGCTGTACATTCCTTTGCTGCACGCTTTCCAGTGGTATCTTTCCCCGTCTTCTGCTTGCTCCGCTTTAGGCACAGCATCAAGCTCCATTGGTTTTTTGCTTGTAGAGGATGTAGTCGTTCTGTGGTCACAAATATAAATGCAGGAAAGAGTGGGGCTTAGGGCTACGTACACAACTGCAGGGAGTGCAGATATAGCGGCACCAAGCATAGGAACATTATCACGAATATGATAATGCATAACTTTCCGAGCGGCACCTGATTTATTAGCAGCAACCACAGATGCGGCAATAGTAGCAGGGGCCACAATGACGGCAATTGGAGCAACGGCAAATGGCAATAGGTAACCTTTAGGCAAGGGCTTTCGAGAATCTCGCGTGCAGTCGGGCGGTCCTTCGGGTTTTTGTTCAGCATTTTGTCGCATATATCGCGAAGTTCGGCTGAGTACTTAGCGGGAATCTTCGGGGCCTGCATGCACTCAGACTAATTCGAAGTTAAAACAAATACGGGATCCGGCAAAGCCAAGAAAAGGGTCCAGAAGAATTGAGAAACCATAACAAAGTGCAGCTTCATTTACGCATACATGTAAGAAATGTAAGGTGTCCTTAATATCAGTAAAGAGTGGAGCAGATATCTTGTGGCCTTAAACTGAGATGCAGCTCGACACCAACAAACCCGCCTCTCTTACTTCTGACCCCCCACTGATCAATAATTCGGAAACATCAAATATTTTCACAAGCTTAATATTCATTGAATTTCAAGTCAGCTGCACAGGGAGCCGAAAACCATAAGCAAACATCACATAAGTCGTGAAAGAAGAGCTGAAGAAGTCACTACAACGAGACACCAATCTAAATTGGAGGCAAGAGGTATATACCGGAGCGTGGCATATGTTTCTGTTTAGCTCGGGGAAGCTTAGGCCCCTGAATGGTAGCTCAAAGGTCGCCGCTTCAAGCATGATGCAACCCAAGGCCCAAATGTCTGCTGCTGCTTGGTAAGGCTTTCCCTGCATACAAAAGTCACAGCTGTGGCAGCAGCAGAGCGAACTAAGCAGGGCCCAATTTCGATCCGATGAAAGCGACTATGGCCTCAATTTCGACCCCTTCATTTGTTGACTAGCAAGTGCGAAAGAAGGAAACCGCAGCAGCAGCTCCAGCCAATATACCATGCAAAGTTCAGGGGCCATGAATGCTGGCGTGCCACACTGGGTCTTTGCTTGCTGGAGAGTAAACTCGAGAATTTTGGACAGTCCCAAATCACCAACTCTGATGTAGTTGTTTTCGTCCAGGAAGACGTTTGCAGGCTTGAGATCTAAGGTATCGGCACACACTATTCTCACGTGCTAATCGTCACTGATGACTATTTTCACGCATTATGCTTTAAACTGAAACGGAGGACATTTAACCTTAGTACACGGTAGCGCGATGCGACGAGCTGCAGTGTCAGAGGGGTGAATGGATGCACGGACAAAAATTTACTCAAGGATGAGAATCAGAGGAAATTTTTGTGCTGCTCTAAGGCTGCGCGGGAGACTTAAAACCCGATGGGGAAGGGGGCACACCTCGGTGCAGGATTTTGTGTTTATGCATGTAGTCGAGGGCAATACACAGCTGGAGCAGCCAAGTCCTGAGTGTGACTTCACTGAAAGGCTTGTGCTGCCGCTTCCTCTCCCGTATAAACTTCCCCAGGTCTCCTCCTTAGAAATACACAAAGAAATCCCATCCTCCGTCAAAGGCCTAAACAATAAACCTTCCGGTCTCAACCCGCATGCTTGAGTTGTACTCTCTTCGCCGTAAAACCTTTGGCCTCATTTCAAACATAACCCATATACACCGCACGCTATAGTGGAGAAATGCAGAACTAACCTTCGCAGAAATCCATGACAATGCACAAATGCGGGCATCCGTGGTATGTGTCGTTAAACGCGTTTCTGTAGTGCACAATAAAAGGCGCATCTATTAACTTGGAAAGGACCTAAGCGTATGAGGAACACAGGCACAGGCACCCCAGGTACCCCATGTTCCTTGGCCGTGATCTCTATTTGGAGAGTCCAAGCCCTCATATGACCCAACGCAGAGGGAAATCTGCAGTAAGCGAATTTCACTCTACAATGAGAATGATTGTAAACTCGAAAAATAGTGGAAATGTAGGTTTTCATGTACCTCTCACAGAACAACGTAGTCATGCTCTCACTTGGATTTCGGTTTTCGCTTCTTCGATGTCTTCTCGTTTCATTTGCCTGGTGTTAATTAGCTTCATAATGAGTCTGAAAACAGGTAAGACTCAAGGCTGTATGCTCAGTAACCTGTGCTGGGTCTTACGATATGTTTTTTTGTAGCAAGCGGGAGACATGACTCCCGTTTGAGGTCACAGAGTGGACAGAAATACACGAAGAGACTGAAGGAATACGCAACGTCAATGAAATCACATACAAAGAAAACAGAAGAGGAAGAAGTGAATATTGACGAGCGAACGGCTAGGTACTAACATTCAACCAAGCCGTACTTGCGGCCTGTCTTTTCCTTTACAAGGACCGCCTTTCCAAAAGAGCCGCTGCCTACAACCGACAGGACCTCGTAATCCCCAATGGTCTCCATTTTTAACTATCCCAGGGCAAAACACAGTCTGGGCTGTCCGAATAGGGAAGAAGCAACTGGTTGGTGCAGTGGTTCATGGGAATGAACACGAGGAGGAACCTCTTGTGACCCCCACCTTATATGGGTGTTGGTGCTCGTAGTGCAACAAATCTGAGCACAGATCAAGCAGCTTAAAACAAATGAGAAGCCGAATACATTTGGCTTTAGGTGAAAGCTGCTTGCTGTAAGATCTCGCTAGCACTCGAGCGAAGTGATAGGAGCAGAATATGAACAAACGTTATGCCCAAGGGCCTGATATAAGTATTATACAAAAAAAGCGGATCTACTATAAAGGAACGCAGAGCCATTTTATGCAGAACTCTGTAAAACTGCTCCGGTTCACGTATGAAAAGAGCCTCTTCGGACGTGGGGAGCACGCGGAAAAAAAACAGAAAGAACAATGTCTTGTATCCTTTACACCTCAAGAGCGTAAGGATGAGTTACCTTGTGGTATAAGTCCTAAAGTTCATGCTTATTCTCCGCTGTTAGGCAACAAAAGGCGCTCGATAGAACCGCACAGAACAGAACAGCAATCTGCAAGATGTAGCTGGAAGCCGTCGGCAGCGCCTATCCTTTATAGTTGAAGCTCTTCTTTTCCAATAAACCAAGTATGCACCCACTCATTCAAGAGATATTAAATAGATTTCATGCTTACTTTACTGTATACTCGGCCTTTGAAGGAAAAGAACACTAGTTCCTAGTTCCGAGAGGGGCAACCAATGAGACCCAAACGGAGGCGGCAGACCAGGGGCCGCTTTCTTCTTCCTTCCACACCCTTGCATCTTCATAAAGGTCTCCCAAATTGCAGAGAAGGGTACATCGGCGTGACACTTCCCGCCGGACACTATGGTGGTACTCTCTTCCGCCGCTTCATGCCAAACTGAACATGGGCAGATCCCTCTCCTACGTAACTATTATCTGTTAGTGTGCAAAACTCTTCTCTGCTGAGTTCTTAGGGTTCCAGGTTGCGATAATTATGACCTTAGCAAAGCATCATTGCTTTGCTTCATAGTCATGAAATATGATGGGGAAGTGTCTAAAAACAAGGCCCTACCACAACAGGTCGCCGGTTACAAGCACTCCGCACAAAAAGGTAAGGAGCCCATAACGATGCGTGGATTCCTCTTCGTCTGATGTGCTCGAGTTATTCTCTTTTGGTGACAGTGCCCTTTTACTAGCTAAAGAAAAACTGACGCGCATTTGTGGGATGGAGTGTTAGATGCGCACATACTTCGGAATATAACGGCCTCATTTTGCCTCAACCTTCAATCTTCGTGATCGCCTAGTCAATGGAGGGAGTGGAAAGTACCAAACATTAAGAAATGAAAAGCACTAAGTGAAAATGATCCCATGTAAAGGGTTTCTTGACCCGCGAGGTTCCCTCATCTTGTACAAGATAAATGTGACCAAGTGCAACAGCATTGCACTTAAAGAAAGGGCACTGGAGACGTTCTATGGCTCATACGCGTTTCCAGCGCTTCTCTTACTATTCCCAGCCGTTTGCTGGGCTTGATTTGTGCAATTTAATCGGTTCCAGCGTCAGGCGCTCGGACCGGCGAAACAGCGGAGTAACAAGGGAGGCGATATCGGCATATATCATCGCATCTATGCAACACTCACTTAACACGCATCTACGACGCCAGTCTGCATCCTGCGCCATAATCCTTAACCCAAACGCCGTAGTCCGTTAATCCCAACCCGAAAGCCCCAAGTTCTGGCCCCAACTCACTGAACCTGAACATCTAGCTCCTAGTCAAAAAGCCCGCAACCCTACGGCGTGATCGCATGTCGCCTTTCGCGTAAGTAACCTGCCTTAACTGCTGAAGTTTGAGAAAAGGACATGAAAGTTACACGAGGAGAACGGCATTGATGCAGCCGTCCAGTTCCGGGTTGTTTGTCACTTGCGCATACTTCGCTGCAAACATCAGCAATGCACGCACTGGAATGCCGCATATAAGGCGCTCCCAACATTTCTTTGAGAGCTATAGCTCATATTTCGGTAGGAAACCTTGTTTTAAGTACCACGGGAGAAGACTCACCCCATACGACTTTTCCGGTTTGAGTAACGAGACCCAACTCGCTGACATTCACTTCAATGATCGTACCTGATGAGAATCCAAGAACAGGACATACACACGTCCCATGGCCGCGACGATCAGTACTTGAAAAGAACCCGAAAAGTGGTCCAACGGTAAGCCAACCGCCAGCTACATCCAACAGTCCCACCAAGCAGCCTGCTAAAGAAACCCCCCAACCATGCTGTGCAACTCGTCTCCCGATTCTACCTGGTCCTGGCTGGACCTCATTCCGTGCTTTCCCTCCCCCTCTCGCCATGTGCTTTCCCACCTTTCCCTCTGCTTGCCTGCCCACAGTTCCTTACCTTTGGTTATAACTCCCAAGGACGTATACAGCTGCGACTGTGGGTTCTTTTTCACACCCACAATGTCCAATTGAAACGTTGCCTTGAGCTCTGGATGAGTCACGTGGGCCTTTTTAAAGCGGAGGCCTGTCGGCCTAATGTAGCGCTCAAACTTTGGGGGCTTGCGGGTGAAGTCCTCTGGGACAAAGCACACCTTGTTCACCACCCTCTTCCACATTTTTTCTGAACAAAAGGAAGAAAGTTAGAGCCAGAGAAATGCAACAGAACTTGAAGATCCCTAAGAGGCATATAAATTAGAGCGAACGGAGCGTGAGGAAAACGCTGGTGCAAATAAACCACGAAAGGCGTAGACGGACGATGAGGGAATGGCCCAGGCCACAAGAGGAACAGTGAAAAGAGGCCAGAAAGCCGACAGGGGGAATCAGAAAAAAGCTCTTGCAACCTCTTTGGAGAAGAACATGATCCAAGGCACATAAAGAAGAAAGGAGGAATAAGGAGCGAAGGACGGGCAACAGAGGAGGGGACAATCTAGGTTGTAGTGTCGAACCAAGAAAGAGCTCAGTGAATTATCAAATTAGCATGAAAAGAGCAAATCTAAACAAGCATGTTTCTCACTCTTTCGTTTTCCGCTTCTCAGGACTTTGAACATCTCTTCTTCGGTCATAGCCTTAACCTTGGGTATCGGGACTTGCCATTTTCCTGCCTTCTCCTTCCTCTTCTGTTTGATCATGTTTGTTAGGACTTTGGTCCTCGAAACGCCTTCCCTGTCTAGGAGGTAAGAAGGTACTGCACCCTCTGGAACGGCCTCTGGCTCCTTTTGTTTTGCGTCCTTCTCTTCATGCTGCTTGATTGTTTTCTTCATCTGGGCCTTCTCCACGAACCTCTTTCTATTGAAGATCTTTGCCTTTATCCCCCGCAGCTTCCTGGCTGTCTGTGAGCGCTTATGAGGAAGGCGCGCTGCTTTCTTCCGCCTGGGATGCCACACAAAATGGAAAAGAACAATTTACTCTTTAGACCAACTGTATGCACCAGTCAGAGCAGATGAAAACGAGAAACCAGCAAAGGAGCTCAAACGCAGATAAGGAAACGGCAACAAGAAGGCAAAAGAACGAAGGAACGCAACAATATAGACTTTGAAGCTACATATGAAATCCATTAAGTGCTCTTCCTTACAGACAACAAGGCAAACGTATAAAAGGAAGCGAAAACAGCTGTACGGGATAGCAAGCAAGAGTGATGGGGGGACAAGAGGAGATAGATTCCACGGGCTTGAGCACATCTGATATTATTTGCAGAATCTATGAAACAATTTTACAGACTCAGGATACTCCATAGGTCAAATTGAAAGGAAAAAGCGCAAAGAAGCTAAATTTCTTCGTACTTTCTTTCCGCGGTGTCCCACCGCTCGCCGAAGCGTTTGCGGTGCTGTTCCATGTAATCATTCTGCGGCATTTTGAGCTCTGTACTGAAGAAAGGGGGAGACGCTAGATCGGAGCAAAGTGAAAAAAAGCGACAGAGTGATATACAAGGAAGAACGAATAAGACCACTGGTGTTTCTCCTCCCCTTCTCTGCCCTTGGTGCTCAGTGACACTTGTTCCTTGTGCGCGAAAGACCTTGGAAAACAAAATTAATATCAAAGGGTCGAAGAGGCCGGGATACACGGCCTCTTCCTCTTTTTCCTCTCGGCCTTTGCGGGGAGGCAAAAGCTTCTTGTTAGACGCACAGGAAAACTGCTTCAGCCTCCGCGCATCAAAATAATTCGTTTTCCAAAAATAGTTTGGTTCATTAAAAACAAGTTGATATTGGGCCAAAATACTGAGTTTTCCTGAATCAAAGTGTGTAAGCCCCACCCGTGGCCGCATGCACGTAAACATGCAAGCGCACATCGAACAAACTCGAGAACCGCAGGTCATACCCACTTTACTACAACGAGCACTAAAATTGGGTGGAATAGGGAAAGCGATATCAAAAAATGCTGTGGTTTTAGGAGCTCCTGGCTATTTACGCTTGTTCGGGCGCGCTACATGTCAAATGGCCCATTGATTCAGTTGTCCTCACCGAATAGGGTTGCTTTTAGTGTGCATCAAAAATAAGCACGCAATGCCATCGCAGTGTTCTGTCGTACGAAGCATCCCCCAAGAAGTTAGGAGATTGCTCTACGACGAAGCGAGATGGGTAGTATGCCCAGCACAGGCCAAGGGCACGAAAGAATATTTATTCTACCTGGGAATACCCCCTTTCACTCCCACTCTAGCTGTTTGCTAGTACTGTGATGAACCCACGTTATGTACGTCGAACTGCGGGGACAGAAATATCCTATCCGAAATCAAAATGAAAGCTTAAAATGATCCGCCTCTAAAATGCAGATTCTGTTCTGCTTTCCACGGCATTCACAGGGTAGCACACTAAACCCTGCAGTCCTCCGCGTGGTTCAGTTGCCTGTTGACCAGCCATCCCTATAGTCAAGGGCCTCTGCTCATCAAAACCCTTCTACGGACGGTTAGGAATCCAATATTGGCACTTCAAGCAGAAAGTCTCGCATTATTTCGTCACGAATATAATCAGGGGGACTCGGAGCTTGAGTCTATGCCGTTCGTGGCAGGCAGATCCACTTGAGACATAGCAACACACGCGAGGAAAATAACACTTCAAGCTCGGGCAGCCCCTTCGCCTCGCACAGTGCAAAAAAAATACATGTGCCTCTTGAAAAAGGCAGTTCTGAACTTGAGGAAAACCAATAAAATGATCATTAAACGGCAATTAAAAGAAAAGGACTAAACATCGGGGAACGAAGAGCACCGACACAGCGGTAAAAGCGGAAAGTTAACGGAGCAAACCTCAAACCCTGAAACGTAAACCCTGGACCCTACGGCGCCTCCCTCTGGTTATGGGATGCCACAAGTCAGGCTGGTATCGCCCCGGATCAAACGTTCCCAACTTTTCGGTTTGTTTTACGGTGAAAAGGGTACATCCCTCCTCCCACAGACCTGATCACCTGTGGAAATTCCTCTATGCGGAAAAAGCGGGCGACTCTCTTCGCTGTCTGCTGCTGTTCGGTCGCCCTCCTGATACCGACAAAAACAGCTAGTGAGAGGAAGGCCAAATGCACGGAAACGAAACGGAGACACGCACGGCGGCAGATACACTCAGGTGCTGCCCCTCGAAGGTTAGAGTAGCAGGAGGCCAGCAACCGAATACAACGGCCCCAAAGGAATAAGCGAACAGGTTCCGTACGCTGCTGTATCATGAAAAAGCAGCTGCTATGCCAGTGGTAGCAGTGGCAGCTGATGCCGCTGCTAATATCCCTCTTTCTGAAGAGTCAAGGTCCATCCAGCTGCAATGTCATCCACTCATCGCCGTCGTTCAGTATTCCTCCTTTTGCGGAAGCGTCAAGCAAGGCAGGAAAAAAGCCAGCATGGCACTTACTGAACAGGACAGAGCAGATCAGGACCAAGGGCTGCTGCTGCTGCTGCTGCTGCGATAACAGCTTCAGCAACGGCAGCAGCGCGAACCGTCCATCCCTTCGGTATGTCTGTATTGTTCCCCGTTTTAGGGGCCGTCCTTTGGTAAGACAAGAACTGGTCATGTACAACCCTCGATATGAAGAAAATAATGACCAAAATTTACTTGAAAGCATAGCATAGCACGCATGCAGAAGGCGGCACGCTGCGGAAAATGCAAGTGTTCATTTGTGACGGAAGTATGCCCCACCGGCAAGCAGCAGTGAACATACGCAAACGGCAAACTGCTGCAAAAACGTAATCAAACAACTTTACAGAGACCGCGAAAAGCCAAGAGCCATAAACCCCATCGCGAATGCATGTCCACAGCCCGCATCCGAGGGCTAAGGCACCAGGAACTAGACAAAACGCTTGAATCCAAGACCACCACGACTTAGTCGTCGAGTGCAATGTGCGTCAGGTTGACACAGAGGGGATTCGCGCATGCCATGGTGAAGGCCTTTTTCGGCTTCTCCTGCAATTCATTAAAACTCTCTTCGTCTGAAGGAAAAGCAAGCGAAGATAGAAAAACGGCAGCATAGCCTTGAGAGCACACGCAAAGCGGCCATTCTCGTGCTCTGGGAAGACCACCAGCAGCATCAGCTGATCGATCCATCGCCCCAGTCACCTAGCACGCATACATCCACCACTCGCTCCTTAAACGTTATGGCCTCTGTGCTTACCAGCATATAGGAAGACAAGGGTTCTATTGACATATGTCTGCGATTCCTGACTCTCCCCTGGCTTCACCATTCGAATCACCGGGAGATGATCGTCTTCGGACAGATCTCCGTACCATATGACGCACTGCTTATCATCGCCTAAAACCGGATCGTAGTCTCTGTGAACCCCACTGGCAATCTTCTCTGAAGCAAGCCACACCGAAAGAGGCCTCTAGCCTCCGAAGCGATGAAGAGAGGGGACGCAGGATCTAGATTTCTTGCTCTAATTTGTGGGAACCGTTATGTGCCTCTAATCCCAAACATGCTCTTTCCCCTTCCTGTCTGTATCCGTTGCTCTGCACATCCCCTTTCCCAATTATCTGCGTGTATGCCGAAGTCCTCACTGAGAATCTCAATCCTCGCTTCTGATGTCTGCCAAAATTCGCGCGCTCTGGGGTGCACGTAGTGCTCCCAAGCTCTACAAAGCGTTGCGATCTCCTCGGGGCTTCGTGGCTCGAAGGTCTCCTGGGAAGCATAACGATCTGTGAATGCGCTATCACCCTGAAGAAAGAGAAAAACCAACCACACACCAACGTTGTCAGTACGACGGGAATCGGCGAATCACCTTCGAGACAAGTGCAGCATCTGGACAAGACACTGACAGCTTAACAATGGAACAGTCGTCACATACTCCATTCCTTTATACGAAAAAAAGCACAAAGCAAGGAAATCAGCAGCCTTACTCTCAAGAGCATCAGAACGACCTACGAAAGGCCTTGCTATGTTCGCTGCTATGTGACCCTGCACTCTTATGTGCTTTGTACATTCTTAACTCCCCTCGCCACTCCCCTCTACCCTCTACGGTCGCTAACCCCTGATTAGTCGCATGCTCCCCTTCTCCCATCCCATGGCCATGTACTGGCCGCCACCAGTCAGAAACACTCTATGCCGCTCTAGGCACGTCGCTCGGCGCTGTCAGGGGTGTTTTAATGGCCCTCCAACATACGCCTGTGTACAGGGGCACTTATTCTGAGCTGGTATCCTTGAATGAAACACAAATGTGGATACAAGAAACTACGGAGCTCGCAGTCGCGCATTCAAGACGGATGCAGAAAATCGGTAGGGGGTTAGGCAATAGGCACATACGTCTGTAAAAGAACATGAAATTATATAAATGCATGTCATGCAATAAGCATACGGATAGGCCCTTGTCTGTCCGTAGTGCTTTTACCGATGGAGGCCGTACCTCCGAGTTGGAGTATGTGGAGCTCTCTGGCGCTTGCGAGGCTGATCTTTTCTTCCTTTTCTTATTTTCCTCCTCAGTGCTCCCGAAACCGAAGAGAGCAGCAAAGGGCGTGTTGCTGCAGACCCTACAGTTCCACATTTTCTTGTCTTTTTTCTGTGATTTGTCCGGTTTCTCTCTCGCCTCTCTCTCCCTGTCTGACGGTGGGGAACACCAGAGATACACCAGAGGGAGAGAGAAGGCCCTTTTTCTGCTTTCAAGGGGGAAAACGACCACAAGATGTTTAAAGTATAAAAAGAACAACCAGTCAAATTTCGACAACTGCAGCGGCTGCTTCAGCAACAGCAGCCCCAGCAGGCTGTTGCGCGCAAAACGGTGGCGGCAGCTACCGCTGCGGCGCGGACTGTTACTATTGGGAATGCTAAAACTAGACTTCAAGTTTACCTTATTTATTTGTTGCATTTTGTGTTTCACTTGAGTTGCAAAGTACGACAAAGGCTGAGTAATGCGTGCTTCCCCGACTGCAGCCCCTAGTTGTGTCTGCATACTGCAGCAACAGGTCAGGCAGTTAGCCTATCTGTCTTTGACTTTGCTTCACTCTTTAAACACCATATTTTACACTTCGTGCATCCCCGCTGTGCTTGAACTTTGCTGCTTCTGTGAATATGTGAGTCTAGTGTTGCTACAAAAGAAAATTTCAGCTCCCCAAACTGGGCAATGATCCACCCAAAAAGCAGGGGCCAGAGCCACACGTTGGCCCTGTCTTATACTCAAAATATACTTATTTATCAATTAATCGAAAGCTAAGCTTTCGCTCCTGCTGGTCGCCTATTCTATTCGTTTGCTGAGCAAACCTACCGTAATACTGCATTACAGAAACAACGCTGTGTTCTTGTGTGCTAGAAAAGAGCTAAGCTCGCTACACTGAGGTAGTTCTGCAATAACAGCAATATTTATGTAATAATTATAAATAGCTTACTAGGTTGATTGTACATTTATTTACTTGTTTGTACCATGATAGAGTGAGCCCGTTGCAACACGAAACGATATTGTAGTGGATGTAACGCTTCGTGTGGCGCTCCATGAAGCGCGACCAGCTGCACTCAAAATCTCTTAGCGGCATTAGTATTTTTGCCCAAAAAACCGTGGTTCATAAAATTCGAACTGCCTTCTCTCTTCGTATATCCCTATCATTGCAGAGTACTGCTAGCCCGGTGAAAATACTCAGTTGTGTATGCTTGTGGGGTACAGGCTTCGTGCTTCCACTTGCGAATAAGTGACGTGCTTAAAGGGCAAGGCTACGCCTACCTAAGCTATCTAACTTCCTACGTGTAGGCAACTAGGAGGGACGCGGCAGGGGAGGGTTGGAGTTCTATAGGATGGAGCGTTCCATCTAAGGTCTCCGTAGGCAGATACTTAACTTCAGATGTAACAAACCCATACTAAAATGTTGCTGATCGCCTTCTTTCATATTTCCTGCCCGTTGCTTCTCTCGTTTGTCACTGCAACTTACATGAGAGGAGGGACATAGCTACGGTGCAGCCCCACAAACTCCCTAAGCACTTGGAGCATTCATAGCCATTTACACATAGAACCTGGCGCACCAGCACAGAGCATTGGGTCTTCTTATGTCGAGATAACGGCACTATTCGGTAAATAAGACACACGAAAAGCCAAACCAATCATTCACTTCTCAATCAATTCTTAATCAATAATTGCCGGTGGCAAGAGTGCAAGTGTGACATTGTAGGCTACATCTCCCTCCCCCTTTCCTCCCTCCCATCCAAAACATACCACTCGTGTTCTGTGCATATACATTGAGACCATCGACGCGCAGGATAGCGGAAGAGTTCCCGCCCTACTTTCATTCCCAAGAAGACAGAAACCTGGCATCAGGTTGAAAAAGAAAAGCAGAGGTGTGCATCGGCGGGCAAAGTGAAATCGACGGGGGAGCAGATACACATACCTGCCAACGACGAATGAGGATCGAACCAAGACGGCTGAGGCTGCATGATAGCTCGTTGCCATAGGCGCAATTAATGTGTAGGCCTGATGCTACGAAACGGAAGAGAATAAAATGTGCCAAGGAAGTCTAAATGCAGTCGTTCACTACCGCCTCTGCAGCTCATAGAGCACTAAATACAGCGGCACGTGTGGCATAGTCAATTTCAAAGCCCCCAAATCGCAAAAGGAGTGTAAGTAAAGTGTATCTCGGAGTGCCTGCGCATCAATCTGAATGTTGGAAAAGCCTTAAGAATAATAAGGAATTCTTCAAGCGATAAACACAGCTTAAAGCAGCTGTTCCAGGCGGATCATGCGCTGAAAAATGACAATTAGCAAAGAACACGAGAAATTCAGTGTATAGCGTCTAGCAATGGGAGCCAAATAGAGTCGCGAATTCTCCCGCAGGCACGGAAGCCCGCAGTTTCTCCTCCGTCATCCATTGAGGTTGGCGTTTCCTACCCCACCTCACCACAAATTTAAATTCAGAAGGTTCTCGGCACTCACCAGGCCTACGCTCCAGCACTTCTGAGGTTTCCTGTACTTCCCCTTTCTCAACACGGGTCACTTGCCTGCGCCCTAATGTCCACCAATAAGTTGAGGACCCTTGCGTCTTTTCAATGAGATCAGCATTGATAGTTCTGGGGCACCGCAAAGTTTTAGGCCAACCTATCCAGTAGAAAGAACCATTTGATTATGAAAATATAGAAAGTGGTCCTAACCACTTGCTATCCTGACCGCAGGCTGCTTCGCCTAGCCATCTTCTGGTCTGCCTCATGAGGCCTTTCACCTTAACGGAACCGAATCTTTAGGCATGCATTACACAGCCGATTATGGCTTATCATAATCTCGCGCTTCCAACTCTCGAGCTTTGTACGTACACTCGCGATCACTAGGCAGCTGATATTGGATTTTTCCCCGCCGAAAGAGCGGCTGCTAAACCTGGACTACCTAGTAGAGGTCCGGATCGTACGGGGGATTAGTGTAGATCAGGGATGTGGGAGAGCGACGAGTACATTGGTGTACCGTTGCACCATAGAACCACTTACGCGAGTGAGAAACTTAAGCCAAACGCTCATCTTCTGTGAGCACATAGATGCAGATGTCCCAGGAGTGTTGTTTGTTCCCGTTATCTGCTCATCTGCCTTGGGGTGGTTTGCAGTGGTCAGGCTATTATCAAAGCATGAGAGGGCCAAAAAGGCACTTTGGAGAGCGGTAACGAACTTCGGAATCCTATCCGTAAGGATGCCTCTGGGGGATCCACGAATCTTTTAGACATGAACAACGAATAATGGAGCAGCTTTTCCAGGACGTGACCCAGCTGGAGCACCGAATGAATTCGACGATTTATTCAGAGACAGTTGACAACAGCGTGGATGCTATCCTGACTGTAGTGGGCTAAGCTACACTAAAATATTTTCAACGAGACTAGCAGTAAGCATTAGTTTGAAAAGTTGACTACTTGGCTTTTCTCTTCTTGTATCCTATTTACTGTAAAGTACTGTTAGCTAGACACATGACGACGCAGTGTGATGCGCCTATTTGCTAGATGCTATCCGACACAAGGAGGTGAAATGGTGTATGCTTGTAAGCTAGATGATCTGTACAGCTGGCTGTACATGGTTGGACTGCTTCCGCTGTGCAGAGACGCGCATCCTGGCTTACCGTCTTCCGTGACATAGGAAGCTGTTTGGGGGCGCGGCAGGGGAAGGCAGAGTTTGTACTAATTATGGAGTGAACTATCACCCCGCGACCTTAGATGGAGCGCTACAATGCTGCTTGACCTTTGACAGTCTAATAATACAGGATATTCACGCCTTGCAAAGGATCGGTCTCAAAAATTTGTGCCACATCTGCTGCTGTCACTCTGGGCAACGGACTGCATACTCCTCTCCCGCGGGACGCCTCCTAGGCCATCAAAGAAATGGTAAGAGCTTTTCCACTGATTTATGTTTCTCACTGGCGTGAACATACACGATCCTGTGCTCTGCGCAAAGCGACAGTGTGCAGCGAATTCGGTATGTACAAGCGACGGAGTCCCCGCTTCGTTTTGAGCCACAGCAGGCTATCCTCAATGTGATAATGCTTGACGTTATTTCCATTCCTGATTTCGGAAAAGTTGGATGCATGAGTATTAAAAGCATTATACTCAAATAAGTGTGATGGCCCGTGAATCGCCACAGAAAAGAGAGGCTGTGCTCCACAAAAGCGAATCACTGGGTCGTCGCGATCGCGCATCGGCAACCACTTTCGCGCTGGTTCCAACATCTTTAACTATAAAGTCGGCCTGAAGAAAGACACTAAAGACAGCACACAAATGTAGGACTAGCAAAGTTCCAAAATATCTTCGTAAGGCAGAAAAGGCCGAACGTCGACCTTGACAAGAAAATGACGCCCATATGAATAGTGCCGGCGCTGTTCGCGCCCCGCCACACCAGATGCAGTTGCTTTCCCTGCACTGGATACCTGTGCTTGGTTTCCGTGAACTAGTGGACAGAACACAAAACGACTGCGTGTTTCGGAGAACCTGTAGCCTGCTGGGAGAAAATGCCATCCGCCTCTGTCACTACCAGAGGTTGTTAGGAGAAACGGCAATTACAATTGGGTAGGTAACCCAGCAGACGTCTTTTTGTGGGTATCAGCCTCGTTCGTCGAGGACAGGTTGCGGTTCTCAAAGTAGAGCACTCGAAAGACAGCTGTCCATGCAAGCAGGACAATGAAATTTTGCTGGTGAGGTGCAAGTCCATATAACTCTGCAACATTTTTCTGGTCCGTGATGAAAAAGGCCACGATACAATTTCATTCGATTTTTGCCGGACGTGACTCAATTCGTACAGTTGAGATACGGTATCAGGTCGTACGAGTTCAAGGTCACGTCATTTGGTCTGTACAGAGCTTCAGGCACTTTACGAGCAATGATATAGGGTGCGTTTTCGTCCTATGTCCTCATAGAAGTAATTGTTAGCCTGTGCGACGTGCCATGGCGCGGGCTCAGTTTCTCACGCCCAGTGTTGGGCAAAGCGTTGAAATTCTTCGCGCATCGTACACAACCAAAGCTCACGTAGTGCGCTTGTGGTAACCCTACAAGTAAGCCTCTTGAGTACATTCAGAGGTGACAGCAGACGGAAGAAGCCTTAGCCTGTCGAAAATCAAGGCTTTGGAACTTGGCTGAGAGGGGTTCACAACACCCAAGTAAAGCAGCTCTTCGATAGAGCAAACTACTGTCGAATTTTAGTGGGGACGGCTTCCACCCATATGGCGAGGTTCCTGGTGGGTATATATATATATATATATATATATATATATATATATATATATATATATTGACTAAGTTGCATATAGCTGCCATGAATGCTTTAAGCACAGGCTTGTGCCCTTCACTAACTTGCATAGTCCCGACCTCACCACCCCACATAGTAGGCCGACGGATGCACAGCAGTATTCAGTTGGGGTAGCGCTTGAACGAAACAAAAACGCCTCTAGGCTCCATCAGCATCAAGACGTCTGCTTCTAAGCAGTGGCATAGAGTGTATGGACAAGAGCCAGTAGCTCTTAGGGAGGCTCTGCATTACACTACTTATTTTGACAAGTCTTCAAAACTCCGATGCGCACGGTAAGATGGCTCGACGTCTTCATAGAATGCAAAGAGCTACGTATCCACTTCAAACCTGGTGACAGGAAGAGGGTGGCGGATGCGTTTTCCTAGTGCGCTTCTTGTCAGTACACTTATCTGCAGAAAGAGGTCCATTCGAGAATGGGGCATACGTGATTTGTCCATTGCCAGTGAGGTAGCAGCTGAAAAGGAGAATGTTCCAAATTACACAGACCCTCAAGCTTTGCTGACCAAGTAGAGCTACATCTAGAAAATGTCATTGGTGGAGCATTATGGTAGCAGTGTCAGAATTTTGCAAATGCCCTGCAGCCAGCGCAACTTAACTGACTGCACACGGTGACGACGAAAACTCGAGTTACACAGCGCAAGTTGAAGCTACTCCACAGCCAATTTATTGTATTCTTCAAGTGGCCCTATCTCACTCGCAGTACCCCCAATATGTTGTCACTAGTATGGCACATAACAAGCACATGCCCTTCCTACAGCAGGGCACGTAGGTATCAAAAATATCCATTGTATAGAGGTGGTTCTTTTGGCCTGGCATGCACAGCTACGCTAAGAAACACGTGGGATCCGGCCACCGCTGCAGAGCAACCAAACGCGACTCCGTAAAGTCCGCTGGCTTTCTTCTATCTCTGCACAATGCCAACAGACGATGGGCGCAAGTGTCCCTGCACCGCGGCATTACTCCACACGGTGAAAGGAGATGACGTTATTCGTTCCTTGGATTCTAAGCGGCAAGATGGAGCCCTTTTTCCTGACCCGCACAAACGCAGCTGTCCTTGACACCGTGGATCTGCTGGAGGATGGTCTACTACTTCACCACGAGTTGCCAGTTGGGTCGGTTTAGAAAGTTTTCATGCAGCAGGCTCAAGAACAAGCACGCGCTTCCCAGTGCCTGGCACCTAGAGTGCGATCCAAACAAAGTACGTCCACCGAACACTCAAGTATATCCTGCGCACATGCATCCAAAGTGGCGATTTAGCGGCGGAATCTCTGCTTACCGTAGCACAGAAACCTTGTAACTGCGCAGTCCACAACTTCACAGGTATGACTCTCTTCGAGGTCGTGTAAGTGTAGAACCCCCGAGTGCTATGGTCGAAGGCAGTGTTGATAGCTCGAACCAAAAGGCGAAATTCCGTGATTTGAGCCTTTTAGCTAACTGATTAACAGTCCACTAGCGCGTCTACTGCAAACATTGTCATCGCAGAGGACCTACGTAGACAAGGAACGCAGCAACCCCATCGGTCGATGATCACGGGGAGCAGGAGAAACAAGGGCACTTTCATGGCATGCTGCAAAACTGTCAGTGTGTTGCTTCAATAGGGAAAAAATATGACGATTTCTAGCTGCATTCGGCCTGGAATGGTCTCTTTGATTCCGCGTAGGGCGTCCTGACTCACCACCTGCAGTGAAGAGTGATGCATGCCGGTTGCTTCAGCATGGAAAGCGTAATGTATTTCTACGCCTTCTGGAAGCTAATGAAATTGCATTTGGGTACTGCCTTCATCAAGTCGATGGCCCCTCAATTCAAATTCGTACGCTTACCCATTTTGCGAAGGCTACGGGCACGAGGTAATTACGGGAAATACTTTTGCAGTGCCTTTGTTCCAGCCTATTGTTGGCATTTCGTTAGGATTTTGTGCGAAGTGTTGCTTTGTTTATTTCACTGTTCGTGACGGTTCCATTCCTGTTTAACCGTGCAAGAGCTTCCAGCCAGAGTGCACTGGAATGTGCGTGCCCGCTTTTCCTGCATTTTATCTTGAAGTTGGGGATAAATGTATTGAAACAATATCACAGCTGGTCTCCCAGCGGCTGTCTTTGCAGTTCAAGGCGTGCTCTATACACCGATGCCTACAAAATCGAGACCTGCAGGTCTATATCCTACGAGTACCTTCAGCCTCTGGCGAAGGCTCGTGCAGATATGCAAGCTTCTACAGAAGCTGAAAAGGAATTTGCGGTCCTTAAATGACTGTTTGGAAAAATTGTTCCTTTACTTCGTAACAATTTAGTGCTATTCCCTCATAGGTAAGCCTACCAACGAAATTAAGTTTATCTTCTGGCAGGGTGAGAGAACATGCAAATAATAAAATCTGTTTTCCAGCTAGCTGCTTGAAAATGAAGCTAAGCCAGTGGCTTGAAAAAGATTTTTTCAGGGACAAGGCGATGATACCAAAGCTCCAACCGGACGCAAAACAAATGTACGCAGAAATAATCTTCATTGACGGAACAGTATTTACGTGCTAGTGTCACATAGAACTGCCTGTTTTCCTGACGCATTGAATTGTTTCGTGTAGATCCGAAGAAGGATGTATTTGTCAATTACTACCGCTACACTACGAAACGGGAAAAGAATTACTTTGAAGATAGGGTTTACTCGGGTTTTGAGGAAGATTGGGCGAAGTTCTCATTGTGTATGGGATCATTATTTGCTGGCACTGAACTCTCTTTGGAGACCTGTGTGTCCACATTGCTTTGAGGACGCTTGCGACAGCACTACAGTTCCTCAACTCACGCCATTTCAAGAGGACCCTGCCTTCAAGGACTAGAGCCTACGCAGGGAGGCAATAAAAATAACACCGGAGCCATATGGGCTTGGGCTACGCGTCCGTAAGGGGTGTAGTCGAGCGACGTAGGTCTTTTCGATGGGAATCGTGGCCTTAAAATCTGTCTACTAGTGCCTGTTTAGCGCTGCTTCTAATTCAGGCCTGCCTACATGGGGAAAAGACTCGCAGCAAGCTCCAGCTCCTGCAAGGCCTCAGGCTGTCCAGAGAGAGAATGTTGCTCCAGAAAGCCTCATCTTTGCTCTGTTTTGGGAAATCTGCAAGTCTATATTGTGCGGCAATAATTGTTTCCCGTTTTCTTGTGGGTGTTTGAGAGAATATGTACTTGCCAAATTGGGAACCATGGTACATCGCCAGATGCTAGACTGGTTAGCCAGAAGCGAGACATTGGACAGAGAATTGCAACTAGCCCAGCATACTAAGCCCTCAAAGATTGGCTTTGAAGGCTGCCAAGTTGGCGGGGCATGACTAAAAATTTTTATGGTGTTAAGGCGCACAACTGCCTATGTAACTGCACATCCATCCGGCTAATGCCCCTCACCACATGATGTGAAGTAGACATGAGTTGTGGGTATGCCCAAATTGTCTAACAAGGCTGAATTCGATTGTCGTTGGGAGCGAGTGCTTTTAAAGAGTCTGCGATTGGTGCTACCAAATTGCGTGCTATGCACTGATATTTTGGGTCATCACGCGAATAATAGTCCGACAACCTTTTACTCTTCAGGGTTCCTGATGTGCTCAATGGGTAGTTACTAAGAGGCTTCCTAGGACCGTTGTTCTTCCGCACCTGATGCCGGAACCCCTGCGTGGTGACAAAATTAAGGCATGGAGATATATTGAGAGGGAACCGAAGAGCTGTCTGAACCACTGTGGTATTTGTAGTTAGGGAGTGGTCTGCAGTAGCGCTACCATGGAAAAATATTTGGACTCCAGAGTGCAGCTGCATCTGCCCCTGCTGTCAGTCATCCCCACATACTGGGGACGATGTGGATTTGCAGCAAATGGAAAAGGCCCTATTGTGCTCAAGAGATAGAAGAGCTTTCCTCTAAGCCTTGATCGTGACTGGTGTTGCATCTCCTTGTGGAGAACTGATGGAGAGATATATAATCGTCGTTCATGCCATTGTGTTCAAGCTCTTCACTTTCGTCGAGAAATTACTGAAATGCAGTACTTCGATTGCGGAACTGTCAGGAATGAACGAAGCGCCGTCTGCTGGCTGTCAGAGGCCCTGAAGTTCGTTTGCCCATCATGTTTGATCCTGCAATTGTACACCGTCATAGTGTGTAGAGTAGAGTGGCTACTTGTGAAGAAGGATAAAGAAATGAAGGGAAGAGGACAGGTGGAGAGTGAAGGGACCACTGGTCTAAAGTGGGTGAAGGATAAAAAGGACACTCGAGTACCTCAGGCATCAGGGATTTGCAATTTTTGAGGCTATCTTTGTTTCCAGTGCTTCTCAGGTCGTTTGGTATATCTTAAAGATTATGTGGAAGTTTGTTCGCTCCGCGTCAGGCTAATTTTTTCTTATCGGTATCGGGAGGCGACCAGACTGCGGACAGAGGCAGGCCCCGCCTGGTTTTTCCAGTGGAGCAGCCATTCAGTGAGAAAAGAATAAGCATGCGGCTTGTGATCTTTTTGTTTAAGTAAATCGCTTTGAAATAAATAGAGCTATTCCTTCTTAGAGTCAAGCGGAACACAAACGGCAGTATCAGCAGTGGCCGACGCTGCTGCAGGTCCTGCTACCGCTGGCGAATGGGACATCCAACAATTACTGGCGTCGAAATTGCAGCTTCAGCCACATTACAACGATAATCACTACACGAAAATCATGAATGACCGAGCTTGATTTTGTTAGGTTCTTATGGAGGACCAACTGGTTAGAAGACAGGACTAAATACACCACGATACCATACGCCGATTGCACGGCCGAAGCCGACCTATGGCTGTATGCCCTTCACCGACAGCAGACCGCACTGATACCGGCTCCATGTTTATGTCGTGAAATTTCTTTTAATCAGGTAGGCAGGACGCTGTAGCTTCAAAAGGCCCTATGGCAATATGCCTTTCGGATGCTGGGGGACACCATCCCCCCACTGAATCTCGGCCTTCTGCTGCTTCTTATAGGCGTACTGCGCATGTACACAGACTTATGGATGCACATAGACAAGAAAATTGTGCTGACTCTTATCGATGGTCTCCCCGGCTCGTTGAAGCTGAAAACGTTCGTGTTCCGCCTGGGGCCTCGGACTATTGCGTTTCCCTGCCCTGTAAAAGGTTTTTCACTGTATTCAATGTTGTTCTGAACCTTTTCATTGCGAATGCTATCGCATATGTTGATGCTGGGTCTCCCGTGGGGTTCGCTGGCTTCAAGGGCCCACGGGATACTGGCTCAAGACCTCCCAATCTCTACTTTAGGCAACACACACACCCGGATTCATTTCAGGACGGTAAGAGAAAAATGGCTCTTGCGGACACTAGTGAGTATCCGCAACACAATCAGCAGAGTCAGCAGCAACAGCAGCAGACCCAACAGCAGAAAGTTACGGGCTCTCGACCAGGGCCACGCTCGGATTTCTTTGGAGCGCTGCTTTATATCATATGGGGGCTTTTCAATACCCTTAGTTCCTCCACCACCATTTTATCTTGCTTGGCAGCAGTAGCAAATTTTTCCTTTGCCGCGTTGCTGCTATGCAGCTTTTGGCGGCGCCCGCTGAAAGGACAAGCAAGAACATGGCTCAGTTCAGCTTACAATCCCGATCCTTCCTGCAGCTGCTGCTCCACCAATAGTGATAAAAACGTAGTTCTACCTATCGAACAAGGCACAGCTTGGAAAGTACAAAAGGCAGCAAAGATTGTCGGGAAGGCTTTTGCACGCTGTTGCCGAGGCCGCAGGCTACGCAACAACTCTCATGGCAGCACGTTGACTGCAACCCAGGAACAGTTGCGACGGGAGAAGCGTTGGCTGCCCTGGCTTGTGGATTTACAAGAACAGAAAACAACACTAGCTGCAGCAAAACCTGTCACAATAGCAGCACCCGAAGTGGTAGCTGAGTTTGCGGACAGTGTTTTACTTTGCCCAGAGAGCAACTGCGGGATGCAAGAAGAACCTACAACAGCGAAAGCAGCAGCAGCTGCAGCAGAGGAGTCCTCGTGGCTGGCATGGCCGGATGCAAGTTATGGAGCAGCTGTTTGCTTGTGCACTACCTGCGCCAGCATACCATCCGATGCAACAGCAGAAGCAGCTGCCCTTGACCACCTGCTTCAGTCATATGAACATTTGCCCCCACTGCTGCAGTGGGTGACTTACTTTGTTGTTGCCTGTGTGTGGGCAGCGGAAGTTTATGCTCTTGCTGCGCTTGAAGGCCCATTGCTGGGAGCCCCTCAAGGGCCAGCAGGTGTATCAGCTGGAGTGCTAAAGGACTACCACAACAGCAGTGGGTACGAGCCAGGAGCACTAGTGGCGCACTCAATGCTGATGTTGACAGAGATGCTGTTGGGGGTATCTCTGTTGGCTGCGCTGCTCTCAGAGGCGGTTTTTATTGTAGGCAGCAAGAAACAGCAGGAGAGAAGATGGTGGATTTATCTTTTGGTGATGCTGCTGTGTTGCTGGTTTGCTGTTGGCCTCTGTTGCTTTTACTGCACAAGCACAACTTCTAATAATGCAGCACTCAATGGGTCATCAGCAGCACAGCCAAGGGGTACAGCTGCCCTCGGCACTCCAGCAACAGGCACAAGCTTTGATGGTTTCGAGACCCAGCAACCTCAGCATCAACGCTTTGGGAGTTCGCCTTTGCTCCAAGCACGCAGTGGATTCGACGAAGGAACGGGAGAAAATAGAGAAAAAACAGAGGAATCAGTTACTTTTGGGAAAAGTGCCACGGCTCAGGAAGATGTACTGCCCCTCTCACGCACAACGCCAGGACACAAGCAGTACAGTCAGCTTCACTCACTACAAGCAGGAGATTGGCATCAACAAGAAAGGGAAATACCTTTCACACCGTTTTCACATCTGAAGAGCCTCCAGCCCATCACAAACTTGCAGTCAGATGTCAGCAATGAACATAGTTACAGCACAGTGAAAGGCATGTGGAAGGCTGCAGCACCAATAGCAGCTAAAGGAACTGATATGGAGGGTGCACCCCAAAGAAGGTTGAGTGCCTCTCTGTGGGACTCTGGTACTGCAACCCTCTACCTGAAGTCAGTCAATGAGTTTGACAATACTGGTGCGGAGAAAAATAGCCGCAGTACCAACACCTCCACGGGAGCCGCAGGTCTATTGCTTCGTGCCACTGCCGCTGTACATAAGGGGGTAACTGGAATTATCATTTTGTGCAATACAGTACTCAATTGGGTAGGAGACGCCCTAGGGGCCCTACTGCTGTGCAGTATCTTGGTGCCACCACTGTTGCTGCGCCTTACCGCTTTTTTCGTAACGCTGGATCTCGTCAGACACCAGGATGCACTGATACAAAGACGGGACTCTACCCAGAAGAATTCTGTCTACTGGCTGGTAAGGCATAATAATTTAGTCTTGATGTTCAAAAGTGGTAGAACCTACCTGGAGCCTCAAACACACGTGTCTCTATGTCAGTCACGTTCCCTCACGGCTTGAGTCTTGCCTCTTTGTGCCTGGCCTACTCTACTCCCCTATGCCTTGCCCTGAGCACGTGTTTATCTCAGTGTGTCCCTCTCGGCTTTCCTTTCTTATCGTCAGCTGATTTCGGATGTACTGTGTATATCGTGAGTATCTCTGGATGCTATCCGTCGGTTATACGTCTTCACATGTGCTAGTGTCTGGTTGCTTGTTTGCTGTGTTCTACCCGTCTCGTGGAAGTCATGCTCGTTGTAGCTTCCTCAACAACCCTCTGATACCACCTTGCCTGCGTGCATCTGTACAGGTGGTCTTCGTCTGCCTTTCCTCAGCTCAGATGTTGCCGCTCTTCATATGGGTAGAGCTGGCGCGGCATCAGGGCTGGAATCGTTGGCTACCAGAGCGAGGGATCGACCCATTGTTGTTACTCCACCTTTCCTCAAGCCTTGCACTCTACGTACACCTTCGGAAGGGCTGCTTCCGCCTAAGCAGGAAGGGTCTTATAAAGTCGATTGCCTCAGCTTACAGTACATTTGACTTAGTCAGCCCGTATGGGGTGCTAAACAGAAGAGATGCAGTAACTTAGGGTAGAGGTTTGGGAAGTCTGAACTCCCAGTAACGCCAACGTTTTATTCGTTTTGATATTCAGCTGAGACTGAACTGAGACTGAAAAAGCCGACATACAGATATGCTTATCATGACTGCCAACTCATGATTCAGTATACTCTATGAATCGCACCTTATTGCAGTGTGCTTATACCATGACTTACTACATCCGTATAACTAGACACATTAGGCGGCACTTAAGCAGCAAAATTATGTGCGTTGGAGTTGGCTTACGGGCATGGGCGTTCGGGCAGCTTGCTCGCAGATGTGCTTCGAAAGACAGCAAGAAGAATGGCTAGCCACCGGTAGCATGCTAGCGTGGTTGGCCCAGTCTAAGCTGGGCTAGCTGCGGGATGATGCATCCCTCAAAATGTTCCGCCCCACACTGGTCATAAAACTGATCTTTGCATACAGCCCTCTACAGTCAAAGGCCCTTGAATTGTGGCAGTCCGTTAGGGCCAGTTAAGTTGCGTCTCTTTGCATAAGAACGCATCTTGCCCTTGTTGCATGCAGACTTGCTCTTACAAAAACAAATATCCAGTGTGTCCGCAGCGCTCTACCTGTATTCATTTAGGACTCGGAAAACTTTATTGTACAGGTTCACAACGTTGTCTTCAAACAAATTTCACTGTTCTTGCTATTTTCATACAAGTTTTCGGCCTGAAAATGGGAAAGAGGGACCAGGACATTCTGGACGCTCTATAGCTTCCTCGGACTCTTGAACTCTGAATAGCTAAGCTCGAAACAAGCAAAGCTTTTGATTATATGGGCTCAAGTAAAAGCGTTATAGGAGAAGGCATACAACTGGCACCTTCTAAACACTAATTAATATACATCCACTTTGTATAACTGACTGGGGGGAGCGTTGCGCAGTACAGCATATGGCAAGACCAATGGCGCTCATTCTTTGCTCTCCTAGTTATCTAGACTTTGAAAGCTAGTGATATTTTTTCTCATATACATCATATTTGCGGTAATGTGGATTTAGCGCAATACTGTGTTACTCGATGTGTATCCCTGTGCGCTACGTGCAATGCGCAACTGGGTGGGAGTGCTTGGAGTGCGTAAAAAGAGATCAATACTTACTGTAGCTGGCACTCCCCACTCGTGACTGGTCTCAATACGATGAATGCAGGAAGACGGGGACGCTTTTTCGGAAGGACACCTGAGGACTTTCACGTTTTGTATTGTGCTTGAGGGCTAAGTGCCTCCCTGTGGAGACCCCAAGTGAAGCGCTACAGCACACGTGCAACGGGCGAAACAACACTGAAGGACTATATACTACACTCGTTATGCGTTAACATAAAGTAGGTGAGAGTTGACCATTTAGTTTGTCTCTTCGTGCATATTCTTGCAGAGTATTGTAAGATCGACACAAGACATAATGTTGCGTGCGTGTATGTTATATGCTGTGCGTTAATGGGTATCAAATGCTCAGAGTGCTAAGAAGCTGCAGCTACGCGCATTTAAGCTGTCCCTCTACCCCACGTATAGAACTGTGAGAGGTCACGGCAGAAGAAGGGGTGAGTCATTTTTGAAAGCACTCGGTATCTTTTTATGGAGCCGTAATTGATTCTGGAGTTGGTGGGTGTCTCCCTATGAACCCTGCCCATGCTGAGCGTTACAGTCAGTAGCACCGCGTGCTTCAAGGTAGTTGTTCTCCGCTGATCCAGTGGCTGTGTATGCGGCAGGATATAAGGTTTCCCTACAACAGTTCCCAAGGTGCGTTTGTGACAACGAGAGGGGTAAACACTCTTTGCCAAAAGAATTCTTTGGCCAGTAGGAGCTGACGGTGACAAAATGCCTAATGGGGCGGCCGAGGCCGGCCTCCAAGCCGATGCAAACGCAATGCCTCCGCACCTGCTGGAAGGTTTGCCAGTTTTAAAATTGTTCAATGGATATCGTTGAGGCTATGGCGACAAGAAAAGCATGACGGTTATGACGATGGTAAAGTAGTCAAAGATTTCCTCAGCCGGTTGGAGATGCTATCTGGCTCTAAAGCTCTCAGATAAAGAAAAACAAAAGTCCCTTGTAGTATGTATTGAAAGAAAACCATCCTGAAAGTGGCTCTATTCACTACGCCTCAAGCCATTATGCAAGTCCTGATCGCCGGTTTGTGCCGAGATATGGTCAATAGCAAGATTTAGGAGAACTGAGAAAGCTATAGTGACAACCTCTTGATAGAACGGTATAAGATAAAATATGAGATATTGGCTTGCAAAAGCCAGAACATATAGACTTCAAGGAGTTAATCATTGATCTACATCTGGTCTACGAAGTGTCACGTGATGTGGAAGCAAGCTGGGCAGCAACTCGGATATTATACACTGACTTTAGGGGCTTCTGCAAATGATGGACTGCTTGAGGTTTCACAAACGAATGACCACAGCACCTGGGTCTTTGGCCGAAAAGGAAGGACCAAGTGCGAAACCACCTTCAGCTCTAGGCCAGGGCCGTGCCATCCGGCCTTGGCCTAGAGCTGAAGGTGGACGAGAAAGCAAGCTAGCGGGAAGCTGCGCTCCAATGCAGCCCAAAAGAGCCACCTAACTACGGACCTGATCTATTCGGAAATATACGCTTATCATCCGGAACGTGCAAGCGCACGCAAAACGTCATCGAACCTGAGCAGCGGAACTGTGCCTAATGAAAGCGAGTTACTTCAAAAACACAAATGGCACATCACAGACACGAAAGCCACACATGCAAGCTGCGGCGAAGTGAACGAGGCTACAGAGGATAGAGCCGCAGTTCCGGACCTGCGAGTCAATTCTGCGCCCATAGGACCTCACGTCAATGGTTGAGAATTGGAAGCCTTCCTTGGCACTTGATGGGAAATAAATCTGCAATCAAGAAAGTGTCACGGAAGTGCAGTGTGCCTTTTCACTCAAAAGCGCAGCGCAGGAAGAGAAGACAGTTTTGAGCGTGCGTTTCGATGAACAGCTCTGCAATTGATTCTTCGCTAGGGCATCCAATCCACCGTTTAGCACAATTCACAAGACTCAGGTTTGATGATAGGTGGCATAACGCAAGGCTTGGCAGGGCTTTGGCAGTTGAATGCCACTTTAAATCTGGAATTCAGTCATATATACGTGCTCTCGCTTCACTCTTGGACCCGTACATCCCGACGCAGTCCTAGTTGTGCCATTGGTAACCTACTGGAAGGAATGCCTGCGGCCACATTTGCATGCTGTGGAGTTTAGCGTCCCGGAGGGCGCTAGGAAGAAGCAGCGCCTACACATTTTAGGAAAGCTTAGTTATTCGTGGTGAGCAGGGAAGTGTCAGTGCCTCAACAAGGAGAGGCAAATTGTGCGTGCGGGTGGCTCAGTAACCTAGTAGGAGAAGACGGTTCTGAGTCTGCATTCCTTCTTAGTGGCTGTGCAACGGCTCTTCAAAAGCAAATTTGATTGAACGTCTAGCTGAAGATCTTTAGGAATGGACAAATATGAAAGGAGAATTCACGGGTGTGCAATAATGACAAGCTGTCAGCATGCTTGCCAACTGCTAGTCATTTAGCACACCGTACGAGCTAATCTACGGGTCAGCCCCAAGCAGTGTTGTGCGGTATTCGAAGCACTAGAATACGGATGGGAGACTGAGGAGCAGGCGAATGATTTGTTGGAAACGATGAGTGAAGAAATCTATCAGCGCCTTGGGTGGAATACCGGTGGGTGGCGACAGCAGAAGGAAGGTGGCATATGTGCTTAAACATTGAGCCCCTGAGCTAGATCACTAAAACACCGAAATCTCCAATCCCTTTTCTTGGTCTAGCAGTTTTTCAAATCAACATTTGACTCGACGTTTGACTTTACAGACATTGTCTTATAGATCCCCATTCACCCTGATGGGAAGCAGAAAACGGCATTCCATATTTGCTCTCACGTATCCGAGTATTCCTACATGCAATTACCCCGGATCGATTGCCAACAGCAAGTTGATAAGGATTTATATGCATTTAAGGAGGGCTGGGTGGCTGTAGGTGGACGACGCATTTCTGTTCAACCGAAGCATTAAGACTACATACATTACCTACATTGCGTGCTCCAGCAGTTACGACACAAGCAAGGCTATGTGAAGGCACGCAAGTGTTATATATTTATGAAAACAATTGTCGTTTTGCAGTTCCGTGTGGCCGCAGAAACTGAGCCACATTGAACAAAACATAATGCATTCGAGACGTGATGTTTACCATTGAAGATCGACTAGGAAGGTGAGAGAGAAGCTCTTTGATGTTGCATTTTATTAGAGGTTTCAGTCCTCGATTTTCTGAAATTGTTGCCCACTTCAAATCTCTCCTTAGGAGAAGGCAGTGTGTTGCCTGGACCCACGAGGTTGATGCCACAGGAAGTAGCCGTTGCGGGGGTCCTACAAATCCTCCGGTACTTTCGCTGCACGAGTATACGGTGTAGGCGTTTGATGTAACTCAGGTGACAGTAAATGCGATTCTCTCCTAGCAGACAACGGGTTTCCCAAAGCACCGAAATAGTGCTTGTTGCCCTTATCGCTTTAGGAAAATCGAGCAGCGGCATCCAATGCAGGGAAATGCGGTGCCGACGAACTTTTGGGGACGGCCCAGCGATTCACTGATGTGCAACACAGCCCTTCTAGCCTGTGTGAAAAGCAATTTATACCAAACGTGCGTGAGTTTTATGCTGTTGACACCTGCTCATCCGCTATTTTCGCCAAAAATACTAAATGGTAGCAACATAAAGCATTTCCGCTTCAACGACGGCCTGCTGTGCTTCAAAACACAGACCTGTACATCCTGACTTTGTTTCATTGTGCCGTTTTACCTAAAGCGCAGCATTTTGAAGGGGGGCCATTGTGGGGTCCACACTACAGGGCTATAACTCCCATGGTTCTTGCGCTGGCGAGGGATGAGCCCAGCGGAGTGGTAGTATGCACTTGCATGCTCAGATTGTCGGAAAGTGAAGCCTGGGGCAAAGCTCCGCCCTCTTCAAAGCCTTCTAGTTCCTCAAAAAAATTTGGTCGCTTTGAATATGGACTGGATTGTTCGACTGCCTGTGCCCATTTCATTCCTTGCTCCAGCTTTCAACTCGCATTCGGATGCCCCAGGAACATCTCCACGGCGAAAAATCCAAAGCTCGTTGATGCGTCTTGGCGTTCACTGATGACTCCCCACACATTGATGAAAATATACGACCACTGCAAATTGCCCTGCGGCAGAAGGTCAAACCAAGCCCACCAGCTGCAGTCTTCTATATTATCTGCAACTGTAGCCCCCGAAAAAAATCAGCTGCCTAATTTACTTTTATTCCTTGTGTTGAAGGCTTTACCGATATAACAGTACTCTCATGTAATCATTTCTCTCTCACCTCTTTGGTCTGCGCTAAATGGCCCCTCTTCGATTCGGGCGTGGACGCGGGAGTCCAATATCGGCAGCCATTCTTAGCAGCGAGGTGATTCGGAAAATAGCTAGCTAGTGCACGTGAATATATATGCGAAGCACAAGAGGGACAGGCACGCTATCATGATAAGCAGCGGTCAGCTTTGTATTTCGACCCTGAAGCTTCGGTCGTGGTAGATCGACGACTTTTCTGCGGTGCACTAAAAGACGATCAGGCAACGACGTGTGGCCAAGTGACCAGGACCACTTGCCACCCCTCGTCAGCCACTGCTCTCTCTTATTCCGTAGAAACGCTAATAATAGTGAATGCCACCAAAGTATTAATATTGGCGTCTTTCAGAAGTTTGGAAACTCCCAAAAATAATCTGGTCGGGCTTCGGCGAGCAGATAGTGACCAGTTTGAAGGCGAAGCATTTAGAGAGAGCCATAGAAATGCTAAATTTTATGAGTACTAAGCGCCGAGGGCAACCCAGGTGGGTCCTTCAAATGAGATAGAGTGAAAGCCCTCAGCCTCAGTGGTTGACGCTGGAGAAGTTGAGGGCATCCTTGCCTGCGAGGGGATTCGCTGCTCTGTTCGGTTAGCAACATCAATCGCCGACGACACTATCCCTCTTGTCCCTATACATTTGTCCTTTCTCAGTGTATGCTCTGCCCACCTCGTTGTTTGCTCTGCCCAAAATAGCTACCTTCCCTTATAGGCTTTGCTTGAAATGTTGGCTAGTACTGCCGAGGCCTGGTCTACACTCAAATCTATGCACAGTCACCTTTTTAATGCTTGTTCCTACACTCTATCGTGTGCCTTCTCTGGGGTTTATTAGTCAACTATGCAGCATGAACCAACTGTTTAGGTGCTGACAAAGCTCAACAAGGTACGAATGCACTGCTGCCCACGTGCGATTTTTGATTCCCTCGCCACACTTCCCCTGTAGTCTATTTTTTGGGAGGCTTGCACATTTCAACGCTCGAGCACAGTGATTCGTCACGGTGCCTTGGTCCTGTTGGTTTGGCCCCTAGTTCGTTTTGGGCCAGGGTAACTGACACCTGTGTTTTCCCAGTTGCAGTGATACCGCGAATCTAGCTCTCTCGGATGTGGCGTTTGGACGAGAATTATTCCGTTGTCTTGCACGCCGTCGGCCTCAGCTAACAGGTACGGAACGCGAGGGCGCATATGTTGGGATAAAGGGGTACGGGGGCAGAAAGTTGTACCGGACTTAGCCACACATCAACACTGTCTGCTACATTTTACATTGTTGGGAATTGTCAGGAACTTACGACTCGATTTGTTACTTTTCCACATAATATTCGTTTCAGTATACTGTAGGCTCAATATAAGAAGGCACAACGGTTGGTGTATGCCCAAGAGATGCTGTGGGGAAGTGGGTATGATGCTCTGAGTGCCCCGGAACAGCCACGCGTACCCTAGCTGTGCCTCTGCCCTCATATAGGAAATCATGAGGGGTGTGGAGAGAGTAAAGGTGGAGTGATTGTGAAAAGCAAACGTTAACTTTTGTTGTTTATCTAAAATCGATTTGAGTGCCCCTGCGGAGACCTTTGGGTGGAGCGCTATAACAAGGGCGCAACATGGATAGTAACATTCCGAAGCTAACTCAAGCTTGTGGCAACTTGAAGATAAGAAGTACAGAAGCGTGCATTCAAGACTTCACTGAAAGCTGATATATTTATGGTGTAGTGGAATGCACTCGGTGTAACGTGGTCCTCCATAAGTGCACATATCCTGGAGCCCACCGCTGTAGCCCGGTGGGTGAAACATGGATTCCTTTAATCTTAACAAAGTTGTGTAACCTAAGAATACATTTTTGGGCCTAGCCCGTTCGTTGCTTTGCACTGGAAGCTCCTCTTGTCTTCATGGCCTGTGTGTGTTCGGTCAAGAGGATCTATGGAGCACACTGTAACGCTTGTTGCCGATTCAGATTGTTGTGGGGCGTCCAACTTGAGTCATATACAATCTTACTGTATGCTAACGGCAAAACGTAATTCAAAACAGGCACGCGAGATGGAGAAGCGCAGAGGACGTTTCGTGTCTCGAATGCCTCTGATGGAGTAGCCACTGGTAGGAATTCGGTTTGCTCTTTTCTAGGGTTTTTCGCATAATATTAGCTACTTTCTATGGAAGTTTAGTGGGTATCTTTTTTCTATGAAATTCAAAAATTGGGCAAATGTCTTGTAGAGCTGCTTTTGGTAAGTAGGAAGCGGCTGCTGGCCTGTGCTTGTTTCTTGTTTTGAATCGACTTCTCCCTCCTCCTGCCCCATTTTCTCTTCTTCGCTCTCTGCACAAGTGCAATTCCACTTTGTTACGGGGAAATCCAAGCAAATGGACTTCACCTACATCCCTACAGGACTGTTTTGTATATAGCAGCTGGTGCTGCACTATGCGGGGCCGGCGTGGTTTTGCCACCACATGTGCGGTCTTTCCTTCTACGCATCCTCAGATTCCTTTTATCTTGCTAGCACCTTTCATCTGATTCTGGAATACTATAGCTGTTTGCAAAACGCGGCACTCCGCAGGAACCTTGTTTCTGTCGTGCTAGTGCCACTGCTTTGGCTAGTCGGCAGTCTCCCAGCGGTGAACTGCTCCTTTGGAGGCATCCGCAGCCCTTACGCTTTTTTTTCCTTTTATAGCTCTCATATAATCGGAGGAGAGCACAGAGGCCACGTAGGTGTCGGTGTATTGTCACTAGGCGCGGGGGTTGGCTGCTAGGATTCAAAGAAGAGGGACTACAGTGTAAGGCTCGGCCTAGAGGGACTATGCTCAAGGGGCGGAAAGAAAGCTTCTGTTAATGTGTGGAAAGGTCCATAAACATGAAACCGCATGACAATGAAGGAGGAGATCCACGATGTCATCAGCACCAGCAACGCTTCAGCAGCGGCGGCTGCTGCTGGACTATCACAACTTACAGTTGATGACGCAGACGCGAGCAGAAACATCTACGCTGGGGCCACCGACAGCGCAGAACTAGAGTCTTTTTCTCAGAAAGAGGACAAGTTACACCCAGCAGCGCAAGATGAAGCATCGGAGTCCTCTGCTAGGGGCAGAGGACATACAGCTGTTGTTACTGCTGGAGAACCTACGGAAGTGTTAAGGGTTGGCAATCTTAGGGGTGGTGGCGCCATGCTTGACAAGGCTGCAGCGGCAGAAGCAGCCAAAGGAGCAGCCGCTGCTGCAGCGCAGGCAGTTTCTGCAGCGGAGAGTGCTGCAGTAGCAGCCTGGGGCAGCACCGACATCAGTAGCCGTAACACCAACAGCAGTGCCAGTGGTGGATCCCCAGTGGACATTCGATCTCTTCTATTTCCATCGTGGAGCGAGAGTGTCGCTCCCCCTATGGAGACTCAAGGCACTCAGCTTTTTATAGAAAACGACGGCAGCATCCGACGTAAGCCGGCATGCAGCGTATGCCGTTATACGGCCCACAAGTGCAGCACAATGACTGTATAGATACCTATGCTCATTCATCTACGCTGCTGAACTACCGCGCGGATCTACGGGGGCACTTTACGGACAGGATTTATGCAGCAATGTTCATGAAGTGTGACTAATAGTTCTCTTCTCGTGGAGCTCGCAGTAACAGTCATACTGAAGCATTATTACTAAGACTCTGCTACCGCGTCTTAAGTAGCTGCTTTTCCAAAATCTTGATTGTCGTGCATGTGATGCTGCAGTGAATGTTCATCCCAGTGGTTCACGAACCAGGCGCGGTAGAGGCAGGGGCCAGCGCGTGTTGTCTCCTGACACGGAAGATTTCCTAGATGATGACGATTTTTACGCCTTTCCACAACAGCGCCAAAAAGTGGAAAACTTACCTGAGACGCGCCTCGGTGCAGCTAGAGGCAGCAATGCAGCTGCTACCGTTGCCATGGAGGAGTTGCTTCTGCTTGAGAGACTCAGAGCAGCAGGTGTAGATCCCTCACTGAGGTCACACCTTGAAGAAGCCCTGCAGCAGCAAGTACACCAAATTGGCTCATCAGCGGGGGGGGAAGCCTTTGTTGGTAAGTCGCAGTCGCTGTTCTGGCAGCGGTTCCTGAAAATGCAGACACCTGCACAGAACAGGCCCAGGCCTGCATTCTACCGTGGCAGCATACCTGCCGCATGCACATGGTGTTCCGGAAGTGTTCTACGGATGCAAATAGTGCTACAACCTTGGCAATGCGGTTCCAAATCGATTTTGCGCTTTTTTTGCAGAGACCACTGATAGCCAAACGTCCTCAGGCCTAAGTACTGACTCCGGGTTTCAAGGGTGCGTTTATCCGAGCTTATTTTTACTGGTGTTGGATTTCCTCTCCTTGACACTGTTTAGTCTCTGGTTAGCTGTTGCTGCTTTCTTGTCGGGTTGCGCTCCAATTGATGCTGATGCGGTTAGGTTTCTGCAGGTATTTGCTGGCGTTCGCGGTTGGCTTTGGGGGTATATTAGTACTTTCAATCGTCGTTTGCTGCCTGCGAGCAGCTTATGTCAAACACATGGTAAGCCTTTCTGTCGACGACTCTTACTGTCTAGATCGTTCATTAACAGCTAGCCTCTCAAGCTAGCTGCTTGTCCTGGTAGATAGGAATTAGCCCGTCGAGTATGCTCCAGGGCTGACGACGCAGCGCTGCGGCGACGTCACCAGTGTGCTTCTTCCAGTGGTTTTGTGTGCTTTTTGTAGAAGAAGAAGCTGGAAGCACAGTTAGCGGCTTTGCAGGGAATCCCAGGGGATGAAGCAGCAGCGGCCGAAGCACAGATGCAGCAGGAGGAGGGATGGATAGATGTGTCCGTTGAAAAGCAAACGCCACAAGCAAGCGAGCAGATTGTACGCAGGTTATCGACATGCGTATGCTGTTTACTACCGTTGTTGGCCGCTGATGCTAGCCCATGTACTGTTTGCGGTTGCTACAACCACTACTGCTGTTGGTTGGTAGTGCTGCGATGCATTATTTCTCACAAATATCAGCTTTTTCGGTGTATTGTTGTAGGGTCTCGTATTTACTTGTTCGGCCTTGTGCATTTGTTTGAGAGTACGCTATTTTCAACCCATTTATTCCTATTTGCTCTTTTGATGGCGCATATGTGCAGCAAAGTCTCGCTAAGGGGGCAACAAAGATGTTTGCCACTCCGACAGGGGAACATCAGCGGGAAAAAAAGAAAGGGGGAGAGGAGGAAAAAGTGAAGGGTATGAAAGGGACGGAGAAGGATAAAGACAAGAAAGAGAAAGGCGAAAAGCATGACAAGGGAAAGAAAGATAAGGATAAGCATAAGAAGGACAAGAAGAAGGAGAAAAAAGAGGGAAAAAAGCCTGATATTCCCCCAGGGAGCAGCAGTGAGAACCCAGAAGACGAAAAGAAGTTATCACGAAAGAAGAAACAACACAACAAAGAGAAAGAACTCATGCGGGTTTTATCATCCAGGCGCACTCTTAAACTGCCATAGATGCCCTTATAATCAGTTCAGATGGCTAACAGCTTGGCTGTCAGCTCGCCAGCACTACGTGCTGTAAGGTGTGGTAGCTAATGAGGCAACCTACTGGCCATTTTGCTGGCTAGTTTGTTATCTAATGTTTAATTAGGCATACTTGATATGCTCGTGAGGAAAGTGGGAAGACGGTAAGGGATGGAACGTTGCATGATGACTTTAGTGCAGGACCAAAAAGCGCTGTAGGGTGGGATTTGCAGATGTAATTACGCTGTTCCTTCGCTGTTTTTGAATCGCACCCCTCCTGCCTTCGTAATTCCCCTTACCAGCTAGCTATCTTCGTAGTTGTACGTATTTGCCGAGTTCATTGATGCCTACCAGGCTAATTAGTCCTCGATTCTCTTTGTGCATCTGTATCTCCCATGCGACGATATAGCCCGGGGCATCGTCACAGCCAAATCCTCCCCTTAGCGGTGCATGTACCGTACAATACAGGACCAAAGCCGTTTCCAGGTCCTGATGAAGAATTTTATGCATCTGGTGATCGGTGCCTATTTGTGTAGTGTTTGTGAGTTAAAGTTGTATTCTTGTCTCGATGCCGCCCCAGTAAAGTTGAGTGTCTTTCAGGAGCGAGTTTCTGCTGGCCGTTACCGGTTTTTCAGACTCTTGCAAAACTGCCGAAGCTTTTCTTCCGTTGTAGCTTCTTCAAGTTGCTGTCTGTATTGGTGACACCTTTTCACTCCAAGCCAGAACCGCTCGTCTTCCTGGTCTGCGTACTGCCAGCTATCTAGCCGGCTCGTGCCTGCCGTAGCAACTTGCTAGAGAGGCATTGTGGACAATTAGCCCACGTGGACACAGCTTAATCCGATTACACTTATAAACGGATAGTGACTCGAGGCTGCCGCCGATGTGAAGGCAGCTGCATCACTGCCACATGAAGTGCACCGAGGGAAGTAGCTCTGGTAACAGCTGCACACATGACTATTTGGTTCGGCAGAGGCAACTACCCTGTCTATGGTTACACCGAGCTACCTTAATGAAAGCTGATCATCACAGCGTCTGCGGTGTATACAAACCTGCTCCCGTTTTTACTGCACCCCACTGACTCAACAGCTGCAGCACGACGTAGGAAAGCAGGAGCAGCAACAGGGCAAGGTTACATCGATTCAGAAGCCATTTTTGTTTGGCGCTCTGCTAAGATTCCGCTGTTTGAAACCCCTTGTACTGGGGTATTGCAGAAGAGACCGTCGCAGCCGCAAGTCCTGCTACGGCATATATCACCTGCGGACGTGCACGAAGAGCCTCAAGGCTTCTATTCTAAGCCTTTAGCTAGCCACAACAACAGCAACAGTAGAATCCATACACTGTGCTGTTGATGCGCATTTGCTGCTGCAAAGCTTGTCTGAACGGGTTGCTGTTGCAGTATCCGCAGCAGTTGCTGACCATTCTGCCGCTTCCCCCAACGCGACAAACTCTGTTCAATCCAGGAAAGTAACCCATTTCCGTTGCACCTAGAGCTGCTGCTGTAGTCATAACAGAAAGGTCACATGTCGACATACAATGGGTGGGGGAAGCTGAGGGGTACAGCAAGTTCCCCTGCAAGGCGGCCAGCCGCAACTCAGCCAGCCGCCGGTGCAGCTGCTACTTCTTTCTCTCACTGCTGCTTTTCGTGCTGCTGTGATTGCTTCTGCCTGGTATGCTGCGCAGATCAGCGAAGCAGCCATTGAATTCCGTAGTCAGCGTTATCAACAAAAATGGCAGCCGCAACAGCAACAACAACACATGCTGCTCCTGCTGCAGCTGGACTGGCTCCTGTTTCCGGCAAAACAGCAGTAACATATGCTGCTCCTGCTGCTGTACCACCTCGCACGATCGCCACCTAACTGTTGCTGCAGCTATCAGCTGCCCATCAACAGTGATCCAGCTGCAGCAGCTAGCTGCATTGGGGCAGGTTCCTGTTGTGGTGAGGCAGAAGGATTAGTTGCTGCTCCGGCCGCGTCCGCTGGAGCCTCAGAAGTAGAGAATCCGCTGTCGCACTTGCTTTGCTGTTGCAGCTCACTGGAAGGATCATTAAAAACAGCTGCTGCTGGTGGCAGCGATGACGTCGCTGCAGTCACCTCGCTGTCAAGCCCTAGAGGTAGCTGGCCGCTGATATTGCATCCAGGTTGCTGCTGCGGCTGCTGCAGCAACTGTTGTTGATGCAACAACTTCTGACGCTCTAACAGCTCCTGCTGCTGCTGAATCTTCTGCTGCAGCAGCTGTTGTTGCTGGAGTAGTTGACTTTCCTCCTGGCTTATGGCAGGAGGACTGGGTGGCGCTGCCCCGACTGACCGCATACCGGGAAGACACTGCGGCAGCTGCTGCTGCTGCAGGGGCATACAGCTCATCTGTTGCAATTCCTCTGCGGGGATTCCCGCAATGCTGCAGCCAGAAAAACACAGCATTAAGCCTCGATGAAAACAGCGAGTGAGCCAGCAAGAACGACAAACGGCACACACACAGCAGGCTATAGCACACTTGTTGAAATGGCAAAGGTCTGGGAGTGACGGCGGCATTTACAGCTGCAACAACAGCCCGTGCAGCAGCGCCTTACGTGGAAACATATGCCCAGGATGCCGCCTGAACACGTTCGTACTGAGGGGTCCCTTCACCCAAAGGCAGCAGCGCTGTCCGCAGTGTCTGCGCAGTCAGCACGAGACACAGCGCAGAAGAGACACGATAAAGAAATGGAAGAGACACATACACACACACAGCAGAGGCGTGGCGGAAGCAAACTACAGAGGCGGATAATTTAAATAGCTTGCAAGCAAGAGCCTGAGAGGATTGTGCACTGCCGTCAAGCTGGACCAAAGGAGATAAGACTATGGAAAAGCGGAGACAACGGAGAGCAACACCTGTGCGCCCCTCCCCATGCAATGTAAACGAAGTGACAGCATGCATGAACAGCCTGCAGTGGAGGTCCTACGGAAGCCACGATGTCGTGACTGACGTACAGCTGCAATAGAAGGTAGGTATGGGGCAGCGGCAGAACGATGAAGCGTGGGGTTGTTGTCGGTAGCTGCCTCCTTGAAAACCTTTTTCAGGTGCTTCAAAGAACGCCGATCGGCCCGCAGCAGCCGACGGACTGCCTTCTTCAAACGCTCAACTGGCAGAGCTGCCAAGCCTGGAGACAGACCACGCAAGATAAAGCCGAAAGGAAGCTTTCATGAGACTGACGACACAAGGCGGAAAGGGCAAGAGAAGCACCAGAATACACACCGACAGAGCCGGATAGCAATCACAAGAGGGCGAGGACTAAGGAGATTCTGCAGACGCAGAGTGTCAGCAAGTGAAGCGCGAAGCGGGCCAGAGAAAAAGCAACACGAAGGCATACGTAGAAGTTGAAAGAAGGAGAACTGCGAGGGCAAGCTATCTGAAAGATGCAGCACAAGAAAGGAGGAAATAGCTAAGCAGCAAAAAGCACAAGGGTGAAGACAACGGAAAGGAAAACGGCAGCAGCAGCCACTGCAGCTCACTGAAGATGTCGAGTTCTTTCCGCCGCCGCTTCGGGGACTGCTGCGGGCAACAATTTACAGAAAAGACGATAGGGGCCCCTCATTTCGACATGTCTCAACACTGTTGTACTGCGTTGCGGGCTAAAACGGCAGGCACTTTCCATCACAACTCCATGAATTGTTGTTGCGGTGAGCAGCACGAGTCCTCTCCCGCAGTCCCCCTAGACACCGGGGAGAGGCGAGCCGACTCTATGGCACCCACGCTGCATGCTGCATGTGCAGGGGCAGCCGAAGCAAGAGCAGAAGCCTCCATGCCAGGAGGACCAAAGGGTGCGCGCAACCAGGGGAGGCAGCTTACAACTCCTTCTTGGTCCCCATTGAGCTCATCGTCCTCTTCATCCTCGTCGTCATCAGCAGCAGCGGCGCTCGCCGTGACTGCAATGTCTATCTTGTGGTGCTGCGGAAGCTGCAAGTTCTGTCTGGGGGCATGCTGAGATGCTCCGTTCAGAAGCAGAGTGTCTGGTGTTGCACTGGCAGCAGGAGGCATGGGGTCTGGCGCTGCTGTTGCCGCTGTTGAGGAGAAGGAAGGGCTCGATCGCAAGGAGCGAGTAGGCCTGGCCGTATTCAGGGAGCCGCTGCTACTTTGTAGCAAGTGCTTCTCCAGCAGCTTCATGGTCCGCAAGGCTCGCATCTTCAGCTTGTCGAATTTGATATCCCGGATTTGGGGAAGACAGAGATTGGGGTCGTTGCTCACCTCCTGAGGCGCAAGCAGAGCACCACAGCGCGGAGAACGACACATGGACGCCGCATACGCTTAAAAATGCGGAAAATTTGCTGACATCAAATCCAACGAACGGGCAGCAGTGCTTTTCTGCTACTCGTTCGTTGGATTTGCTGCCCTTTCAGAGGACGCCTTTCCAAGCATGAAAACCCCATTTACGGATACCTTCTCGAGCACACTTGCACCCGCACACACAACACATACACCTCAGCCTGCACTGTCGTTGACAGATACATAAATACATCCAGCGAAAGAGAGAGGGAGAGAAAGAGTAAGACGCATAATGCCGTGCAGCAGCAGTGTCTCTGTGAGGGGAAACGCTAGGCTGCCTATGCACGCGGTTGTCGACACGCAGAGGGTCCTCGTACAGGTAGTATGCAACAAGAGAGTGTAAATTCACGAACACATCCATCCAGCACGCATGATGCGGTGCCGCTGCATAAGGACGATACGAAGGGACTAACGACGAGTGGACTGTGCAAAGACTCCTCAGAGCCGCGCGAAGATAACTGGAGCATAGTGCAGCACTCGCTCGCTACAGGGATGCATTCCGCCTTCAATTGTGTGTGCTGCTGGAAAGCAGGCTGCTGACCGTCCATGCGCCGAAACCGTATTTGTAGGCTCCGATGAGGAGGCTTTCGTCTTCTCGCGTGCCCCAGTGCTGGACGTCTCTGGCACTCCACGCCTTTAGGCGAGATATTACACCCTCAGGCAGATGCAGCTGCAGAAAAAAGCAACACCCCACGCCCACATACGCTTCCTGCTGCTGGGGGGGAGGGGGGGGGAGACCGTTCGAACATACATACATTCTATTCTGCAGACAATAAACACGGGAAACCGCGGGAAGATCGAGCGAAGCAGCAGCAGCACACTGCAGCTGCAGAGCGCGAGTATTCCAGCAGAGACAGACAAGAGTTGAAACGAACGCTAAGGAATGAAAAGTGCTGTTCTCTTTCAAGGCGAGACAAACAGGACTGCGACAGCCATGCAGCAGAGAACCCGAGATACTTGTACTGCAGAGAGGCGAATACAGGCGGAGGGGGGGGAAGAAGACGGAGCAAGGGAGGGAGGGAAAGGGAGGGGCCTAAAGAACAAAAAGTGACTGGAAACGTCTCTTTAGGGTGTCATGAAGAAACTATTTGACACGCTACCTTGAGAAAACCAGCTCTCCCAGCATCTCGAGAAGGTGGAAATCCTGTTCTGCTCCCACCGCTGGTGGTTGTATCACTGAGCTGCGGAGGCTGCGACTGCTGTTCTTCCAACTGAATAGCTATTTCTTGATGGCGACTACTGCCTGCTGGGGAGTGAGACAGTGCTTCAGGTCCACTCGCCGTTGCGGCTGCTGCTGTACTTGCAGCAGAGCCAGGCGTTGCTGCACTTGCAGTCGGACCGACCTCCGTGGATTCAGGCGCAGCATCGCCAGCATCAGCTGCCTCCGAATTTTGGGTAAGCTGCTGCTGCTGCTGCTGCGATTGCTGCTGCAGCATGCCCGTGAAGTCGGCGGAAAGAGGGCCGGTGGGGAGGCGCCAAGGGGAAGGGCACCCTGGGTTTTGTTGTTCGAAAACATCGTGCAGCAGCGTCAGCAGCTGCAAGCGTTCTATGAGATCCCACGCGTTCACTCGAGTGTCGCCGATTTGGGTGAAGTAGGAGCGGCCTGCTGGTGAAAACGGCGAGACACAATACAGGCAGAGTGGAAAGTAGCAGGCACCAGCCGAGAAGAGGCTTGGATAAAAGGGATGCAGGGGCGCCTCTGCAGAGGAGAATGCGGGAGAGGCAGCGCGTGCGCAACCGACCGACCTTCTTTCGTGTCTTCTTCGTCTTTTGGCCTTGGCGTTTGTTCTGCATCATCTTCTTCGTCCTCTTCTTCCTTGGTTCCCCTGCCACTCTTGCGGCTGCCCCCCCCAGCGCTTGCAGGCTTCGAGGGAGCTTGATTGAGTCTCTCTCTGCAGGCAGCAACGATCTGCTGAGCGGCAGCCACCACGACGGCTGAGGAGACCCTCTGCAGCTTTGCTTCCATCACGATGTCAGTAAGCCTCCGCTCAATGCATCCGTACCGCAGCAAGGCTCTATACAGCCTGTGGTATTCTTTAGCCGTCAGCTGCGTAGGATTCAGCACACGGGGGCGCCTGCCACGTCTGCCTCTGCCTCCTGTGGCAGTTGCGGAAGCGACAGCAGCAGCAACAGCCGCACTTTCGTCCCCCTCATCAAAGGAGCCGCTGGAGTTGGGAAAGACGCCATAACCGCTGCTGCCTGCTAGAGAACCCCCAGTTGAACGCTCCGGACTGTCGTCTGCCCTCCCTCCAAGACCCCACGTCAGCAAGGCATTTCTCGTTCGGCGCTTGCCATGAACAATTAATTGCTCCTCCGTTTGCTTCTTCAGCTTCGCACGCTCGTGAGCGGGGATACACTGCGCCCAGAATTCCGCATCATTTTCCGCTGCAGCCGCTGCCTCAGAGGGCTCGTACTTGAACTCTTGAATATTTTGATACGAGGATAGCAGAGAATCAGCAATGCCCCCGTCCCTCTTTGTGGCCTCCGTGACTGTCACCTCAGCCTCCGCTAGAATCAGATCCAAGTCTACCTCAGCTGCAGGCTTCTCGACGTCAAAGGAGTTAAACTCCTCATCTGCCCCGCCACCGTTTCCCGTAGGACCGCCGTCCTCTTCGCATCCCTTCGGACGACTCTGCTTCCACAGCTTCGTTGCACCAAACTTCAAAATTTTGCTAAGATCCTCGCGAGAAAACGCGGCACCCAGCCCAGAGGCTCCCCCAGAAAGAGAAGTTGTACCTCCACACTCGGCTCCCCGCTTATTCAGGCCCTTAACAAATCAGACAGACAGACAGACAGACACATACACACACACATACATACACATACATACACATACACATACATACACAAAACCATGCCAACAACCTTCAGCACACCCAGCCCAACAAACTCTGTAGCTTGTGCTTCAAAATTCCTTCAATCATGTGCTCCCTCCCCACTGTCCTACAGTAGCAGCCACTACAAATGTCTGCTCGCTCGCTCTGCGTGTGTGTGCGCGTATATATATATATATATGTATATGTATGTGTGTATGTGTATGTGTGTATGTGTATGTGTATGTGTATGTGTGTATGTGTATGTGTGTACGTGTATGTGTGTATGTGTATGTGTATGTGTATGTGTGCGTGTGCGTGTGAGCCGATGTATGCGCGTGTCGTGTACCTGGACAACAAGCGTGTCAAGCACCATTTTCGCCTTTGCCCTTTCAAGGATTGTTTGCTCGATGGAATCTTTCGTCACGAGACGGTAAATTTGTACCGTCTTCGTCTGTCCTATGCGATGAGCCCGCGCCTCAGCTTGCAGGTCATTCTGTGGATTCCAGTCTGCGGGGGAAAGATGAGAGCGTCAGATGCGAAAATTCAAGTGTGATTGAGTCAAATGAGACAATGTTGCAAAAGGGAAAGCAATTCAAGGGAGACGGAGACAGAGATAGAGGCAAAATGGATGTGAAGGAATAGGCATTCAATAACACGACAGAGAACACAACCCCCCAGAGCGTCCAGGAAAACCGGTCGTCGGTACATCGGTAACAGCACATTAAGAATCACCCAAATTTTGAAACGCAGCACGCGAGCATTTGCCAGTTCAAGTGCAAATCGACTATGCCCACGCACCCGAATCAAAAATGATGACGGTATCTGCCGATGTGAGATTGATGCCAAGACCTCCCGCCTTCGTTGAAAGAAGGAAACAAAAGTCGTTGCTGCTTCGCGAGTTGAACTGCTCCATGGCCTTTCGGCGAACCTCTTTAGGCATGGTTCCGTCCAAGCGCTGCACAGACAGCGGAGAGCACATCCCGAGCTGCCCCGCTGGCTGACAGAAAAGAGGCTCAGACCGACAACAGCATACGAATGCGAAGTAATCGGCAGCAGCACAGACAGCCAAAAGCAGAGGAATCCTGAGGAGAAGTGCGAGAAGGAGAAGAAGCGGCAAATAACACATTTGAAGGATTAACGACACCGCTACCCACACACGCATATTGCGTTTGCGTGTGGGGACGCATGCGGGGGGAAAGGGGGGGAAGTTGCTAAAATTTTCCCCCCTTTTTCTGGAACCTCTGTCTGTCTGTCGTCGTTTTGAGAGGAAGAATGCAAGAGGGGCCTCTTAACGTATATACGGCTCTGGTCCTCGCTGGATGTAGCTGTACCTGGTGTTTGTATCCCCGTAGCTTGAGAAACTCCGCGAGGATGTTCAGCATCTTGACCATCTGTGAGAAGATCAAGACGCGGTGCCCCTTTTCCTTAAGCCTCTTGAGGAGCTTATCGAGCAGCCGGATCTTCGCTGAGCCGTCTACAAGTAAGCGCGACCACTCCTCTCCTTCCTCCGGTGCACGACAGAGGAAGGGGTGGTTGCAGACTTTCTTCAGTTCCATGCATATGTTCTGCAGGTTCGTGCGATTGGCACCTCCCTTCCGTGCGAGGTGATCGAAATTCTTTGTGAGGATAAGCCGGTAGAAGTGCAGCTGCAAGGGGGACATTTCCACGCGCAGGATGCTCTCTACCTTCTTTGGCATGCTCCTTTCCACGTCTTTTTTGACTCTGCGAAGAATGAAGCCGTTCAGTTCCTGCTGCAAGGCTGCCAACTGTGCAGCCTTCGCCTCTCCCACTTCTGAGTGCTTCTCTACCAAGTGGTACTTCTGCTTGAATTCTGCGATGCTATGATGAATGGAGGGGTTGAGGAAGTGCAGGAGGTTCCAGAGTTCGTCCAAGTTGTTGTGCAGGGGCGTGCCGGAGAGGAACAACTTGTGCTGCACGGAGAATGCGGAAAGCTCGATGAAGCGCTTGCTGTTGATATTCTTCAGTTGGTGGGCTTCGTCCACCACTAACAGAGACCAAACCACCTTTTTCAAGAACTCCGAATCACCTCCGCAGTTGAGAATGGACGGCGTCGTCAGACACACGTCAAACTTGTACACTGGAAGGCGGTGATGCAGCCGTTGCAGCTCGTAGTTTCGAATCACGCTTCGCCCAGCAGCATTGCCGTGCACCATCACCACGTTGGCCTCTGGCAGCCAGCGGGAGAATTCCCGCACCCAGTTGTCGAGCGTGGATTGCGGTACAAAGATCAGAATAGGCGTGAGTACCTCCTCCTTGAACAAAAGATGGCCTACGACACCAATCGTTTGCACCGTCTTGCCCAGTCCCATTTCATCCGCCAGCAACACAGACACGCCGCGCTTCAAGCGGGAGAGAATCCAATTAACCCCCGTCAGCTGGTAATCACGCAATTCCTGGTTACTCCTTGAATCTGCTTCTCGGCCTAGGGAGAGCTCAAGGCGGCTGCTGCTGCTCGAGCTGTCTCCTGCCTGCTCGTGTTTTCCTGCCTGCAATTCTCCTTGCTGCTGCGCTTCTGGCTCGAGTTCAACTTCCCCTTCTTCCGGAGGAGACACGCGATTCATATATGGAGGAGTTTCAACGTATGGGACGAATGCGGTCGAAGTAATCGGCCTGAAGGCTGCAGGCTCAGAAAGGGCCTTCTGCAATTTAGCCTGCACCCTGCGCAGCCGCGCATCATACGCGTCAACCAAGGGCAAGAAATCATGCTGCACAAGCGTTTCATGCGTCTCTTGTGTGCACCGATCGTATGGAGAGCTCCTCCATTTCACAATGTACGACTTGGCACCCGTCTGCTGATCCTCCCTGAAAACGCAACAAAGGCAGCCACAGCAAGCGCAAACTCTCGAGGGGGATGCAAGGCACAACAGCGTCTTTCTTGAAGGGAAGGCGCAAGAGACAAACGTACGAAGAGAGAAAAAGAGAGAGAGTGAAAAACAAATTCATAGACATATACACATATATATAGATGCATATACGCATACACACACATACATACATAAAAACATACACACACATACATACATAAACACATACACACACATATATACATAAACACACACACACACACAAAAACACACACACACACCTATACAGACGCTTAGAGGCAAGAGTCCGTGAACTTCTCAGAGGGGTGGGAGAGGACAGGGTAAAACCATCGATATAATACATGAGAGAGCGTGCAGCCAGCGATATCTCTTTTAAATGGACTCTGAGAACGCCAACTCAGCAGGTTCTACAACACCAGACACCCCGCAAACACCCTTAAAAGCGGCCTCCCCAAGCTAAGACTCAGACACGAAGAATAGGGAAGCACAGCCCCCCCCTTTCCAGTTGCTGACCATCTGTATATGATGCGCTCCGCCTGAAGGGCATCTTCGTCCAGCTGTCTCTGCATTTGTTTTTCGATTTCCAGCTGTTCAACTTCGTCCGGTGTCATGTGCTGCATGGCCTCCTTCTCCCTGTCTCTGCGTTTGATGAAGTTGAGCAGCTTTTTGATGCCCAGAAGCGGCGCTATGGAGTCATACACCTCCCAGGTGTTGTGGACGTGAGCTCGACCAAGCCATTTAATCAGAAACTCCTCCTCACCATCTTCCCGCAAACGAGAATCCAGCACGCGGTCGACTACCTTCCCAGCAACAGCTCCTGCTTCTTCGCCTCCTGCGCCTCTAGCTGCACTGTACCTGTTGCTGTTGTTGCCGCTTCCAGCCGTTCCGCCTCCTTCAGTGTCGTCAGACTCCTCCCCCTCCTCCTCGTCCTGCGCTAAATTCACGTAATCCACGCGGCTGCTGCGAGCTCGCAAGGTAAAACCACTCCCGCTGCGTTCTGCTGCTGCAGAAGCTGCCGCTGTGGCTCCCACCGAGGTGCTTCGAGGCAAGTGAGAAGCGTAGTAGGCTTCACGAGCTTGCACGCGAGGCTTGCGTCGCCGCGAGCTGCTGCTGCTGCTGCTGCTCGTGGGCGCATTTCCCCCCCAAACCGCTCCTGAAACTCCCCCAGAATTTCGCTTCCCCGACATCTCCCATGCTTCATCTCCGTCATCTTCTGCTTTGGCCGATACAGCTGCTGCTGCTGCTGCTGCTGTTGCAGCAGCAGTAGCAGCCGCAGCTGCAGCACGCCGTGGCAACTCCCCTGCCCCCGCAGCCGCAACTGCAGCCTGCTGCTGCAACGCTGTGGATGCTCCCGAGTCTCCAAAAGCACCCTGCTGCTGCAAGAGCTGCTGCTGCTGCTGCTGGCGCTGCAACGCTTGCTGCTGCTGCAGCTGCTGCAGATACTGCTGCTGCTGCTGCTGCTGCTGCAGAAAAGAATTCTGTTGCTGCTGGGCTGCCAGCAGGGGATGCTGCTGCTGCAACTGCCGCTGCAGCAGCAACTGCTGCAGCTGCTGCTGCTGCAGCTGTTGACGAATCTGCTGTTGCCTCATGTACTGCTGATGGATCAGTTGCTGCTGCTGCGGATTGCCACTCGCGGCTGCAAGATGCTGCTGCAGCAGCTGCTGCTGCTGCAATTGCTGCTGATGAAGTTGCTGCTGAAGCTGCAGCTGCTGCTGCAGCTGCTGCTGCAGAAGCTGAGAAGGCACTGCAGGGTCTGCTGCCTGCTGGCCTTGCTGTTGCAATTGGAGCTGCTGCTGCTGAAGCTGCTGCTGCTGAAGCTGCTGTTGCTGAAGCTGCTGCTGCTGAAGCTGCTGCTGCTGTTGCTGCTGAAGCTGTTGCTGCTGAAGTTGCTGCTGCCGCAGTTGCTGCATGTGTTGTTGTTGCATATGCTGCTGCTGTAGTTGCTGCAACTGCAGTTGCTGCATGGGCTGGTGTTGCATCTGCTGATGCAGCATTGCTGGTAACTGCTGCTGCTGCTGCATTTGCTGAAGATGTTGCTGTTGCTGCAATTGCTGCTGTTGCTGCAATTGTTGCTGCTGGTGCAGCAGCTGTTGCTGCATAGGCTGCTGTTGCATATGCTGCTGCTGCAGCTGCGGGGGGGTCACCGGTTGCATCTGTTGCTGTTGCATTTGTTGCTGTTGTAGTAGCTGCTGTTGGTGCTGTAGCTGCTGTTGCCGCTGCTGCATGCAGCCCTCATAAACGAATCCAAGTGACGTATTGACTTGATGCTGTGGCTGTTGCTCTTGCTGCTGCTGCTGTTGGAGAGAAGAGGCTGTGATGCTCGCATCTGCTGCTGCTGCTGCAGACTCTGTTGTCATTGCCAGATCAGTTGCTGGCACTGCTGCTGCATTTCCAGCAACCTCTGCTGCTGCTGCTGCGTCTGCTTCCGATATCCCAAAGAGTTGCATTGCTGCATCATCCTCTAATGAAGTCGCCAGGCCACTGCTGTATTCGCCGCCGCTCCCTTGCAGCATCCTGCAGCAAAAGCGGAGTCAGCAGCGGCAGCAGACGTGCGATACGCGAGGGCAGGAACTGGGAAGAAGCAGTGAGACTGCGGAGCTTAACATGCTAGGAAACAGCACGGCAGAAGCTGGGGAGGTAAGACACAGAGGGGAGAATAATGGGGGGAGCATGGGGGTTTACCCAATGTGAGGACCTTGAGTGCTGCTACACAGCACTTCAGCTGGTGCAGCTCCTGCTGCTGCAGCCACTGCTGCCCAGAGTCGGTGATTCGAGACGCTGAAGTGCCAGCAGAGACTTCTGCGTCCCTTTAAGCGGCTTCTCTAGGCCAGAGGTTGTAGGAATAAGCGAGGACAGAACGAGGGAGGGAAAGACGTGCCAAGCCGCATCAAACGCTCTATGCAGAAGTCCAAACAGCGCATCCCACCATATCGGTCAGCATGCTGCTGCTACTACCCGTGCTAAAAGACGAAGAAGGAGTTGCTTGGAGAGGAGGGGGAAAGCCAGCTACTGTGGCATCGGCAAACACTGGCAGCAAAAATGATACAATTATCGCCGGGGGTACCGATTCTGGCTGGGTGCTCCTGCTGCTTTACTGTGCAGCAGCAAAGAGCTGCAGCATGCCGAGGAAAAGGGGTATTCGTAGAGGCAGAGTAGAGGAGCAGACAGAAGGAGCAGCGAGGGACTTATATCCGCTACTGCTGCTGCCGCTGCAACGCCGCAGCAGCAACCTCGTCTACGCCTGTCTCCCGTAAGGAGGAACTCGGCTATGATGCAGCAACACTTCTAGCAGAGATTCGAGGGGGGAAGAGCAAGCCAATAGCCGCACGGGCTGTACTGCAGCCGGACGGAGGACACAGCAGCGGCTGCTGCGGCGGCTGCTGCTGCTGCCGCTGCTGCTGATGCCGTCTTCAGCTGAGTTACCATGCATTTACTTCGTCGAAGAACAGCTCGCGCTGCCGTATTGCGATGCCTCCTTTTCTATTACGCTGGGCTTGCCCCCGCACGCTTTGTGCTGCTCCTGCAGCAGGGCGTCTGTTGCTGCTGTGTGGCCCGCGGCTGCTGCTGCTTGCCGGTGTTGCTGCTGCTGCAGGAGTCTGGTTCCTTTGCATTCTAGAGACAAATTTAGAGGCTGCCGTGCTGTTTTGGCCAGATTTTGTTCATTCATGTTTGCTTTGGGCTAGAACTATGCAAAAGGCGGCCACAAGCAAACCCCCGATAGGTCCTCTCCCTGCCTCCCCCCTGCCAGGATCGTCTATTCAGGGTCCACTGGCTCACTGTGTAGTAGTAGTTTGCCGAATTAGCGAATCCACTTGGAATTGTGCTCCGACCTATGTGATCTACTAGTTAAGATCTGCGGATAGCAAGGCCGAACCATTAATAGGGCGCTTTGGTAGGGGTGTAAGTAAGCCCAATGTGCCGGGCATATGGGGCTTGACGCTCTTTGGGAGGCAGGAGAAAGGAAATAATTATTGCGGTAAGGATAAACAGGGCAGTGGACAAGGGAGGAAGAAAGGGGCAGAAAGGAAAATAATGTATCGCAAACTTCAGCTTCTACCAACAACATGCTTTGTTTGCACCAAAGAGTGCCATGCTTTCACATCGTTTGATGATTAGTGCCAGGATAAGGGACTGCTAAAGTGGGGGTGGCAGGTGTTTCCGTGTAGACAACTAATTGTTTATTAGTACTCTTTCTCTTTTCTGCCCCCCATTGCTCGCGGTTAGATCTCGACAGAAGCCAAAGTCATTTGAGCGCTATGGGCGGCACAACTCAACCATGGCATGCGGCAAAATAAGCTCTGCTTCGATAGTCATACTATTTCCTAACCCATTCAACTACTGTGTAGCTAAGCACTCGACACGTGGTTTCCCGCTTGGCTCCTCCAAAAACTGCGAACCAGGAGTAGCTCGAAAATTTCAAATTTTTTGTGGCGGTAACATATGTGTTTGTGGCGGGTCCAGTAGCACATTGGAATCTCAGTAAGCTAGTTATATCTAGTGGAAACTGGCAAAGGATTGACTTACTGGTTTGTATGTAAGTATGTGTTGTACATTGCATAGTGTTACCTTCTAGGTACAGAATGTTGTGTGAGTGAGCGCTAGATGGTATGCGCAACCAGCTGTGAAGGGGCGCGGGTGGGGGAAAAACGAATCCCCTCTAAGGGGTACTTAATGACATTCTATAAAGTTTGTATCGAGTCTAGAGTTACAAGTCCCTCTACAAAGGCTTCCCGTTGAGTGTTACACTTGGTAGCACTGCATGGTTCGCTGCAAATTGTCTCCGTTTATCCAATGGCTGTACTTGGAGTGGAATGGCAGGTTTTCCTTCAACCGCAGTCTGGCTATTATCAAGCTACTTCCTAAGCTGATCATCTATTTTTGGCAACATGCTGTGGAAAAGGCTTGTTTTGGTCAAATTAGACGGTGGCACACTTGTTATTTGCCTGCCAGAGGTCGGCCCTGAAGTTGGCCTTAACACTGTTCCACACCAGTTAGAGAGGCGTGGTTTTCGGCCTATGAATTATTTATAAGTTTCTACAAACGCTTTATAGGTTATGACCACTATGAAGGTCTGGCGCCCCCAAGGATGGGCAAGTACTCAAGGTTCCACCAGCCGATTGGAGATATACCTGGCTTTGTACCGCCGAAGTGGAGGGAAACAAGTGCTTCTTGTGGCATTATCCTTTAGGAGAAAAAGTAATTGAATGCTGGCTCAATTCATGCAGGAGAATCCGTCTGCTTTCAGGGACTCCGTTCAAGCCTTCCTACAAGTCCTGCCTCGTCGATTAATGCCAAGATCACCTTAGCCGCAAGATTTGATGAAAATAAGAAAGTGTAAGTTACGCACCTCGAAAAAAGAGGAGAATATCTTAGAAGCTGAAAGACATCGATTCTCAAACGTCACAAGGCAGACGAACAGCTTCGTTATCAATTAGTCGTCTCAGGTCCACGAAAAATGCAATGGAAGGTTTTCGCAAGCTAATCAGCAACTCGAAGACTAGATAACCGACTTCAGGCTTGCGATTGAGGAACTGCTTATGAACTCAGAAGCAAAGGAGCACAACGCTAGCGTCTTTGACTGAAAGGACGCTCCAAGTGTGAAAAATTAGAACAGATGGATGCAGAAGCCTTGACAATCAGCCCTAGCTCACAGCATAAGGTAAACAAGAAAAGCACGCCAGTGAGAATTTACACTTACATGAAGCCTCAGACGGCCTGCCGACAACGGACCTGCTTTCATTGTGGAAAATTCGCTCATCATCCGGAACTGCAAGCGCGCGCAAAATACCAATGAACCTGAACACCGGGGGACAGAAGCAGGCTGCTTGGCAAGCAAAGAAGGCGCATCAGGGAGACAGAAAAACCCCACTCTGGCTCTAGCACAGAGGTAGGGCTACAGAGATTCTAGTCGTAGCTAGGGACCCTTCACCGACAGAATCTGCGTTGATGCAAGTTTTCACTGATGGTGGAAAACTGCTAGCGAAGTATCACACTAGGAGTGAAGTGAAACTGTAGTCCGAGGGCGCAGCGCGAGAGTGATTCAACCTATTCTGCTAGGCAGCGCAGTATCGGTGCGCATTGTGCAGGTTAGTGTGTCCCGGTGGGCTCGGAACATGCAGCTTTTTGTCAACTCAACAGCAGTCATTTCATTTATGGCGAATGGGGTCGAGTCGCTTGGTCGACGACAAGGGGCGTAGCTTTCCTGTGTGCGGTTTAGCAGCGCAATACAAGAAGACAGATCCAGGGATCTTCTAGTGACTATACAACGTTCTTCAGTGAAAATTCGGTTGAAGGAATAAGCCGGGAACACAAGAATTGAGCAAATTCCGAGAAGAAATTCATGGATACGCTAAATAATGAGGAGCTGCCAACAAGCTGGCTATATTCTAGTCTTCTAGCGCATCGTATTGAGCTATTCCTAGAACCTGCCTCCCGATACGTTCCAGAGTATCGCAAGACCTTATGGAATGATGAGGAAATTTAACTTTGTGGGGATGGTATGTTGGATAGCACACGGCGATAAGATATCCCACAAGCCTTCTACGAGTGGTTGCCAGGTCTGTCTCACGAAAGGATTAGCATTTTGCGCAGCTGTGGGGGTCAGCGCGAGTGTTTTATATACTACTGGGACTGACCATAGTCCCCGCACGCCATCGCGCATGGAACACTCTTCAACATGCCCACAACTCATACCTCCACACCTACATGAGGAGGTCTTGACAAGTAAAGCAGCGTAGAGCTTAAAGCGGACAACCAACATTGTGCAAAGTCAACGCTTACGAATGTTCGACCATCGCTGAATGCCTTCGAGTGCTGCACTGCTGCCTGCATGCCAAGTTCGGGCATAGAGGATATTGCTTTGGTCACTGCCTAAATAGACATACAGAAGAGCGTCATCCACTAGCACCAAGGTGAAACGTAGATTTTGCTGCTTGCGTATTTTCCAACCCTGCATATAATCACACATAATCTCGCTGCACAAATTAGCCAGAAGTAGTATGCGTTTCGAGCAAACCCTATAAAAATATCAATTTCGAGAGTCATTCCAGTCACCTAAATTCCTTGCTGTTTTTGGTGTATACAATCATGAGCCTAAGGGCAGCTACTTTAGGCGCTGAGAATCTCGTTCAACAGAAGTGTACGGCGTCCTAATTGCTTAAGTCTTTGTTCTAAGAAAGCGCCTTTACTTGCCAAGAATCCAGCCAGGGTCGCGACTATCGTGTCATTTCACTACTCTGAGAACATGAAAAGGCCAACAGCTGCGGTGCCATTTTTGCGGGTAGTCCAGCGTCGTACGGCCTCTTTCTGAATCCAGCGTCCAAAACACGTCTCAATATTGGGAAATAGACGTATTGATCACAGTTCTGCTCTGTCAAGCCACGCGGTGCCACTGAGGGTAGCGCTTCACGTAGGGCCTCCATACAAACACGAACAAACCCAAAGCAAACTTGGTAGGGAGATACCAGTCCTTTTCCTAAGAAAAGTCTCCCTCCTTCTGTCCTTTAAGTAAAGGGATTCTGGCATGAAGGGAGAAGGATAGCTAGGGTAGGCTTCGACGAGCCGCCCAAGAGCTCTGGGCAGAACCGGCAAGTTGCTCGAAGTAGCGAATGCCCACCCACGCGATGCTCATTCTTGACGTACTGAGAAAGCTTTACTCTGCAACAGCTTGCATATAAGAATATCCAAAGCAAATAACCAGTTCTTTGCTGACTCTTAGTTATTGTAACAAGTGCAATAGAAAGTGTCGACGTGTAGCTTGATCCGCTTAAGGCAGACACAATTCAAGCCATATTAATCCGCTACTTGATTCAGAATCCTGCACTTTCTACTAGACGAATTGGCTGCTAACCTTGGCAACGGAAGCCAGAGTCACCACATTCCCAGCGCCGCTTCTATTTGTAGGTTTCCGCCTTATGTCGACAACACTGTATGCCATCTTCACTACTCCATGGCAAAGTAAGGGAAGTGGCTCAGTCGAATCATGCCCCGATTTCAGGTCTTACAGTGGACTGTCGCAATTGGATGCTTTACATATTTTCTTCATCATAGTCTGGCAGGTAAAATGCAGGGTGCTGAGCCGATGCTCCTTTCAATAGACCGGGAGCAAACCCAAACTTACGAGGTGGTTACTGTGAATATAGTGCTATAATGAATGCCCTGAACTAAGTACTACCAGAATATCGGAAATGTATTGCATATACAGGCGAACTCTGATGAGCGCTGGGGCACTCGTGCCCGAGGAGTCCCTTGCATTTGCATTGCTGTGCGTCAGTACGGCAGCCCCCAAATGGCGGGATGCTCTCAAGAAGTAAAACAGGTATTTTGAGGAAGAACAACGAGATAAATATAGAAGGAGGAATAAAATTGAAAGCCGAGCTTCTCAGCAGGAGCGGAAACCCACTGTTGCCAACGGGAACGCAGAAATAGGCATGCAAATAAAACGAAATGTGCACATCAGACGACGCTCTAACCAACTGCCATGCACAATGATCTGTCATACAAGCTGCTTCCGTCAAATGTACCCCGCTGCATACAGGCGCGAAGAATACTCTGGACAAAAGTGTGAATCAAGTCTCTGCGGCCACAGCCAGCCCAGTTTAGTCCATCCTTCACTGCGGCAACACCATTAACGGTTGCACAGAACCTTGTGGACCACCTACTCAATTCGTCGCTGTACTACCGTAGCAGCAGCATTGCTAAAGCTGCCGCTGCTGCAGTCTCCTAGCAGACTCAGCCAAAGTAGCGAACGCTACAGTGCCCCCCTCCCACTCTGTGCTCGGAGAAAATTCAACGGCAGAAGAGGGCACACCGAAGAAATAGTGCTTATTTGTCGAGATACTGAGTGTCCAACCCCAACTGTTTCATAACTGCCCTGTAGTGATCCATATTTCTCATTAGCAGGGCTTCAAGCGGACCAAGTAGTCGCTTGAAGCTCCTTCTATCCATGTACGCGACTTTGCAGTTGGTCTTCGCCTTCACAGTTGCAGCTCTCGGTTGATTTTTGAGTAATGCGAGCTCGCCGAAATAGCCTCCCCTCTTGTATTCCATGACCACCTTACCTCCCTTAATTGCCTCTGCTTCCCCATCCAGCAATAAGTAGAAGGTGTCGCCTTCTTGCCCCTCACGAATTATCTCATCTCCTGCCTGAAACAGTTGCGTCTTTAAGGCATCTGCAACTTTGCTACGCTCATATGGGTCTACGTCCTTCAGTAGTTCAACCTGTAGAACACGACAGCAGCCACATGAAGCAATGAAGTTGCAATTTAAGAGCTTTCCAGTAGTCAAGCACCGCGAGCAATCGTTGGTTGAGAGGGACGCTAGGCAAGGCTCATCCCTAAGATTGCAAAATTAGATGCAAATAAGCAGGGACTTTTACGGCATTAATTGTTCGGCTTTCATTCTTAGGCTCTTGAAGATACTGCTACACAAATGACGACCCGCCACCGCAAAAGTTGAGTGCTCTGACCTCTTTGAGGCTATCTTCATACATCTCCCTATTTTTCGCTGCTGCGTCTCGAACGATGTGGCTAAAAGTCTCTCTATCTAGAGACCACAGCTTAAGATCAGTTGCAGCAATGACAGTAGCTGCCCTCGGGGCATTATACATTAGGGCCAGCTCCCCAACGGTGTCCCCCTCCTTCATTGTGTTGACTTTCAGCGTTTGTTTCTGCTGAGTGGTCTCATTTGTGATCTCTTTGAACACTTCAGCCTCTCCCGACTCAATCAGGTATAACTTGTCGCCGTCAGCGCCTTGCTGGATCAACGTTTCTCCCTTCTTCACTGACACCTCTTTAAAAGCCCCTAAAACTACGTCGATATCCTCATAATCCAACGACTGAAAGCGGTAATCATGCAACAACCCATAGCCTAGATCATGAACCCTGAAGTCTATGATCATCGCAACATACACTACATGGCGAAGCAAAACGGGAAAGGACGACGGTGGTTCACCCAAGAAACGGACTTACACTAAACAGAAATGAATTGTCGACGATTTTCTGAATCCGCTGCTTTGCTTCCGGGGTCTTCTCGTAGACCTGTGAAAGAGCAGCAACAGCAGACAGAGCAATGAGGTTAAATGTTTCAACTGTAAAGATGAATACTTGTGACGACACCTACTCTAACCACTGAGCCATCTGTCCTTACAGGTGGAACAAAGTTGGTTTTCTTGTTCCATTCTCCGTACGCCTCGGCACTAACGGACTGGCGGTTCTTCGCTTGCACCGTTGCGCTTGGCTGAACACAAGTCTCAACACACTCTCGCTTGTGAAGTCGCAAAAAGATAATCAAAACGACTCCTGAACTTGCGATAGTTACTGGTCCTGCTCACCATGGGAAGCTCGTCTACGACGTCGTCGTCTTCTTCATTGCTATCTAAGTCATCTTCAGTGACTGAACGGACCAACACGAGCGCACACCTGCTCACAGGAGTAGGGACTTGAGGCACAACCACCTCCCGCAAAAAGTTTCAGCAGCACGTTACCAACAGCGGCAGCACAGAAAAGACCAGCCGAAAAGACTTTGCAGCACCAAAGGCAGCAGCCGACCTAACCCTTAAGCGCTCAAGTCTCTAGCCCTCAACCCTCAAAACTCTCCCTGCCCGCCGCCAGCCCAGCAAAAAACTCGCACAGAAATAAAAGCGGGGAGGTCCATGAACATGCATCTTCATATAAGAATTCAAATGCAGCAACAGCAAAGGCACGAGACAGAGCATCTCTCCGCATGCCACGCCACGTACAGAAAAAAAGCATTGCAGCGAGAAGCGGCTGTCTATGTATCGCGCGAGGAAAGAACATGAAACAACAGCTTGTGAAGCAATAAAAAAGCATTCGCACGAACGCTGACCAGACACAGTCAGCAGACAGCAAACGCTGAAAGCCCTTCGAGCAACATGGCACTGTGGATCAAAGAAAGTCGAGCAATAACCAGAGCAGCACTAGTGAGATCAACAGTAGCTGCCGGAGCAACGCACCTTGCTGCAGCGGCTTGTCCTTATCCGGCTGCACATCAGAGCAGCGGCCTCCGGCCTTACCGCGGCTGGACATTCACAAACAATGCAGAAATATCGGCACATGGGAACACTACGGAATGCATGGGAAAGATTAAAAAGGGGCTTTGGAGATCGGAATACGACCATAAGGCCCAATGCATCTGAAGCGAAAAACAACTGCTGTTCTCAGCCAAGCGTAGAGTGAACGGAAGGAGATGCGGAAAAACACTGAAAACCAATAACACTATTACAGACCGATGAACAGCGATCTCGGGGACGACCCAGGTTCATACTACACGCCTTGAGCCGAAGGCACAACCGAAGGATGCAGCGATGGCTCTTCAAAACCAGAACCTTGAAGGCGTAAGCCACCCCTTCAACCATAAAAAGGGCATCTTAAAAGTACCTCCCCTATGTCAGCCATGAGCAGCCATCACTAAAAATACGAATAAACAAGTTTACAGCACAAATGCTCCTAGTATTTGCACATGTAGGGATAAAACTCTCTACAATCGTACACAAATGTATCCGTGTGCATGTCGTGGACTCGACGCGATGAAAATGTCTCACATAATTGCAGCATTCGCAATGCGCACATACAGTACACTGCGAAGGCCATCAAATATACTAAGACCTCATAGGCCACATAATACACCCGCTACCTTTTACACGCTTTACATCCACAGCCACTCAAATAATAAGCTGTTCATGGCGGCGGGCAGGGCCACACGAAATCGAAACCCCCGATCTTAGATGCTTAAAACCACTCACACTGTACAACAGATGCGGGAGCTGTTGCTTCTGGATCATGAGTTTTCGCCCAGCGATGTGGCCGTTCGCTGCCGACGAATCAAAGGAGGTTCGCGTGTGTTCAGAATTTGGAGTATATGGTTTTGCATCCGATATTTTAGCAAGGAATTAGGGTCTGCAACTTCAAGTTTCATTGCTGTATGCATTAAACTACATAAGGCTATCTTCCAAAGCAGAAAAACGACAATAGATGCGTGTGGGGGGGCAGAAACAACAGTGACAACTTACCATTCACAGAGGTTGCCCATTGTACCGACCGGGAAAGAGCAGTGATCCCACAAATTCTGAGAAGCCGCAGCACCAAACAACCGAACGTTGTATGTTGCCGCCGATATCGTCCAACAAAAAAAAGTAACGCCACCCCCCATGAAACTCTAAGCACAGCGGCCAAGCCTCGCTCTCCATCCATGCGCCAATTGTTTCCTTTGCTTCATAGGCTCCCTCAAACTGGTCGCTGATCAATATGTCGCTCTTGATCCTGCTGACTTTGGTACAGATTTTCTCACACGATAGTCACTCGTGCGTTGGCTGTCGCGTCTTGTACCTACTGCTGCTGTGGGTAAGGAACACCAGCTAGCAAACTGCCGCACCTGCAGGGTCGCTAGACACAGTCCAGCACTGTGAGAAGGATCTCTTACAGCTGTTGTCACCAATACTGTAATGGGCCCAACAGTTCGCCCCAGGAGCCGCAGCAACACAGCCAGGATGCGACCGCTGAGACTGCCGTAATCACCCCACCTATACGAAAAAGTGCTTTCTTTAGTGTAGGGATACAGCAGGGGAGATGGAAAATGAGGAAGTCGTAATAGTGGTACCAGCAATAAGAATAGCAGTAGCATAAGCAACAGCTGCGTTCCTCACCTAGAAACAGCAGCAGCAGCTGCAGCTGGAGAAGCAGGCCAGTCCACTTTGCTGCAGCAGCTGAGCTGGAAAAAAAATGCAATGTTCTTTACTTCATGAGAGTGTGGCATTTCTGTAGCAGCATCAACAACAGCAGCAGCTCCCGCAGTGGTAGCAGTAGCAGCAGCTACTGCCGCGCCGCAATGAGTGGTGGTGCTGCTCCCTGGTTGGTTTGTTCTCTCCTTTCCGTGAACTAGTCGTTGGCTTGTGGCGCCAAGTTAGGTATATTTTACTGGAATTACGGGGTAAATTGTGCACGGAGCCTCAGGATTACCCCTACTGGGTCCTTAGATGCTCATACGAACAACACACTAGCCAGTGGTACTGACCGCCTAATCCACCATACTCTCGTAACTTCAAGACCAGCCAGAGAGAATTTTCGCCATAGCAGTATATACATAAATACGCGCATGTGGATTCGTTGCATGGAAACGGTGATTGGTTTTGGGGTTGCTACCCAGCGCACCTAAACCTAGTCAGGGTCGGCACTTAGATCATTGGTATTTCTTTCGAGTAGCCAAGCTCTCTATCGTCCTTCTTCGCGGAAATAATGCAGAATATAAACAGTTTAAACAGCGGGGTGTCCCCCATCGAGGGGAAAAACTTCTTCTGGACGCTGCACAGAGCGGATTTACAGCGCTCCATGCTTCACTTAGAAGCTATCTACTTCAAAACTTTTGTGGATTAAGAATAAGCATGAAATTGATCAATTGTTTTATCCGCCGGCTGCATTTCCTGCTGAATGCTGTTAACTGGACACTAGAAGATGCTGTGTTGTGTGCGTGCTCGCTACATGGTATGTACAACTAGCTGTAAATGTTCCGGATGTTTGAAGGGTTGCAGCTACACACACTCTGCCTGACACTCTCCTTTCATGCTGAGATCTCTGAGTCACACTGGCAAGGGATTGGGAAAGCATGACAAGTTCCTCTAAAGTTGTGCTGTGAGTAGCGAATCTCCCGACAGAGACCGTGGATGGGCCTTAACTTTTGTAGAACCGTATGATTCCTACTCCGCTTATCCACTGCTTGTCAATGCAGAGTGATCTCATAAATCCCTTTAACGGTCCTTTGGTTGTTACAGAGTCATCTAGTGATTCAAAAACTTGAATTTCTTTGGCAGCAGCCAGAAAAGTTCGTTGACGAAAGTTGAGAGTGGCCAGCACCTGTTGGACCGGCAAAGGACGGCTTGCTAGTCAACATGAATTTGGCAGTAAATATCCATCTAAGGTCTCCGTATGGCGGCACTATAGCCCCAGGTACCCTACAAATTTCATAGAAACATACCGGGTGATTTCTCAGAAGAGCTTTCTTCTTTAATTGTCCCCAACCCTGAAGGTTCCCGTATGACAGAGTCATGCCACCTAGGGTGTGCATAGCTGCACCTTGTAAGCACTCTGGGCAATCACAACTAGTTGCATACAGCATCTAGCTGGCAAGCTCACAAGATTGCTTTGTTGCATACAAACAAGGACAATCTGTGATAAATAAGAGGCAAACATAGGGGAACAATTCCTAATCAAATGGAAGTGGTGTACTAGATTGGTGTAATAAGCTACCTATGCCCCCCGCTGTCCCCATTCCAAGGCACGCCATCTTGTTGCTTACGCTTCCGTCGAGACCAACTGTGTGAAGGACCGTCGAAGAGTCCCCACCCTATCGCTACCCCAAGCCAGGCAAAATCGCCGGCTCTAGTTCAAAACAAAAACTTCAAAGTAGATATCAGCTGATAAAGAGGAATCAACTGGAAGAAAGGCACATACACTAGCCAAGAACGAACATTGGAACAAAACGACCGCGGAAGGGCGATCGCTGAAATGTGTGAGCCTCCTGCGACAAGGAGATACCAGACAAGTGAATAGTGTAGATAAAAATTGAAAGTCACACTAGTTGAGCACTGCCTCCATGCATCATAGATCAAAAACTGACTGTATATGCAGCAGGTGCGTGCAGCATGGCCGAGTTCCAGACCTTAGAAGAGGCACGAGGAAGAGTTAAAAGGCAACCTACCTGACAACGGTTGCGCATAAATTGTAAGTGCACGGAAAAGCCGAGAACTTTATAGGCAAAGCTTTGCTGTTCCACCTACTGTTAGGGAAATCGCAACACTAAGAACGGGGAACAGTACGTGAGAGGATGCGAAGTAGTCCTAGCCAGCTGGCCGCCAGCTTCTCTGTGCTGTTTTCTCCCCGCGAAACTCGGAAAACTGGCCAGTTCATCAAGGCAAAGTCTTCAGGCTCGAAACAATCGTCAATCACCGCTTTTTGTCATATTTCCCTGTTTGTGTCTCGCCGGCTGAGCGTACATTCGCGTACACTACCGAACTGCTCTCTAAAGTTTTTTACTGCGAATGGTGGCTGCTGACCCTGGACCACCAGGTTGACGCCCGCACCGAAAAGAGCTTCTCAGCATAGACTACTGATGCTGGGGAGAAACAGTAATCGGGTGTACTGTTATATCATACACGCACTCAGCACAGCGAAGAAAATCGAAGGCAAGCGGATTCATGTGAGCAAAGAGTCGTACGTGCTGGAGCAGGGCGTGCTAGCTGCTCTCTGTTTGCTCATCTGCCTCAAAGTGGTTAGTAGTGGCCATAGAATGCTTACTATGCAGGCAGGTCATAAAGGCACGCCATAACGCACTCACGAACTTTGTTTTGCTCCTCATAACGATCCACTGGGGAATTCATGGAGTTTCCCGACTTGACTTTGTGAGAATAATAAAGCGCCCAGGCTGAATCAAGCAATGAACTGGGCACTTTGACTTAAGTTGTCGAGAACGACGTAGATGCTCTCGTGCCCCATGACCTCGAGGAATCCATCGATAAAGCCAATGGCCAGATCTGCAAAAAGTATCAGCATTTTTGCAGGCCCCACAGCACAGCATCATGCTTCTTTCTCCGCGCTGTATACTGCTACTCGGTTTGGGTGAAGCGATAAAAATCACAAAACATAATTTGATGCTTTGAAAATCCCGAAGAGCTTGAAGAAAATAGCACTCGCAGCTACATGGCTAAAGTTGGTTGACGGGAAGGCATGGCGCTTACAATGAAGTATCGGTAGTTTCGGAGGTGTGGCCGATGGGCGTCGTTGCTGCCCCATCAGTCTCTTATGTTCCAGTCACATACGGGTAGACTCCAGCGAAATCTGTCATAAATCAGCTGTTCGTCGTAGGGGTCGCTTTTGCACACCAAAGGCACATATATCTCGGATTAAGTAATCTATTTGTGGGTTCCCCTGCTAGCATGCTGATGACAGCAGCGCGCTTTGAAGGCTAGAGTGCCAGATTGCGCTAGTAAGCAGCAGGGAGTGGTCTCCTCAACAATGCTTATTTCAGGTGTGGTACGCTGCGTAGAGTAGCTGTCTTAACTAATCCAAACACAGTCGTCATGCCTGCGGCTTAGCAGAGCAGTAGGAGGAGATGGTGTTGTTAATGCATTCAGTCGTCGTGGCTCGTTAATGGGGATTTTAGCTAGGGAATGCTACTCAATGTTCACCTGAGGAACAACAAGACTGGCAAGTATGATGGAGGAGGTCACAGGTGTGCTTATTACAGATGTGCTGCCAGGAGTCTAGCCATCTGCTGGTCGTGCAGTGCGCCGTATTGATTTAGACCTTAAATTAGCTTCAAGCTATGTTACTCTGTCAAAAGTCTCCACAGCGTGACAAGGAGGCCAATAAGCAGCCGGACAAGTTGTTACCGAAGGCTAGGCGAAGAAATCAACCAGTACCTTTTTGGGCGTTGTCCGCTGTGGATACCCAGTAGGCGAAAGGCGACGCACGTGCGTAAATCCTACGACGCTCGAAAGGATCACGGTGAAGCAGGAATGTGTTGCTGCCTTCTATCTGCGAGTTATCTAATAACTGGAGCATAACAAGAGCAACGTGAATCATCAGTTTACTGGGCATATGACTTCACCGGCAACTTTCAAATCCCATTCACCCAGGAACAGGTGCAGAACGGTGCTTCACACTAGCACTTGCAAACTCGAGTATACATCTATGCTGGTAAGATTTATCAACACCACAGCTAGACTGTAGGGGACGCAGTTAGAGGGAATTTGATTATCCTGTAGGGGAGAGCTGCATTGCAATCTGCAGGAACGGCGTCTTAGTATTCAGCTGATACGTTCTGGATGGCCTTCAGAACAGAAGGCATATGCTTCAGTTGTGTGCTCAGCCGGCAATGGGATCTCAAGGCACTCCGGTGTTCGTCTTAAATAAAAACAAATATGAGTTTGGGGTTCCATGTGTTGGCTGCATGAACTGAGTCAAATCTGGAAAAACTTGAAGCAGACAAAAGTGTGGCATTTACCTTTGCACACATGCAAGGACGCGGCAAAGTTTAATGGGTTTGCACTGCATTACCAGAAGTTTGCAGTGATCTTACTTGGATCTGCTCCGTTGACTGAACTACATGGCGAAACGCAATCAGTGACCTGAACATAAGGGACTGATGGGGCAGCAAACAATGCCCATTGGCCGCCTTACAACTCCTGGACTACCGATACTTCATTGTCAGCGCCATGCCTTCCCGTCAACCAATTTCGGCCACGTAGCTGCGAGTGCTATTTTCTCCAAGCTCTTCGAATTTTTCGAATCATCAAACTATGTTTTTGTTTTTTTATCGCTTTACCCAAACAGAGTAGCAGGATACAGCGCGGAGACAGGAGCGCAATGCTGTGCGGTGGGGCCTGCAAAGATGCTTGTATTTTTAAATGGGCGTCATTTTGCCGAGCACGTCATCATCACTCTCTACTGTACTCTATGGAGAGCATTCAAGAGATTGATGAGCCTACTGTTGCTCACTAGTTTTAACGCCTCCTCCAGTTAGACTTTATGTGGTGTGTATTACAACGACCAACACAAGGGCAACCGAAGCGGACTCACAAAAGCCCCGGCGATTTACTCTTGTGCAGCCCGGTCGCTCTTTTTGTGATGAGTGACGGCTGCTGTCGGCGTGTGTGCGTCTTCGGTTTTTGACATCCATGCATTCGTAATTTGGCCAAAACCCAGAATGGCAAGAGGACAAAACATTAGTACATTTAAGTATACCTGCTTGGCTTCAAATGCAGCACGAACTCCGTCGCTTGTGCATTACGACTGTAATCAGTAGTGCCGTGTTGCACAAAGCAAAGGATCTTGTTCTTCCAGGACGTGGTGAACTTCACTCTCCAGTGGAAAAACTTTTGCGGTGCTTCTAGTGACGGGATGCTTCTAGCGGCAGACGGGCATGCACTTCCATGACCAGATTGTCAGCAAGTGAACTCCCTCAAATGTCCTTGATTCTTGCAGTCTTCAAAGCCTTACGGTCTTCCAAAGGATTTGGAATGAGTTGGACAGATGTGACAATGGGCTTTATTGCTGGACTACCCGAGGTCATAGGGCATGAGAGCATCTACGTCGTTCTCGACAACCTAAGCAAAATTGCCCGACTCATGGCTTGATTCAGCCTTTTCACTGCTCAGGAGGTCAAATCAATATTCTGAAGTTACGGGCTTCCTCGATGTATTGTTACGAACAGCTACTCGAAGTTCGTGACTTAGTGTACGCGAACGTGCGCGTAGAGCCCGCGAGGCAGAAGCACAGAATTATGACAGGAACCAGACGTCTATGTGTGTTTCAAGCCTGAATGCTTTTTCCTGGCAAATTGGCAGGCTCTTCGATGTGTGCAAGGAGGGAACCGTAAACAGAAGCTAACAGCCAGCTGGCTGGAACCACTTGTTCTCTCGAGAACTATCGGTCTTTTCTGATGAATTCCCCTGAGAGTTGATAGTGCTACAAAACTACCGTTTTTGCCTCCAAAAGAAGCTCCTTAGCTTCCAAACTTATTTGGGTACTCTGCGGCACAGGTACGTAGCCCTTGCGAAGACAGATAACTTCGAGAAAGCCGTAAGAAAGTGTTGGAGTCTAAGACTGTATTGAGCGCCGGCGACACAATAGGTGGAAATTTCTGCTTGGATGAGTTGTGAAATGCTAATTTCAGTGTTGAAGGAGAAGTGGTTATAGAATTCGCTCTCAAAAAAATGATTTGCCGCTTTGTTCTGTTCAAAGGCCATTCACCATGGGTGATGGTATTAGCATCTTAAGTACGTAGCGCACACTTTTCAGCGCCTTGTTTACAGAGAGGCATCCTAGGGTCTCCATCGTGTTGGCTTGGTCTCACGTGCTTGGTGGGCTACTGCATGTATCTTCCTTCCCTGCTGTTCGTTTTTTCGGCCTAATGACCACTCTGCCCTTTTCAACTCCCACTGCTGTTCAGGTTTCTGCATAGATGGAGAATGGCATTAGACGTGCCATTCTTTCGCTGTCCTTTGCATAGTTGGTCACGACGGAGAGCTAACGCGCGATATGTCTAGAAGTGGACGGAGGGGGCGAAAAATGTAGCAAGTTGAGGTATATTAAGGCACCTTCAAGTGCACTAGGTACATTTACTCAAGAATTACTGAAGAATTGACCAATTTCTTTGACTATACGTAGTTGTTAACTGTTGCCTACTACTGTTAGCTCGGTGCAAGAAGAGTTAATGTTATGTGCGTGTGTTTGGAGCCTAGCGGTGAATACTCGGAATGTACAGAGTGCACCAATGTGCGCCCAGGCTGGCCCTCTTCCCACTCTTGTGGAACTCAAAGGATCGGAAGAACGACGGAGCTTTTCGGAAAAGAGTTTGAATAGCTTTTGATTTAATGTGTATCGAGTCTGATTTTGCGTGTCTTCATACGTTGACCTTAGAAAAGGCACTGAACCAATATTTTCCTCTGAACAGGACGTGCTCTTCATGGCCTTGAACTTCTCAGCCCATCAACCGTCTGTATGCTCTTACTCCGTATGCTTGAGACCGTTGCCTCGCCTAGAATGCATTGTCAGTCCCGCAATCAGTGTATTTAAGATATACTCAAAGCATACTTGTAGGGGCTTTAAAGTGCCATGCCGTCTCTAACGCAAGTAAAACGACCATGTGCCGACGGATCTACTCTCTTATTTGAAGTGAACGAACAGGCATTTGATAAAACCGCTTTAAAAGCCCAAAGCTGAAATTTGGAAGCACGACCCGCTTACCGTGCTGCCACTACTTTTGCAGTTACTAGCTCTACGCAAGTAGAAGACGCAGAGGTGATAAGAAGTTGGGCAGCCAAGTTTTCCGCAACATTAAAGGGAAATTATAGGTGCTTGTCACTGTTCCAGTGCCTCGTCGCGTCACATTTTTCCTCTTGCTAAACTATGTGTACTCGTGTCTCTGCAAGTGGGTTTCTTTGTGTCTACTTTCGTCGAAATGTTTTCCTTTCTTCGTCCGGTCTCCCTGTTTAGTCATATTTTTTCTTGGCAGTTTTAGCATGCGCCTATGTAAATATCTGTACGTGTGTTTCCCTTTGGTGCCTTTTTTGAGTACCTCTAGCATATCCGAGCCTCTCACGTAATCACATGCACATCAATTTGCCCAGCGCATCAGACTGTCGAAAAGCAAAGCCCAGTGTCATACTGCGTTCTCCTCGAGGTCCCCCCATGTGCGCCCCCACCGAAAGCGAACTGCCAGGGGGGGCCCCTGAGGCAATGATGACTGGACCACCTCGTGCAGCCAGTCCCTGAAAATAGAAACACCACGTGGAGCAGGACACATTCTGGTGATGCACTTTTGGATGATGATGCTTCTGTCGTGGCGACTGCAACACTCAATGTTGCATATCTGGCTGCTGCACACGCTAGCAAACATGCCTGATAAATTTTGAAGAAACCCTTCAGAAATCACTGAGCTGTATTTCTTGATTTATTAGATAAGCCTTCCCACTTAATTCTTGGAATAAAAGACAAAAACGCCAACTTACAGAACGGCCTCGAGACCATCGGCTGTGGCTTCTACGAGGAAGCCGTCGCGCAGTAGCAGAAGAGGCAAACATGCGGGCGTCTCACGGGATAGGGAACGGCAGCAGCTATGCTCTCCTTGCGCTTCAAGGAGCTGCTCCTGTTTCTGGAGGAGCTTGTGTCGGTCTTGGGCATCGAGAAGGGAGTTACAAACAGCCAACAGGGCAGCCTTTGTTACTTCTATCGAGGATGCCTTTACAGACTGCCTGCAACAAGAACAGAGAGCGTGGCTTGTCCACCAGTGGCGGTAAGTGGAGGCTGGCCAAGCTCCGGCCAGATAAAAAGTTTCAAGCTGGCATTTCAACATGACCACCAACGAGCCGACGCTTGAAGAGACAGCAAGGAGATCAAGGAAAATCTCAGGGAAGAGCAGCAGTGGCACGAGGTCCCCAAAGGATTAGAGGCTGGTAACCAAGTGTGGGCTACCGAAGGACTGCAGACCGAAGAAACGAAACCAGCCGAAGAAGTGGGAGACAAAAGAAGAAGAGCCGAAAGAGTAACACAAGGAACAAGTTGGTGCGTAGTAGTAGTAGGTGCCTAGAAACTACTGGCGGTGCTTGGAGCCGGAGACAGCACTGAGAATCGCAAGGGCACCTATCGAGTAAGCAGAAGAACAGTCTTTCAAGGTAAACCCAATCAGACGAAGAACGATACTTCAAGTCCGCAACCGAACATAACACAAACGCAACCAGTTGATTGTGGAGCAGGGGGACCACAGGCATTGCTGGAACTAGAAATAGGGATTTTGCGATGCAGTTGAACAACAATCAGAGCCAGACCATTGCCATCGAGGCTCTTCTGTGGAAAAGGGGGCCCCAAAGAGCGTTGACGCTCGGCCAGAACCTTCGCAACGGGATATCCAAGCCCTCAATGCATGCGCTAACAGTTGCAGGTGCCCTTCCTGGAGGCCATTTTGCTGCTCGTACAACTCGCACAACACGCACTCGCCCGTCCCTGAAGTGTTTGAAACAAGGGGAAGTACAGATGAGACTTCGCAGTAGCTGCACTACACACGCGCTGAAGGGAGAGAGCAGCAATGAGCAGCAGTGTGAAGGGCAACGCACGCTGGAGGCGTTGCTGCTGGTGCAGCTGACACTGCGGACCCCAGCACCGCGCTTTAACAGCCGCAGCAGCTCCACATTCAGCTTATCCAGTACATCTGTTGCAGCGGTTGCAGCTGCCGACTTTTCGACCACTCCACCGTCTGGTGCTATTGTTTCTGGTCGCTTGCTGCTCTGCAGCAGCAGGTTCACCAGTGGCGCATACCCCGAAAGGTGGGCTACTACCCGCAACTGCAAAATACACAGGACCATCAGCCTGGGCATCCAGAATATTTACTTAGGAATGTGAAATAGCCGTGATAGCCGCTCTAGGATCCGAGGCGTCACGAAGACTGCAAAAGTACCATCAGACAACCCAAGACGCTGCACGCAGCACGACAAGGACTCACTTCGATGTGCTGCAACTCTACAGCCACCAGGACGAAGCCTTCTGCCGAGCCAACGACGGACCGAACGTCAAGCAAACCTACTGGTGGAAGCGCAGCGAGCTGTTCCTGTTGCTGCTGTTGCTGAATCCCTGACATCCAGCCCTCTACCCTGAAAGGAGCTTCCATTCGGAAGAGCAGAGACGCAGGTAGCAGCAGCGTTCTCGCGCCATCCGTGGCGGCTGGTATTAGCCTCGTTTCTGCCGTTTCGATCTGTGCCGGGTACAGCTGAACTGCAGCCATCCACGAGATTGAAGTGCCACCAGCTCCCAAATGCTGATATTCGCATTCCGATTGGGGAGCTGAGCCACGCTGTCCACCGCGAAAAATCCATAGGAGCTTTCCACTCTGACTCCCACACGTTCCTGTAGCGCTGCTGCACTGGCGGCTGCTCATGAAATGTTGCAATGCAGTGGGATGAATGTAAACATCCAAGCATGTTTCGGAGAGCCCCTCTGGCAGCGGAGGCTGTTTTCCTTGCGGCTGTTGGTGGTGATACTGCTGCTCTCCCCTGTGCAGCAGCAGCTGCAAGATCGTGTCTGTAGAAGGCTTGGAGCGTCTTGCTGCGTTCTCTAGCGTGGGCTGCTGCAGCCGGTGTTGCAGCAGCAGAAGTTCCTCGTGCAGCGTTTGCTGCTGCATGCTATTGAGGATATGCCGCGTTCGTGCCGCCTCAGTTACACCTGAAACAGCATGATGGACGGCTCCTGGAAGCCGCAGAGAAACCTCCCACCCCCGCATTGCTGACGTGACATGGCACATGTAGATGCGAGGGAAGAAGCCTCTGTTTGTCGAACTGCATTCTTGCTGTGGCTTCTGCGGTTCAGGGTGCTCCGAGGCTGAGCACAGGGGGTGGTGCCTCAAGGAGTGAGCTGCTGTATCCGCGGGAGCTGCAAAGCCTGCGTTTCCACTGATTCTTATACCTCTGAGTCTCATAGTTATTGAAGCAGCAACTGGTGACGCTGCAGCTGCGGCCACTGCAGCAATGGCATGCTGCAACGGTTGCAGCGTCCTATAGCAGCATAGAACCCATAGCAGCGGATGCTGGGATTGCATTCGCCGCAGCAGAGATGGAATCTGCAGGAAAACGGCGTAAAAAAGGACCGCAAATCTGCAACAGGGCTTTCAGCGTAGATACACAGCGAGTGGCAGCGGTATCACGAGCAGCAGCAGCAGCCACGAAAACAAGCACGCTAAAGCTCACCTCACGTGTCGGAAGCACATTAGGAACAGACGACAGCGACACACGGTTCTCGCTGCCGCTGCTGCTAGCGCAAGCATCCGCTAGCAACACCTGCATTACATCCGGCGTCTGCAGCAGCACATTTCTAAGTGCCTGGCAATCGGAGATGACAAAAGGACGGCCTAGCAGTCGTACTGTTGCTTCCTGCAAAGTCAAAACAAAACAGGATTGCAGCTGCTGCAGCTGGATTCACAGACGCTGGTGCGTCTGGGGAAGCCTTCATGCAGCTGAGGGTGCAACTGCCTCTGCGCTATTGATGCTGGTTTCGGTGTGGCTGGTTCAGGCCTCACCTGCAGAAGTCGCAAGCAGTGCGCCCCTCTATTCAACAACTGTTGCAAAGGGTGCAGCAACAATGGAAATCCTTGCTGCTGCATGCGGAGGAGGGGAAGAGAGAGGGGGCACTCAAGGTTTCTGTAGGCCTCTAACAATCCCCTGTCTTCAAGATGCTCACCCATAACCTGTAACGAGCAGAGGCGGCAGCATCGAACCCGGAGCATCACGTGCAGTGTATTGCCCACTGTCAATACACCCTGCCGTTCAGAAGGGTGCCCGTAAGAAGAAACAGCAAAAGGAAACGGCCAGCGGTCATTTACATCTTGTTGCCGCTGCTCTTGTAGATCTTTGTGTGGAGCTAAATGGATTATGCATGCACACTTACTGCCAGGAGACAAAGCATACAAAACGCCTCCCAACTGGCTGCTGCTGCGAGGGGCAGCAATCGCTTCTGGCCACTGCTGCTCCCGAGGCTGCTGCTCTTGAAATTTCTCTGACTCCTGCGGCTGCTGGTGCTGCTGCTGTGAGTTGTAACGCGCAGCTTGTACAGAGAGCACCAATCCTGAATAGAAAAAGGAAGCGTATTATTATCAGCAGCAGCAGAACCACCATCTCCACCATCCAGATCAGCTGAGGCAGCAGCTGAGGCTGCTACCGGTGCTGTCGCAGCTGCTGTTGCCGCCATCGCGTGTGGGTCTGTTGACTCCAATGCTTCATACATTCCATCTGTGCATTCAGCAGCTCTGCTGGCAGCGGCATGGGTATGCAGTTTCCCTCGTTGCAGCAACATTGCATGCGGCAGCTTGGGGTCCATGAGTTTGACGTTGCTGCTGCGCAGACACCCGAGAAGGCGGGGGAGCCCTTCCCACTCAGCTGCGTCTGCAACAACCAGGCAATGCCTCCTTTCTCCTAGCCAGCTCTCTACAGCATGAGGAAGCCTCGACCTCCTACATTCGTCGCTTGTATCTCTGCTGGCGCCGGCGGACTGCTGCAGAGGGACGAAGAAACATCCGTCACGGGGAGACACCAGCAGCAACGCGACAGGAGCCGCTTCTGCTGATGCCAACGCCTCCACCGATACAGCTGCTTGTGCCTCACTTCGCTCAGGAGAGACGTCTTTTGCTGCAGCCTCGAGCTGCCGACTGCGCGCCGCAGGAGAGCCATACGGCATCGCCTCCTCGCAGCTGCAGCTGCTGCTGCTTGTTTCAGTAACCCCACTGCTGCAGCTCTCGACGGAGCTGCATCGGCCACCAGCCTGCCTCCTGTCTCGCCTTCTTCCTGCAGGTGCCGCAGCAGCACCCTTTGCAGGAGCAGCTTCAGGTTCGCTCCATATAACGCATGCAGCAAAAACAAGAGACCGGCGGAGTGCTGCTCCCAGACGTTCGGCGGTTCTGCCATCGCTGCAGTCCTGAAACTCCAACAGAGCTTCATCGATGGAGATACACAGACTGTCGCTCTCATACTGCGTCCTTATCGATCCCGTTGCTGCCTCGAAAGCTGCAGCAACCACGGGAGACGATGGTGCTTCTGCCCGTACGGGTGATCCGGCGCCACGCGGATCTGCAGCAGCATTCTTGCGAGGAATCTCTCCAAGAGGCCCCTCCAGGACTGCCGTGCTGCAGAGACTCCACAAGGAAGGCCAGGGTAACCGGCGCAAGCTCTGAAAGTGCTTGTTCTGCGCTTGCGACTGCTTGTCTGTGGCCGCTTTGTGCCGCTCCGGATAGGCCATAGCCTCAGCAAGACGCTTTCGCCGTTGCTGCTGCTGCTCTTTGCGTTGGTGCTGCTGTGCAGGCTTGTCTTGGTGCTCGGGGGGCACCAAGATACCGCTTTTGGGGGGTCCTACTGAAGCTAGTGATATGCAGGTATCCTGTGCGGCGTTTTCCCATGGCATTTCCTGCTTTTCTCGCTGCACAGGTTGCGTCACAACGAGAGAGTTCTGCTGCTGGTGCTGAGCGGAATGAAAATGCGACTGCAGTTTCACCTGCTGCAGCTGGAAGTCTTCGGGGATCCCAGAAAAATGCTGCCGCTGCCGTTCATTGCATTTCCCCTCCTGCTGCTCAACTCGCTGGAACTGCTGTTGTTGCTGCCCGCGTGGTTGCTCACGCATGCATGCATGCGCACGCTGCAGCTGGGGGGGCACCTGCTGCTGTCTCAGCTGCTGGTGTCGCTGTGCGTGCTGCGCTTGCTGCTGCTCCAGTAGCTGCAAAGCCTCCTGCGGCTTCGTTGCCTGCGGCAAACACGCATCGCATACCTTGAGGCCGAAAACTCCAGCAACAAAGACACGAAAAGCACTTGTCAACGCCGCGGTAGAAGCAGCTGTATCAAACAGCGCAAGGCCAACAATGGCGAGTCACAAAAGCGCTGCAGTGTAGTGTGAAAGCCAGAAACAGTAGAGGCCTAGGCTGCAAGCGTCTTCCCACGCCCCCCTCTCCCCGTCCCTCAGAAAGGAGTAGCAACCTCCATGACGACTTGGAAAGAGCAGCAAGACATTTTTGCCTTATTCCGAGGCGCAGACCACAAACAAAGGCGGATGAAGAAGGGAGAAAAGAATAAGACAGCAGCCCTTACGCGTCTTCTGCAGTACTTTCTGAGTCCCTTGCGGATCTTCCGTGTAAGGTCTGCAGCTGCCTGATTTGCATGCAACACTATGTGCTGCAGCGTCGAGCAGCGCAAGTGCACTGCCAGCACACGCAAAAGCTTCTGCGGTGGCACTGCGGCAAGCTGTTGGGGTGTACGGACGTTAAGGTACTGCCGCAGCATCCGGGCAATAGGCAGAGAAATGCCATCGACCTGCAACAGCTCGAGCATTTGCTGCTGCTCGGGAGCTTCGTGCAGCAGCAGTCGCTGTCGCAGCTGTAGCAGCAGAGTTGAGACGATCCAATGCCCCAGTCTGTTGCAGAGGGATGCAATCAGGGACGCGTTGAGCAGCGCCTGTTGCTGCAGCTGCTGCACGAGAGACTCTTCCCACCTAAAGCTCTTCGCCACGTGCTGCACCGGAACGCCTCGTAACAGAGACACCAGAGCCAGTGTCGCACGAAGACGCACAAAAGCAAAGGGGCTGTTGAGGGCCCAATGTGGGGAAGCGTCAGAAGGCGGCGCTTCTCGATGGCGATCCTTAAGGCGACTTCCTCCCAAGGAAGACTTCTTTGGAGAGGCATGCGGTGTGGTCTCAAGGAGCACTACGTTCTCTGCTGCTTCTGCTGGCTGCTGCCCCTGAGGAAGTTGGTGCGACTGCTGCTCTCGCAGGCGCCTAGACTGCTGTGCTTGTTTTGCTTCCCTAGGTGTGGCTATCACACTGGGGAGAGAAGACGAGGCGTAAGTAGGCCTTGGAAGCAGCATGAACTCTCGGAGCTGCTGCAGTCCGACTCCCATGTGATCCAAAGCAAGTCGTTCGGAGGGTTGCATGCGCAGCAGCGTTCTTTCGAGGTGCCTTAGGTCGTCAGCTGTGAGCGCAGCGCCGGCAGCCGCTGTTTCTCCTCCTTTTCCCTCTGCCGCACCCTGAGGAAGCGGCAGGGTAGGAGCCACCAAGTAGACCAAGGGGATATCGTCGTGCAGCGCTAGTCTGCTACTTGCAGCAGCGACACACGCGCAAGCCGCTGCACCATCCTCCGGGGAGAGAGCAACCGAGGCAATGGCTCGTCCTTTCGCCGTCGCCTCGTAGTGCCCAGCAGCGAATCTCACAAGACCCAGGCGCAGCAACACAGCCACTGCCTGCACTATTTCTCGCTGCACGATTTCAGACAGCTGATGGTCTCTGCGCTCCGGTGCTGCTCGCGACGTCTCAACCTGCGCCTCCAGTCTGAGGCGGTGCTGCAGTACCAAAAAGGTACAGCATGCAAGCAAAGCGAGCTCTGTGTTGCTGCCGCTGCAGCGCAAGGCTCCGCTGCTGCAGCTAAGGGCACCAAGAATGAGACGCTGCAACCCCTGCCGCTCTCCCCCCAAAGCACTTTGCACCGAGGGAGGCCCCTGGAGCAGCAGCTCCTTCACTCTCTCGACTTCCGACGCCTTGCAAAGGACGATTGCACGACCCCCCTTCTGCTGCTGCTGGCTCTGCAATCGAGACTTGTCTTGCATGCGACCTGCTCGACCTGCCATCTGCTTGTAGTGGGCGGCATCAAGGAAGCCGCTGCCCACATGTGGGGAGTCGAAGAGGACGGAACTGACAGACATCATTGCGGCACAGGATTCTCTGGAGAAGCACACTTGCAGCACCAGGCACCACAGCACCCTCATGGGTGTACGGAAAGGCCCCTCCCTCCCTCTTCGAGAGCATTCAAGCGAGCAGCAAGAAACGCGTCCAGCAGCGGCAGAAGGTGCAGGCATGCATAGGCTACGCGAGGGGAGAGTAGTCCGCAACTAGAAAGACACGTCGAACCGCCAAATGCCTCCCTGCAAAGGCGCCAGCAGCAGCACGCGCAGCAGCAGCCCACCAACGCCTGACAAGGGAAAAGACGCTGCTTTCTATCGTGCGTGTTGCAACGACGAAGACAACGGCAGCAGCAGCAGCAGCAGCTTACTCGCAAGGAAAGTTGACTCCCGCAGCGAGGGTGGAAGTAGCCGTAAGAACCTTTACAAGGCCCTCCTTAAAGAAAGATACCGCCAGTCGCTTCTCTTCAACCGTGAGCGCAGCATGATGTATGGAGACTCCAGAAGCGGCAGCAAAGGCCACTGTGCTTTTGATGGTGCCCCCCTGAAGCACCGCCACGTTGTTGATACGACGCATGCGTAAATCTGCTGCAGCCGCAGAAAGAAAGCCATGCTGCTCTTTTGGATGCTGAGGCATCCGAATGCGCTGCTGCAGGAGGGGCATTACGTAATCCGCGACAAGCAGCGCCACAGCCTCCGCTGCAGCTTTGCTGCGACAGAAGATAAGAACGCTATCGTCTTGCAGCAGCAGCAGGAGCAGCACCCGCAACAAGGGTTCTCGTGCGGCAGCAGAGGCCACCAACGGTCGAGACAGTTCAGCTTGCACCTTGTAATGTGGATTTTGCCACTCTTGTTGCTTTTCGCCCTGTCGGTGAAGCAGATGCGGAAGCAGCGGTGTCAAAGGCGATGGCAGAGTGACTTCTTGCCACGGCTGCTCCGTGTTTATATTCGCAGGAGCAGCAGCCGATTTCACGAAAAGGCGCACTTGGGCTTTACTCTTTGATGCCGTAGGCTCCCTCGCTGCCTTGCCATGAGCCTTCGCACGAACAGCAGCCTTAATGGCAGGTGCGTAGCTGCAGCAGTAGGCTTCTTGCAGAGGCAGGGGGCGCTGCTCGCTGGAGTAAACCGCTGCGGAGAGCCACGAAGCAACTTCTGACAAATTGCTGAGTGTGGCAGACATTCCGACAACCTGGATGGGAAGCAGATGCGTCAGCTGCTCTTGTTTCGGTTCCAGGAGGCCTTGTTTGAGCTGCTGCTGGTGCAGCCGCAGTTTTATATTGGAATACACAATGCGCGAGAGGAGGCATTCGATCAGAGCGCCTCGTGTGGGGTCGCCTAGCGCGTGCAGCTCATCTACGACGACCAACCCCACGCGCTTCAGCAGCAAGGCCTTTTCCGCTAGATGCTGCAGCAACGCTCCTGCCTTCTCGATGGTGCAGAAAGCAATATCGAATGCTGCCGGATCATCGGCTGCGGTGTCTATTGCGGGTGTGCCTTTGCTGCAGTGGTGCAACGCAATGACCTTTATCGGCAGCGAGGCAGCGGCAAATAGACGCTGCAGCTTCTGCTGCTGCTCTTCTATCAAAGACACGAACGGGAGCACTACAATGACTCTTCTAGGGGGAACTGCATCTCCCGCCGATCCGTCTGATACTTGCGGCGAGCTTAACAGCGACTTGCCGACCTCCTCTGCAGTAGCCGCTGGAGTTGCACGGGGGGCAGTAGGCCAACTCAGCTGTCGCGGCTGCTCTTGATACTCGAGCTCCTTCTGCTGAGTGTCACGAGGCGGCAAACGCAGCAAGCCGAAGATGTGACGCAGCATCAACACCTCGCTGACGAGCGTCTTGCCTGCTCCTGTAGGAGCTGAATACACCAGATTCAACGATCCATCTAAGATTCGCTGCGACTCAGCAGCCAATGCAGCCTTGGCCCCCCAACGCAACGCGATGCCTGCCGCAACAGCTGCTGCACTTGCTGCTGATGAGGCATCACCTCTCTCGCTAGCTCCGCTTTCTGCTGCCTCCGAGGCTGCTGATGACTGTGCTGCATCCTCACCCAGACATGAAGAAGCGCCATTGCCACCAGTAGGGGAACGCGAGACGAGGAGGCAGTCCCTTTGCCAAGGAAGGAGGCAAGTAACTTCTCGTGTCTCTCGCATGGCTTCGATAAGCTGTCGAATAGGGACGAAAACATCCAAATTCAAGCCTCCTCGTGCATCTTCGGCGGCAGTCGTAGCGCCTACGGCCTGGAGAGCTTCTGCCGACACTTGCTGCTGCTGCTGCTGCTCCAGATGCGCATTTAGTTGCTGCTGGCAGCAGTGCCGTTGCAGTCGCGTGGAGGGAGAGTTCGCTCTTTGTTCAGCATGCAGAGAGTCGTTCACTTGTTGCTTACGCGGTGATTGCGGTTGGAGGGGCGGCCGCAATTGCCGCTGCAGCAGGCTGCTCTGCTGCGAATTCAGTTGGAGGCTTATTAGCTCTCTCTGCCATCCAGCATGTGCCGTCCCCCGCTGCGCGCTGCCTGGGGGAAAACGCTCTAACTGCGGAGAGCCTTGCTGCTGTTGCTGCTGCAAACTGTGATCTTGGTGTGAGCCATATTGCTCCTCCTGCTGCAGCAGAGCTACTACTGCGTCCTGCTGTTGGTCTCGCCGCTGATGCTGACATTTCGGTATCTGCGGAGAGGCGTCCGCTGCCTGCCAGCTCTTCGCTTCATTCGCTCTGCGTTTCCGCTCTACTTCGGTGTGTAATAAAAGGCAGCTCGGCGGAACAGCCTGAGGATACTGCTGCCTTGCTTGCTGCTGCAGCTGAAGGGGCCGCATTGAAGAAGGCCTCTGCAGGGATGGCACTTGATCCTGCTCCAGGATAGACATGCGCCCTTTGCCTGCCTGTGGCTGCTCTGACTCGCTCCGACTTTGCGGATGTCGTTCCTGCGGCAGCGACTTCTGCTGCACCTGCAGCAGATAGGATGGCTGCTGGGTTGAGTGGGGGTCTGGGAAGGCGTCGATGATGCGTTCTGACGCAAAATGCGCTTGCGTTCTTCTTGTTCGTGCTCCTGATTGGACTGACTGGGATCATAATCCTCGCTGCAAACTCGCGGCTGCCCAGCGGCTTGCTTCTCGGATGCGGCAAAGGCTATCCAGGCTTGTCCTCCGGCTGCTGCCGGTGCAGCAACAGGTTCCGCTGCTGCTGCGACACTCCACGCCTCTGACGCAGAAGCCTCATGCTGGGCTGTCAGACTGTACGTTCGGGCGCTGCGGCATGTCGGGGATCATTACTCGCAGGTGCCAGGAGAAACTGCTGCCGCCTCAGCGTGTGACTGGGCAGCAGGAACAACAGCAGCTGCTGCTGAGCTGTTCCCTAGCGTCGCCATTGAGGGACTGGTTTCGAGTGGAGAGGGCACACAGATCTGGTGCAGCCGTGTTGCTGCTTTTCCAGCCCTTCTCGCCGATGCAAGACGTCGCTCTGCTATGTTTCTATGGTCAGCATTACAGTGCACGACTTTTCGTCATGCTTTTTGCGGTCCTCGTACTGCTGAGTCCTCATACTGCTGCCGACAGCTCTGCATGCGCAAGCCAGCTGCCGCCGACTGCAGGAGCAGCGACGGCGTGATTCGGGATTCTTTTGCCTTCTTTTAGGCGTATTTTGCCCTTTTTACAGTTATTTACTGCCATAACATAGCTGCAGCTGCTTGCTGGACGGCATTAGGCGCCTTGATGGCCCCACAACCGTTGCTTTGTGTGTTGCGGCTGCTGCTGTGTGGTCTCGAAGAGCAGGCGTGTGCATCACGATAGCATTTTTGAAAGCCGCTTTCTTTGCGGGTGTCACTACTCCACAATTCCCAAGGGTAGCAGCCCCTTGAGACTCCCGCACCTTCCCACGTTATTGCACCAGCTGCAGCGCCGCAGCAAAGACACAGCTGTTCTATGATGCACCCAGAGAGCCCTTATAGAGCTGCAGGATGCTGACTACAGAGTAGCGCATAGTAGACAGCTTCTTGCTGCAGCAATCGCCTGCTGCATCAGGAGATACCATGTGGCCCTCAAACCAGCAGCTTCGCAGCGCAGTCCGCGAGGAGGAAACTCCCAAAGCGCAGCTTGCGACTCCTCCGCCGTCAGATGCTCAGGAGGAGGATCGAAGTTATGATAATGATGGTGACAATGGGCGTCTTCCATCGCCTCCTGACTCGGGTTCGTCTCGCCCAGAAACCTCTCTAGGCCGGCAACTGCTCCTGCAGCAGCAGCGGCAGCAGCAAATATTGTTGTCGTACCAGCAGATCCTTGAATTGGTGCAACGCCAGCAGCAACAGCTGCTGCAGTGGCAAGAGCAGCAGCAGCAACAGCTCCAGGAGAATCAGCTCCCTTGGCTGTCAGACAGCCTGAGGGCCCTGCTGCCTCCGCATGTTCTGTCCTGGCTCTCAAGGGGTATTTCTTCGAACGCAAGTAGCAAAAGAAGTCATTGGGGGGGGCAGAGCAGTCGGAAACTGGATGCAGAGGAGAACAAGGGGGGCTGGAACCTAACAGCAGCAGCCATTCAGCAGCTCGGAGCAGCCGCCCCTCGGCAGCACGCAGCAACGGGCACTGCGTCTCCCGATGCGGCTACTGCTGCAGCTGCCTCCACATTCAGTAAAGCGTCGGCGCATGCAGTATCTCTGTCCAGGTCAGACTCCTCTGGCCGCAAGAAACAGCAGCCACAACATGAGCAGCAGCAGCAGCAGCAGCCGCAGCAGCAGCAGCAGCAGCAGCAGCAGCAGGCCACCCCCCCTCGAGGCCGTGCTCGTTCTCGTGCCGCTGCTGCTGCTGGCGCTGGCGCTGGCGCTGCCGCTGCTGCACTGTCTCATCAGCAGACGCAGCAGCAGCAGCCTCTGGATGCGGAGGGCACCAACTGGCTGTTGCGTTGTGAAGGGCGGCGTCTGGGCTTGTGTATTCGCCGGGAGCACGTAGAACACTCGTTAGATCCCCGTTACACTCACAACGTGAAGCTCTCTCAGGATAGGAGCACAGCGACTGGTAGGCCTCCCCCCGACACGCTTCCCCCTCTAAGTGCTGCTCCGGAGGCTCCAGGTGTATCTACGGTGATGCCGTGATGGGCTGGCCTTCTCGCGAGCAGTGCCCCGTTGGCAGTGTGTAGTGTCTGCGCCGAGTGCAGCTCCTCCCATCACCCCGTCTGTCTGCGCTTCCTGCCGTTGCTGCGTGGAGCCAATCGGCGGTACAGCTGCTGTTTTGGTGTGTCGCAGGAGGTCGCAACTGGGGGAGTTCTCTGTGCCGATGTTGCTGCAGTTGGGGATCCTTCTACTTCGAGGTAAAAGTGGGCCCTTTGGCGGCTCAAAACTGCGGGCCGGATCGTCAGGCGGCTTCTTGCCTCGCAGCGCAGGTTCCCGCTTTGGGAGTCAAAGGCTGGGGGACGTGCAAAACGATGCGAGACGTTGTCAGGGTAAGTAGCAGCGGAGGCGCCAGCTGCGTCTGCCTCTCACGCACTTCTCGCGATTCTCGAGCGACCCACAGAGACCCTATGCAGCGTGCTAGAACGTGCACCTCTGAGTCGCGGCTCGAGTGTCTGCCTTTCGCCTCCCCTCGCGCCAGCGCATGCATGCACAGCGAGCCGCTGAGGGGCTTGCGCTAGCTCGCTCCGGCAGTCTGGGCATCTGTGTTTGTTCGAAGTCGGGTTGCGCGGTCCGCCTCGGGGAGTATCTGGGCGTTGGCTTCCGAGCTTGCAGGGTGCGTGGATGCGCAGGAGTTCGGAGAGGAGTATGCCATCAGCGAGCACAACGCACTGGCGCCTTGTCTACGCGTCGGTTTCTGCTCCCGCCTCTCGCCTCCTAGGGCTCCTATTGGCTCGAACCCTTTCGGCTACGCCATTGGCTCCTACTGCGAGCTTCCGCACGGTCGAGAACGACGGCACCGGGAGCGATGTGCGTGCAGCTGCACGAGCTGCAAGGAATCCTGCAGCAGCAAGGGGGATCTCAGAGTTCCCGAAGGCGGAGGCGCTTTATTGGAGACAGTTCGGGGCGCACCGCGCCGCAGGGGCCTCTTCGTCGTAACTCGGGGTCGTCGAAAACGCCTGAAGCCTTCGCTGATTTCTTTCCCCCTCCAGGGCGCCACTGCTGCTGCTGACGGCGCCTCAGAAGCATCGAGGATCGGAGGCAATGCTGGTGGAGACGCCTTGGAGGGGGGCCCCTCCTCCACGGATACCGATATGCGAGGCCCCCCCCCGCTGGGCAGTGCAGCAGAAGAGGATCCTGCTGCTGCTGCCCTGGACGAAGCAGTGGCTGCCGCGGCAGGATCCTTGGCCGCAAACTCCAAAGGGGGAGGCTGTTGCGCCTGCGGATGCGCAGTGTGCGGGGGAGACAGCGATGAATATGCGGCTTCAGGCGTGCCCCCCCCCTTGCAAGAAGGCGACATTGTGGGGTGCTTTATTCATCTTCCAGGAAGGCCTCCGGTGGCGCTGGAGGATCCTCGAGGCAGAACCAACCTGTGGCCATTCTTACAGCAAGGTACATGTGCGTGCATCCGTAGGGAGCTGAAACCGCAACTTCGCGTGTCTTCGCTCTCTAGCACCCGCTACAGCTTCCGTTTGCCTACCGATCCAACCGGTGCTTCTGCTTTCGAACGGCACAGAGGGATTCTCGAACACACGAGACGGCCTACTGCTCGTGTTCGCTATCGTGTCCACGTTTCTCTCGCTTCGGTAGCGCTGTCTGCACGCATCTAGTGCTGCTGTGTAGACCTCTTCGGGCTTCAGAATGTGAAGTAGGAGCGCTTGCGCGCTTTTGCAGGGCTGCTGTGCGACGTTACACACGATTCAACGCTGCCTGAGGGAGTTCCGTATCCGAGCTCCTTTATTTCGTTCTCTGTTAATGGCCGCCTGTATCACCGAGCTCTCGGACCCCTCCTTTGCTGCGAACTCCACCCCGCTGTCTCGCTCTTCAATGGAGCCTCCGCTACCATCAATCTGGGACCACACTTCGCGTATCTCCCGGCAGCGCTTCAACGACACTTTAGGTATGTGCGACGGCCTTTAAAGGATTCTTCCGCTGCTGTGTTTTGCATGCTGATGCAATGTAGTGCGCGGTGCTCCCACGGGAGGAGAGCAGGGGGACTGCTGCAGGCAGGGGTCGGTGGTGGCATGCCCTGTGCACAACTGGAGGGGCTGCTGTGTTTGCCGTTGCCGCGTGTAGACCAGCACAAGAGATGCTGACCTCCGTATACCCCTTGAAGCACGATCTTGTCAAGTTCTATCTCCTGGCTGCGGATAGCTTGAGCGGCGCAGACGGCACGCAGGAAGGAGCAGAAGATGGCAAGCAGCATCCTAAGCGGTTGCGAACACTTGCCGAGGTAGAAGGGATGAAGGACGAGCCTCAAGAAGGCCCCATCCCCCTCCAGCAGCAGGGTCCCTTGCGCTTCGTGCCCTTTGATGAGGATACCCATCTCCGTAAACTCAAGGCGGCAGCGCCACAGTTCCCTCCCAGTGCAGCTCCCGTTTCACAGCAGCAGAACTAGCTTTGTAGCCTCCATTGACGGCACCCTGTAAGACGCAAGCTGCATCCAAAACAGGATAAAGGCAGGCCATCACCGCATGTTCAGGTAGCAGAACTGCGGCTTGGTCCCTGCCCCTACCGCTGCGCTTGCGGCGACAATTCCGCTTGCGCGAGGGTGTGCACGAGCAAGCTGAGCAGGGCCTGAACGCGTCTCTTGGCTTAGCTGCATCTGCATGCAAAAACATGCCATTTGAGCCTGAATAATACAACGGCATGGCAGCAACTGCATTTGCTGCTGACCATTGTGGGGCCTCAGATGTGACGGACTTTGTCGGTTTTTAGGCGCTTCATGAAATGCTCTCTTGTGCTGTTTCCATTTGGCTTCATTCCATGGTACGCGTTAGCCGTGAAAATCGAACTCTTCGCAGGGTGAGCTGCAGCTTCTAGCTGTGACAAAGTGCGTGCATATAATCGCGTGTAAGCACAGCTGCTCCGACAAAAAAGTGCAGCCATTTAAGCTCCTGAGCTACTTCCCATGTCGCTAGCCCGTATAAGTACATCGCATGAATGCTTTTTAGGCCGCTACGATTCCACCAGTTGATTTTTCTTTGTATCACGGCGAGAGGCCACGATTTCAATAGTAGCAGCAGACAGCTATCAGTAGAGGACCACCTCATGGCGCATTTGGGGTGCCCTGTCTGCTTCTTTGGGCGGCGTCCCTAGAGCGGCACCTCTTCTAACCACAGGCCTGGTGCTACTTCTAAAGATTGATGCAACTTATAGACGGAAAGGCGAAACGCAGTAAGCTGCAGCTGGATGCTCAAGATCCATAGCCATTGAAAGCAGGTGTGAGGGACTAAAAACGGGTGGAGGTGTCTCGGAGGCAGCCAGGGGTACAAACACCACGAGGTCACGACTCTAAACTGTGTAGCGGCGGCAGTTGACCACAGTCAGAAAAAAAACCCAAATCTTTGGGCCTGGTGAGAAAGTTCGCAAGAAGTGACCATTCTCCAATGAGGAACAGAGCATGCTCGAGCCCAATGGCCCTCGGCAAAGGTACTACTGAAGTCTTCTTTTGCATTTTTGAAGCGAGTTTAGAAGCTCTTCTACTTCGTCACTCTACCCGCCTATCATTATGTGGGCATCTTCTCGTTTATGCTCATTGGTTTAGAGTACCACCGTCTAGCGAGTGGGGCCAGGGGGCAAAAACAAAAATAGTACCACAATCCGGACCGAGGGAGACATGAAGTGCACATACAGAAGCACACAAAGACGATGATACAATCAGTCGAGTCCCAACTCCCCACAGTCCGTCAGAGATTTGTGATGGCATGGAGGTACCGTTGCTGCTACTGCAGGAGCCATTGCGAGGGGTGTTGCTGCGCGGAGCGATGGGCAGCAGCGAATGCTAGGAGAGGACATCCGCAAGCCTACAGGTGCATGGCACAGAGCAAAGAGCATCAAAGTATTACTTGTGATGCTGGTGCCGCGATGGGTAGCTTGCCAGCGGTAATCAAAACGAATACAAATGTGGGAGAGCAGAAAGGTCTCAACGAGAGCACAAAAAGCGAGATTCGGAGGAAGCGCATGACAGAATATACAAATTTTAGGGTTGTCTAAACCGAAAGGCGTGTGACTACGGCTAGCTCACCATTCCATGGCAGCATCAAGGCCCTCTCCCTTAACGGCAGAAGCGCTGAAAACCGACCAGCGGCGGTCTCTCAGAGTAGGTAGGCCAAGAGCCATCGATATCTGTGCGAGGCAGGAAACATATATGCACTTTGTGAGGACGAGAATGGAGGAACACAAATACCAAGATCTGAGCGGGAGCTAATGTCAGCCAGAAGGCACCGAGACGCACATACACTGCGAGGCACATTTAGTACACGCACTATATGAAACAGAGACGCACATGGATTCAGATAACAGAGAAGTGCCCAAAGTCATCCAAAGGATGGCATATATACACCCAATCCCACACTCCAAATCGGACCTCGCCAACCTGCAGAGATCAGCTATTATCTGCACAGGAGATCTGAACCGTCCGTCTTTTCCTAAAACGCCACGCGGAGCAGAGCAACCCTTTTCAAGTTAACAGCACAAGCATCGTACCTCGCCCTCGTTGAGTGCCCGCGGCAGATCCTGTTTGTTTGCAATTATAGCAAGAGCTACATCCTTTAGTTCCTCCTCCTGCGCAATGAACCACATGCACGCTGCAGGTGGTACTCTTGCTATTCCTTCACTTGCTGCTTCGTGGCCCGTAACTGCGTCTGCGTCGCTCTACAACTTCCATCCCATTGCTACTGCACTCTACCTCGAGCATAAGGAGCAGCTCTTGTCTGGCATCAGGTAGCCTCTCCACATCTGCGCTATCCACCACGTAAATAAGGGCCTGCGTGTTGGGGTAATAGCACCTCCAGTAAGGCCTGCAAAAACACGAGCTCTTGACCGTAATTTGCACTAAAAGGCAGCCGGCACCCATGGGGTTTGCACGAAGGTGGATGTACACAGTGACATCTGCACTACCACCAACAATACTCTGCAGGATTACGGTGAATATCTTAACTAGCTACAATTTTATGCTTGCCTGATGGAAGTTTGCCCGCCCAAGTCCCAGACTTGGAACTCTATGTTTTTGTATTTCACTGTCTCCACATTGAAACCAATGGCTGCGAAAGAGACAAACACACATTCACATACACACACACACACACAAACACACACACACACACACACACACACACACACACACACGTGCGCTGATGACGCTGCCACTGCTGATCCTTTTGTTGCCATGATCAACGCTGTTGCTGCTTACGCAAGTGGGGTTACCAATCGTGATTTTGCGAGCAATGATTCAACTCATGTGTCAGTTTTGCTGCTACTGTGATTTTTATGGATGCAAGGATGCCCACTCGGTACTGTTTGGATGACCTCATTCAGGTGCAGGCGGTCTGCAGGCCAAGACATGAAACGCAACAACTCTTCTGTTGCGTTTGCCACAGGCGCTGCCCAGCATCCATGGCCGCTAAAATAGTTGTGACTGCAGCTCCTTCTGGTGCGATGAGCAGCTTGAACGTCGAGGACTCTCTAGTAGGCTGCCAACCAGGCAGCAAGGGTAGCAGCGTCAGCGATCGAGGAAAACATCTCAGGTATAAGGAAGTGTAGCGGCGGCAGAGGCAGCGCAGCCTGCGCGATTGTGCGTCACTCACAAAGTATGGTAGTTTTGCCAGCGTTGTCCAAGCCGAGGATCAACACGCGCACTTCACGGCCCCCGAAGAACCGGGGGAACCAAGAAGATAGAGCCCCTCCCATGGCCTAAACCCGTAGTTTTACAATCTCAGATGAAAGACATTGAGGCTATGAGCCTGTAGAGTCTGCTTATTTGTGTGTCTCAAGAATTAGAGCTGTCCGGCTCGAAGTAGACAGCGAAAAGGCCTGGAAGGCCGTCCAAATCCCCTAGACGAGCGACCGCAACCGTAGAGGATATATAGAGAGGGAGATTTCCCACAGCTGAGCCCTCGAGGTGCAGGAAACAAGAAGGCGACAGCATTAGCTGGCTTTCGTCGATCTGCAGCCGCAGTTGCTGCTAGCTGGTGTGGTCGCTGTAGCTGGTGCTGTAGCGGGCGCTGTTACGAAGTGTGTCCCTGCCACTGCTGCTCCACAACGGCAGCATGCATTGGCAGCAGCTGAAAGCGACGAATTTTGGAGCTTTCATACACGGCAGACATGTGCAGCTCCACAGAGCAATAAATGTTAGTTCCACCCTGTTGCTGCTACGGGATGCTGATGAAGCTACTGCTGCGAAGAGCCCCAGCAGCGACAGGAAGACCGGATCAACAGAGAAAGAGGCAGCAGTAACAGGTAGAAAGATGACTATGTATTACGTAAAGCAGTTCGAGAGCTCTAGCTGCGCTTTACTTGTGGCTGCATGTGAACAGGCAGGTTAAAGACCACCGCATGCAGCAGTGGCTCCTGCCACCACACAAGGGCACAAAGGATTAAAATGTCTTTCTTTACATGAAATAAGCATACTTCAGGCATCCTATGATGTCCCAAGCTCTTAACGCGCACTGTCATCTGGATTGAAGTATCCTTATTGTATGCTCGCCACAGGCACTGGACAAGGATCGTTGACGACCAACCTAGTCGCCCTGCATTATTGGTATCCGTTTGCCGCATTAGCAACAGCTGTGTTTAATAATGATATGCAAGTGTTTGCATGACCAAATGCAGGAGCCCCAACAGACAATTTGTGGCGAGATAAAAATGGAACGTACACCCTTAAGCTTCAGCAGGCTAAGCCATGCTTTAAATACTTTCCGCTACACTAGTGATATTCTACCAAAAATAAGGGAAAAATTGACTACCCGGCTTGTATGTTCGTGTCTGGCCCACATACATGCAGTTCATACCCTTTCTTGCATAGGAACTGAAACTGCTTCATAAAACGTAAGATATGAATGTGCAGTTTGCTCTGATTCTCAAACTGCTTAGATGAAGCATATACGCGGACCCCAGCTGTTTCCTCTTCATATGTCAGCAACTATGAGAAACTCCTGCACGGAAGCGAAGATTCCATTGGAAAAATACTCAATAAGTTTCTATGGTGCTCGATAAACACTTCAATGCGAGCGTTATTGGTATAAAATAATTAATCTTCGTGCAGGCCTGGCCACTTGCTACAGGCCTTCATGCAAATCATGACTCCTATGTCTATACCGAAGTCAGCCTAATAGCAAGCTATGGGATAACCCAGAAAGCTAAGGCAGGGACAGGTACCAACATTTCATTCCATCCAGAAATAAAATGCTTCTGGAGAAGCTCGAACGTAGACGAACGGCTTCTTGATCATCAGTATATCAGGAGTTCCCGGAGTGTTACGTCAGGTAATAGCAGGGTGGGCAGTCACTGGACGATTGACAGGCAACCTGATACCTCCTCAGGCGCAAATTTGAACAACATCTGCACCATTGGCTGAGAAGGTAGAGCAAGGGCGATATTTGGAACCCATGGATGTGCGAGCTGTGTAAACCCACCCTAGCTTGTAGGCTAAGGTTGATGGGTAAGAAAACCAGAAGAATTCCTGGCCGCTAAACAGCCCGATACAGCCCCCCGAAATAATATACCTGCTTTTGTGGAAAACATTGGGTCATATAATCAGGAACTGCATGTGTATGCAGAATCCAAACAATTTCAACAATGAGACTTTCCCCGGCGGAAGCAGGCTGTTTGGAGACCGAAGAAGGCGGAGTAGGGA